AAAATACTACTTAACATCATAAAACACAATTTCTAGAACATAATTTTTGTTTTGTTGAATATCTGATATAATAAAGCTAAGCAATTTATTCTTAATTTATCACTTAAGATTAGTTTAAATTTGGTTCTTTAAAAAAAATTAAATGAAAATGAATAGATACTTCATAAACTTGTACAATCAATTTATTTATTGTGCAATGATTTCGATCTGCGCATTGCGCAGCTGCCGCGTTGTTTGATGTCGTCTTCCTCTTCACATATTTATTATCTTCGATCTTTTGTGAGAAAATGCGAGATAAGATCCATTGGTAGAGGAAATATGATTGTGGAATTCTTCTCCGCAGATATTGAATTTAAGGTCTGAAACAGTAAAATCTATGTTAAAACATTATTTTTATTACATATTAAGGATCTTGTCATTAATTAAAAGATAAATGTGAGGCCGAATTTAACGAATTTGAGCGGCGGCTTAATTTTGAGACGCGGCTCAAATATGGTTGGTTCAACTTAAAATTGTATTCAATGTTTCAAGATTTTCACAGGTGCTCAATTGAAACCGGTTTTTGGCAGATTTGAATTAGACATCCGGAGGCGATTGTATGGAATTTATTCATTCTTAATCTTTGTTTACTGCATTTGTAAACTTGTTTCTTTCTTTGTCAAACATTAAGGTATTATCTTAAAAACTATTTAGCTAATGGAATTGAGTTCTTGTCACTTGCCAGATTTCTAATCCCTATATATTTGCAATCCAAAGGAGTAAACCTTAGATATTTCAAAAGAATTGAGTCTTTGACACAAATCTGATTTTCTAATCCTTATATATTTCCAACCCAATATCGTAGACCATAGATATTTCAAACTATGAAACTTGTTGGATCAAATATTTTAAGTTTGAAATATCTAAGTAGTACGACAACGGATTGGGATTAAGAGACTCAATTCCTTTAGATTATTTAATCTAACAGAATTCATAGTTGGAAATATCAATGGTCTACGATATTGGGTTGGAAATATATAAGGATTAGAAAATCAGATTTGTGTCAAAGACTCATTCCTTTAGGCTTCAAATAGTTAAATAGAACTAAAGTCTCATCGTTAGAGGGTAGCCCTGTAGAGTAGAGCATTTTCAAACAAAAGTTTGAGTTCTTTAAAACCAATTATGCACTCAAAAAAAGAAAAATTATTCATATATATAACTTTCATCGCTTTTATATGAGGCAGCGAAACATTGGCAGCTGTTCTAATTTTTCGTATTTTAATCCATAAAACAAAAATATATTACGTATTTAATGATCAAAGGAAGAAACGACAAAGTTATAAGTAAAATGGATACTTGAATTATGAATATAAAATCGGTTGATTAAATATCCCGGAGAATCAATTAATTACACAAACTATAACTAGGTACGCTTCAGCCATTAAAGATTCTAGAATAATCTTGGGGAACCAAAATACATTTGATTCCGCAAAATAAAAATTTAGAGTTTGTCTGAAAATCAATTGAATCAATTGGTTTAAAAGGTTCCAAAGCAGAACCCACAAAAAAGCTAAAACATCAGAAATATTTGCAATATTTTAATTTTTAACCAAATTCTATTACAATATCAACAGTTAAAATTGAAATTAAAATTTTTTATGATCTATTTGATCTATAAATTCTATTACAATATCAACAGTTAAAATTGAAATTAAAATTTTTTTCAGATAAGCAAATAGAAATTTTTTTTTTCATTGTCATAGAATAAAAATAAAATAAAACTATTTAGCATGCTACCCCTTTTCATTGCAACCTTAATTAATAGAACGAATTGATTTGATTGATCTAATAACTGATTAATTCGATTAAAAAATTAGATTAGTTTTCCAATAATTCTTTAATCTCTGAAGAACATTTCTAGGATTTGTGCAATAAACTTATTTTCCCGGATTACTATTTTTATAATTGAATAATTAACAAATGTCGGAATTCAGCAATATATATATATATATATACAGAGATGGAATTTAAAGAATTTGAGCCGCGGTTTAAATCCGCCAAAATCCGCCAAATCCGGTTTAAATTTAGCGCCGGCTTAAATCTTGAAACATTTGATACAATTTAAAGTGGAACCAACCATATTTAAGCCGCGGCTTAAATTTAAACCGCCGCTCAAATTCATTAAATTCGGCCACTGTTTTATAAAATATTTGTTCACTATAATTCTAAAATGAAATAAGTATTTAAATTTGAAAACCCTTATTCAGTTTTCTTTCTCTAGCTACAGTAGCTAGCTACAGGTTTTTAGAAAATGTTACATAATAAAAGCATTCTGTGTAAAATGTATCAGTCTTAATCATCTAAAAAATTAAATATGAAGATTATATCTGGATTATATATTAACCCTAAACAAATTGAGATTTTAGAATTTTCTGTGCTCATGATATCCTCCATATTGAAAAACATAAAATGCTGGATGTACAAAACTAGTTTTAAAAAGACAAAAAAATGAGCCTTGCACGAAACGGACTGCGCTGATTTTGGAAAGAATTTTCTTTCTGAATATTTTTCCTCTTTCTCAAAAGAAATGGAGTCTTTTCCACAAACTCTGATTTTCTAATGCATATATCTTTGCAACCCAATGTCGTAGACCTTAGATATTACAAACTATTGATTCTGTTAAATCAGTTATTCTTAGTTTGAAATATCAAAAGTTTACACCATCAGGTAGCAAAGTTATAGGAATAGGAAAGTTTGAGTTTTTGGCAAAGAATCAATTCCTTATCAAAATAAAGTGTCAACATTCTTTGGAGATCTCAAATTGTCCCGATCTAATAATGAACCGATCCAATTTTCTCGAATTTCTGATGATTGCTTGGCGGATTTGTATGCCAATACTTTACATTTCCTTAAAAAATCATACTATAGCTAAAATTGGAATTGAACTTAAACAATTCTGTGTTAAAGAAAGTAACGTGGGATTTTCAAATATAATCTTTTATTATTGTTAAGAACTATACTGCTGCATATATATAGAACTATACTGCACGCATGCTGAAATATGATTAAACAATAATATAATGTGTACAATGTACAAACAGTATGTGTCCAGCGTTCAAAAAGTATAAAATTCCACTCCTATTTGAACACTGAAAGGGATTGTTATAGTTAACGGAATTGAGTTGTTGCCACAAACTCTGATATTATTAACCAACCCAATGTCGTAGACCTTAGATATAGGATTAGAAAATTTGAGATCTGCTCTTGAAAAAATGCGCAACAAAAAGGATCAATTTCTTATCATAATAAAATATTCATTCTATCCAATTTGTATTTTTTTTTTAATATTAGAATATTAGAAAAAATGTGTTTATAACAAATATATAAGAAATACTAGTTTGCATAAAATACTTTAAGAGGACTTAATTTAAGCGTAACTTCAATTGACCCTCAATGCAAAGCTGGTAATGCCCGATTTACAACGGTACCCTTGAAACATATATGATAGTATGATCAATAATGTGAAAGATACCGTCGTTTTTCTGACTCAAAAGGTATTCATTTCTGTGAGTTTCTCCATTGCTTTTATAAACAAGAAATGCGCAAGTCTGATTCGCTGAGAAACCGCAAATGAAAATAAACAGTTTAAAGAAAAAACAATGATATCTAATTCATACTTGATAAGACAAAGCTTCCAAGGTTACTAAATTGTAAATCGGGCTCTCTGTCATTTTTTCATGAAGGGGTCACTTGAAATTACGCTTACAGTCCCTTTAAATTTAAACCTAGCTTTGAACACGCTGTATTTGTTTATTAATATAATTATTGTAATAAATATTGTCTAGGCCGTGTCCAGGGATATAAAGAGAATATGATGGTTTGATTGTAGATTTATTCTGTTGCCAGGTCGAATATATAGATAGATAGATAGATATATAGAAATAGAGATAGATAGAAAGATAGATAGAAAGATAGATAGAAAGATAGATAGATAGATAGATAGATAGATAGGTAGATAGATAGATAGATAGATAGATAGATGATGTAAGCGAGGAAGAATTATAGAAATATTAGATTTAAAGATAGATTTGGATAGATTTATAGTTAAATAAACTAAATAATTAAACTGAATAGATTATATAGAAATGAAATAAATGATTTGATTTATAAAAGATGATTGATGGTAAAAAGTAGTTAGCTTGAGGTAAATAAGGCTTCTGTGATTAGCAACTTCTGATTCAACAGTTTTTAATATTTTCCTGCCAAGGAAAAAAACAATTTGACGGAAAACCCACTGCAAACTCTGGTACATTTCCCTGACCAAACTTTCAAGCAGCTAGAGCAAGCTGTACAGTACTGCAAATACAGAATATTTAAGGCAAACGGGACGGTACACCAAATAAATCATCCCCTTTTAGTGAAATTTGTGTGGGCCTAGAAGTATGATGTAAATAACTGCTATTCTTATCCCTATTGACATTTCATAGAAGGCAACATACGCCAGGGGTCAATTTATTAAGCGTAAGTAGAGATGGGCGCATTAGTTTTTTTCTTCATTTCTTTCGTTCCGGAACGACCCAACCCATTTCGTTCCGTATTTTTTCAATCGATTATTCAGTAAAAAACGATTGTTTTGTTAAATTCTTTTGAAAAATTTGTTCATTCAGTAAAAACTAAATTTTTTTAAAAGTTGTTTTCTTCGTACTTTTAAAAAAAAAACGATCTTTTTTCATTCCTCTGAACGATCCAAGTTGACAAAAAATGTCGTTTGTTCACAAACATGATGCCTATCGTTAAGCGTAAGAAGTTCAGATCTTAGCTAATCCCCAAGTTATCCCCTGCTTCTGATCGTTCCGTGACTTCTGGGTTAGTTACACTTGGATTTTTATTTGGTTCAAGGTATAGTATACCTCCATTACTAACCTGAAGGTATCTAAACTGTAGAGTAGATGAGCATACCTCCATTACTAACCTGAAGGTATCTAAACTCTATAGTAGATGGGTATACCTCCATTACTAACCTGAAGGTATCTAAGCTGTAGAGCAGATGAGGATTCAGCCATTACTAATGAAGCTTCTCGTAAAGCTTTCGAAGCTTTCTGTTCTCCCTCGGCAGCTATTACCTTAACGATTTTATTATTTAAGATATAAAAATATTTACTATTTATCATTGAGAAACTAATTACACGCCGCGAAATCTAAATTTTTAATGCTTACATCTTTGCAACTTGATGTCTAAGACAAAAATATTATATCTGTCTTATCAAATATTAAAGGTTTATAAAATCACAAGATATGGTGATTAGAAAATTAGAGTTTTTGGCGAGAAATAAGTTCTTTGTCTGGAAGAATAAAAAATGTTAACCAACCTTTGCCCGAGCTTCCCTTGCTGCTTCAGCTTCTGCTGCCATTGCTCGCTGTAACTGAACTGGAAGCCTCGCATCTTTACTACAAATAAACTTAATCGTCATCTAGTTGTTTTAGAGTTCTGTACTGCAGTATACAACGTTAAAGTTCTTGAGTTCTGTGCTGCAGGTTACAATAAGAGTTCTGTGCTGAAGGGTACAACTAGAGTTCTTTACTGCAGGGTACAATTAGAGTTTTATATTGCAGGTTACAACTAGAGTTCTGTGCTGCAAGTTACAATTAGAGTTCAGTACTAAAGAGTACAGTTGGAGTTATGTACTGCATATAGAGTGCTGTAATGCTATGTCCAGTTAGAGTTATGTACTCCAGAGTGCAATTGAAGTTCTGCACTGCAGAGTAAATTTGGAATTCTCTACTGCAGAGTACAGTTAGAGTTCTATACAGCAGAGTACAGTTAGAGATCTGTACAGCAGAGTACAGTTAGAGTTATGTACTGCAGAGTACAGTTAGGTTAGACTTCTGTACTGCAGAGTACAGTTAGAGTTCTGTACTGCAAGGTACAGAAAGAGTTCTCTACTGCAGAGTACAATCAGTGTTATATACTACAGAGTACTGTTGGAGTTATTTACTAAAGAGTGCAGTTAGAGTTCTGTAGTAAACTTAGAATAATGTACTACAGAGTAAAGTTAGATTTCTGTACTACAGAGAACAGTTAGAGTTATGTACTACAGAGTACAGTTAGAGTTCTGTACTACAGAGCACAATTATAATTATGTACTACAGAATACAGTTAGAGTTATGTACAACAGAGTACAGTTAGAGTTATGTACTGCAGAGTGCAGTTAGAGTTCTGTACTGCAGAGTATAGTTAGAATTATATACTGCAGAGTACAGTTAGTGTTCTGTACAACAGAGTACAGTTAGAGTTCTGTACTACAGAGAACAGTTAGAGTTCTGTACTGCAGAGTACAGTTAGAGTTCTGTCTGCAGAGTACTGTTATAGTTCTGTGCTACAGAGAACAGTTAGAGTTCTTTGCTACAGAGAACAGTTAGAGTTCTGTACTGCATAGTACTGTTAGAGTTCTGTGCTACAGAGTACAGTTAGAATTATGAACTGCAGATTACAGTTAGAACTCTAACTGTACTACAGAGTACAGTAAGAGTTCTGTATAACTGAGTACAGTTGGAGTTCTGTACTACAGAGTACAATTAGATTTCTGTACTACAAAGTACAGTTAGAATTCTGTACAACAGCGTACAGTCGGAGCTCTGTACTGCAGAATAAATTTGAATTTCTGTTATGCAGAGTATAGTTAAAGTTCTGTACTGCAGAGCACGATTAGAGTTCTGTACAACAGAGTACAGTTTGAATTCTGTACTAAAGCGCACAGTCGGAGCTCTGTACTGCAGAATGAATTTGGATTTCTGTAATGCAGAGTACAGTTAAAGATCTGTACTGCAGAGTACAATTTGAGTTCTGTACAATTGTTGGAAACTAAATCTGTTTCTTTAACGATTTTCTGTTTCAAGGAATTTTTTGACGTGAAGTTCTCAAATCAGAAATCAGTTTAAAAATACAACCTTAGATTAACACACTTTTTAAATTAGTATTCTGCGTAAAAATTTCTCCTTCTTTAACATTTTTTAAAAAAAACCCAAAACACCTGTAAGAGGTTTTAAAATAATTATTTTTTAACAAAAGCAGCGAAAATTTTCTGTTCTAAAAGTCACTTAGTCCCTTGTTTTACAAACCTTTGTTTTTACATTTTACAAGATAGGAAATCGAAGGAAACTGAAGGAAACTGGGGGGAACTGAGCAGGTTTATTGGATAAAGAACATCTTTTTTTCCTGCCAGTTCTTATAATCTAATAGATTAAAAGTGGAATTCCTAGATTCAATTTCAAGATGATTGTAACCTCATTTCCTTAAAGAAACCCCTGCAGTTCTGCAACACTACCCCTCCCCCTTGACACACGACCCCCTCCCCCTTCCATCCTTCTAAACTCCTTCTAATTTACACCCTCTTACGCAAGACTAACTTAAGAACTAACCACATATTGACTTGATAAATTATTTAAAACCAGGATTCCAATTTACAGGTCCATTCTCAACACATTACCCCTCACCCTGTCTAATAATTGTATACCCCCCTCTTCTAGAACATTTAAAATAGATTAACAAGTAATTAATTATTCTTATTTGAAAAATAGGTGGTAAAGAAATTTTTGCATGATGTCATTGGTGTCAAATGTGAAAGTGCCAACACAGTAGATATAACAGTATAAAAAGAAAAGAACAGTAGGTATAACAGTATAAAAAGAAAAAAAACATAAGATAGAACAGTATAAAAAGAAAAGAACAGTAGATAGAACAGTATAAAAAGAAAAGAACAGTAGATATAACAGTATAAAAAGAAAAGAAAGAACTCATAAAAATACACTAATTTAAGCCAAACTTTAACACTTTAGTCTAAAGAAATTGAGTTTTTTTATACAATTTCTCATTTTTTATTCCTATATCTTTGCAATCTATTGGTGTAAACCGTTGATATTTCAAAGTGAGATGCTACTTGATATGATATAATTTTAAGTTTTAAGATCAAAGGTCTTTGAAATTGAGTTGCAAAGATATAGGGATTGGGAAATAAAAGTTTGTAGATAAGACTCAATTTATCATCATTATTGAATATTTTGTCTGGCACTGAAAATTGATTTGTCCCTTGTGATATAAAATACATCTGTACTGAATGTAAATGTATTCAATATGGCCACCTATTGTACTTGATAATCTATTTGAGTAAACTGTATTATAGAAAATAGAATAACCATCAGCTCCAGGTTTGATATCTGGTCGGTCTACCTCTGTTCATGTAAATAATTTAGACTTATGTTCACCTTATTTTTGACAAATTTAAACAATCTTTTTTTGTTATGTTGATGGTCGCTGGGATTAGTAATGTTAGGCTTTTAAAGGGACTGTAAAGGAAAAATGAAAGGGAATAAATAGAATAAAACCTAAGAATTTCAGGTTTTGAACGATACCTATAAGACATCTATCTGTTGTTCCTGTCTCGAGAAATTGATAGAAAGCTGTGTCAAAACTATACCACAACCAAGGTACTAATGCAAGGAAAGTTATTTCAGAGGTGTACGGATTTTTTGTACTGCAGCTGTACTGTCTTTGGGCGGAAAAGCAAACACTAGACGGATGTAACAGCCTGACATGGAATCAATTTTCACAAAAATAATCTATGAAATATTCTGGTCATAGGAAACTATTATGTGAATTTTCAAAATTATCAAAACTAAATGCTTTTAACCTCCTCGGATACCAGACGAACACTGATGCATCTATTCTTGTTTACAAATTCCGCCCAGAGAGAGAACTCTGTTTTCAATATGTACGCAGAGTATACACGACCGCAATTAACTTTCCTTGCATTGGTACCTTGACCAAAACGGACATATGCCAGATTTTGTATAAAAGTTGAAGTATTTAATAGATCATATTCAACAAATACGCAACCAATCTGAAAACGCCTACACCCAACAGCAACCTGAAAATCTTAGGCTTGTTGTTGTTATAATTTTTCCCTTCATGAGTTTGGACATAAAACCAAAGTTACTCAGAACAAAAATACCAACAAATGTGGAACAGCTATGAATATAATACTTAAATTATATTTGCTGTTAGATAGATTCACACCCTGGACTTTGTAAAGACCGAAATATATTTACTAAAGGTACATATTTGTACATATTTGATTGTGCCGTATTAGGACTGATATAAACGCTATAAAAGCTAGGTTTGTTTACAATCTGTTGTTCATTTACTTCAAGCCAGTTCTTAAGCAGTTCTATAATATATCACATAAACCCTGTCCCCCCTGCCTTTGGATTGGATAATCATACCTTTGTATAGACCATAAACATACCTTTGTATAGACCATAAATATACCTTTGTATAGACTATAAACATTATTAAAACTCAAAACTTACATTTCAACTCTTTCCACTTTAATTCCCCAGGCAGTCGTAGCATCATCTAGTACACTCTAAACATATATATATATATATATATACATAGTAGCATCATCCAGTACACTCTAAACATATATATATATACATAGTAGCATCATCCAGTACACTCTAAACATATATATATATACATAGTAACATCATCCAGTACACTCTAAACATATATATATAAATACATAGTAGCATCATCCAGTACACTCTAAACATATATATATATATACATAGTAGCATCATCCAGTACACTCTAAATATATATATATATATACATAGTAGCATCATCCAGTACATATATATATATATATACATAGTAGCATCATCCAGTACACTCTAAACAAATATCAAATACTTTATTAATTGCTCAAATTATGCCTATTTTTACTTATGCTATAAACTATTCATTGTATATTGTCATTTTTCTTTAAAACTGTTAATTTAATAATTCCCATATGTTTTTCAGCTATAGAAATGGGCAAGTCACTTTTGTAGAGGAGAAATCACAATTGAAACAAAATTATAAACATTAATAACTAATTCATACTTGACCAAACAAAGCAAACAAAACTAATTATGCTTACAGTTCTTTTAAGCACTGTCGATTTATAGCGTTGTAGCTTAGCAGGGGCGTACACAAAGGGGGGGGGTCTCAGCACCCGTTGGGAACGAAAAAGCATAACTTTTTACTGATGCAGGGGGAAGGGGGATACCTAAGATTCCATAGACATAGAATTACAAAATAGATCTAGACAATAATGAATATATGATATAAAAATAACCTGCATAGAGTTGGATATACTCTCTCTGTCGCTTAGTATCTCATGCAGGTTCTTTGTTCCAAGGATATTCCTGGTTTAATGCATTACAATTTCGCGCCATTAACATTTTTTTACCACTTTTCATGTAGTTTTAGTTTTTATTTACTAACGAAGATATTAAATCCATTTTTAGCGTTTAAATACTTAAATACTTTCAATGTTTTCCTTCTTAAAAATGTTTATCTTCTTCCCTCTTCTGCATTAACGAAAAATTTGTAAATAATGAAAATATATCTGAAATTTTATTGTTAACATTTTTAATATTTTTGCTTTGTTTAATTTTATTTCCCTCAAATGTTAGTTTCCCCTGGGGTAAAACTATATTAAAATTGTTTCTAAATAAATGACTTAATAATGCATTTTCCTAAGCGTGGTCTGAGCGAGTAATCTAAAATAATAAAACAATTTAATACTAATTTATGTAATAAAAAATGTTTATTATCTTTTATTTGCAAAAACTTACTGATTAAGAAGAATTTAATAATTGAGAAACATTTAAAAAATTATTTAAAAAGACGATATCGAATTCGTCACTGAATTCCCATGTTTATTGGGACACCCTGTATCTAAACAGACATTAGGTAAAGTTATGCGACAATTAGATATTATTTTAGGATATTCTTCCAGATTCTTATTTTAATCCCACAAAATGGAAAATATGTTGCGATACATGAAATATTTCGACACCTAGTTGCAAAGATAAAAGAATTAGCATAATAAAGAATGAGACGAGTATGGGAGTAGTAATCACTAATCAGATCCTTTCCTCTGAACGCTCTGAACTCTTTGAACAAGGTTATACAACATTGTACTTATATTTGAGATTATATTCTTAAAGTGTAAATGTACGCTAATCCTATACTTTGTACACTGAACTGCACTACTCAGTAGGGTTAACTGTAAACATTAGTGACTATCCTATACTTTGTACACTGAACACTGCCCAGTAAGGTTTATTGTGAACATTAGGGCCCAAAGCCTAAGACATGAATAGTCATGAAACCAAGTATTGGAAACTAGGTCTCATGAATGGAGTCAGGCAGTTTTATAGATACTAATATATTTGTTAAGAAATATTATTTCATTTGGTTTCCTGAACATTCTCTTTTTGTTTGATTTCTTAAATTAAAATCTACGAAAAAGGAAACTCGGGAGTTTCTATCAAAGACACTCTCTTCAATTTCCGGCTCTGAAGGGTTAACTGTGAACATTATACAGTTACTATCCCATACAATGAACAATCCACTTCCTGAACATGAATCTTCAATTAAGAAACCAGGATACTTGGTCCAAGGTGTATCTATGTATCTCTAGGTTGAAGAATATTAATTCTCCAAGGATTAGAGAACTAGCTCCAGGATTAGGTCTGAGTACCAGCTTAGTATATACAAATCTAATGAAGGGTATCCATCTCTATTATCAGCAAGTTTTTTTCATGTCTACTGAGGGAACAGAGTACAGATAAAAGATATATGAAGGACAGTTGCAAGAGAAAAAGAAAATCCGAGATTAGTTTTCAATATTATTTTTTATCATCACGGAAAGACAAAAGCACTAAGCCAGGGAAATGGATAAATATGAATATATTAAAATCTAGGGGAGTAATTTCCCCATTGCTGATCCTATATATCATCTAATTTATATTTTCTTTTCCTTACACAATAATGAACAATATTTTGAAATAATTTGAAGATTTTTCATCTTTTTCAAAATATATTCCAGTAAATCTTGTCCATCTCGAAAACCATGAAATAAGGGTAAAATGTTCAAATAACAAATAAAATGTAGTTTTGAATAATTCCTTTTAAGTATATTTTTATGTTTGTCTAAAGCCAGTCCGAACGCAATCACAATTTTTGTGATTGAACATGTGCAATGTAGAGGGAATAATGTTAATTTAGAATATATTCTTCTAAAGCAAATTAGTTTCACCTGAAACAAAAACTTTTATATTAATTCTCAAGATTATTTAGATCCTGCTGTTGAACAAGGAAGTGTTACAGACCCAAGTATAAGGAAAAGAAGGACGGAGGAAGTAGTTTTGAAAATGTTTGTTTCTCTCAAAATCTGGTATATTGTGATAAAAGTAAAACCAGTAAACAAAATAACACATTTTCAAGTTTAATTCGATAAAAACTTAGTTCTAAAAAATTTAATATTTAAAAAAACGGATTAGTTTTAGATTTTAATATAGTCCTGCTCCTGTACTAACCTGGTAGAATGATGAGCATTCTCAACATTAGCCACAGATACTGTAGCATTAGATACACGGTAGTAAACCACAGCATCAACAGATACAGTTACAGAGTCTTTGGTCAGAACCTAGAGATACAGATACAGTTACAGAGTCTTTAGTTAGTACTTAGAGATACAGTTACAGAGTCTTTGGTCTGAAAATAGAGATACAGATACAGCTACAGTGTCTTTGGTGAAAACCTAGAGGTGCAGATACAGTTTCAGATTCTTTGGTCAGAACATAGAGATACAGATACAATTACAGAGTCTTTGGTCATAACCTAGAGATACAGATACAGTTACAGAGTCTTTAGTTAGTACTTAGAGATACAGATACAAATACTAATTATGATACGTACAGATACAGATACAGAGTCTTTGGTTAGAATCTAAAAATATAAATACGGATCCACAGATATACAGGTAGGTTCACAATTATACAAATGCATAAAACATAAGTTTACTTATTATCGGACAATTTTCTATAGTTTGGTGAAAAATAGAAAATATTTTTTCTTTTATCTCTGGAAATAAAAGATAAATGTGTATTAAATCAGATTCAGGGTAATATAGGTTTTCAATAAACAATTTGCAACATATTTCAGGAAAGGCAATTCAGTGTTAACAAAATAAAATATGGAATTTTGCAAACTAAAATATTTGATTTTAATATTTTTAAAAAGTCTTTCCAAGAGAAAAATGTCAGAATTCTTTTGATCATTTCATTTCAAGGAAATGTAAAAAATCTCATAAAGATATACTTGTTAGTATATGCTAGTTGCTGGATACTGAATACTGGATACTGAATATACTAGTTGCTGGATACTGAATACTGGATACTGAATATACTAGTCGCTGGATAATGAATACTGGATACTGAATATACTAGTTGCTGGATACTGAATACTGGATACTGAATATACTAGTTGCTGGATACTGAATACTGGATACTGAATATACTAGTCGCTGGATAATGAATACTGGATACTGAATATACTAGTTGCTGGATAATGAATACTGGATACTGAATATACTAGTTGCTGGATAATGAATACTAGATACTGAATATTAGTTGCTGGATAGTGAATACTGGATACTGAATTATACTAGTTGCTGGATAGTGAATACTGGATACTGAATATACTAGTTTCTGGATACTGAATACTGGATACTGAATATACTAGTTGCTGAATAATGAATACTGGATACTGAATATTTGTTGCTGGATAGTGAATACTGGATACTGAATATACGTTGCTGGATACTGAATACTGGATACTGAATATACTAGTCGCTGGATAATGAATACTGGATACTGAATATACTAGTTGCTGGATAGTGAATACTGGATACTGAATATACTAGTTTCTGGATACTGAATACTGGATACTGAATACTAGTTTCTGGATACTGAATATACTAGTCGCTGGATAATGAATACTGGATACTGAATACTAGTTGCTGGATAATGAATACACTAGTTGCTGGATACTGAATACTGGATACTGAATACTGGATACTGAATACTAGTTTCTGGATACTGAATATACTAGTCGCTGGATAGTGAATACTGGATACTGAATATACTAGATGCTAGATACTGAATCTTGGATACTGAATATACTATTTGTTTGATACTGAATACTGGATACTGAATACTAGTTGCTGGACACATACTGAATACTCGATACTAATATACTAGTTGCTGGATACATACTGAATACTTGATACTGAATACTAGGTGCTTGATACTGAATACTGGATACTGATTACTAGTTGCTGGATACTGGATAATGAATACTGCAGATAATGGATACTGCAGATAATGAATGCTGGATACTGAATACTAGGTGCTTGATACTGAATACTGGATACTGATTACTAGTTGCTAGATACTGGATAATGAATGCTGCAGATAATGGATACTGAAGATAACGAATGCTGGATACTGAATACTAGTTTATGGATATTGAATACTTGATACTGAATACTGAATACGGAATACTAGTTGCTGGATACAGGATAATGAATACTGCAGATAAAGAATTCTAGATAATAAATACAGGATACTAAATACTGTATACTAAATACTAGTTGCTAAATACAAAATACTTGATACTCCATACTATATTCTGTATAAAGGATATTGAGTGCTTGATACTAGTTCCTAGATAATAGATGCTAGTTACCGTAGAAAGATATATATATGTAAATATATGTATAGTAGATACTATAAGATACTAGATACTAGATACTAGATACTAGATACTAGATACAAGATACTAGATACTAGATACTAGATACTAGATACTAGATACAAATATTAGATAGTAGATGCTAGATGGTAGATACTATAAAGTAGATACTAGCTACTAGATACTAGATACTAGATACTAGATACTAAATATTAGATAGTAGATGCTAGATGGTAGATACTATAAAGTAGATACTAAATACTAGAAAGTAGATACTAAATACTAGATACTGGATATTAAACACTTAAAGAAACTGGATACTAAATAATACAACTAGCCTCCTGTGGTGGTATACCTATATATACAACTAACCTCCTGTGGTGATATATCTATATATACAACTAACCTCCTGTGGTGGTATATCTATACATACAACTAACCTCCTGTGGTGGTATATCTATATATAAAACTAACCTCCTGTGGTGGTATATTTATTTATACAACTAACCTCCTGTGGTGGTATATCTTTATATACAACTAACCTCCTGTGGTGGTATATCTATATATACAACTAACCTCCTGTGGTGGTATATTTAAATATATAACTAACCTACTGTGGTGGTATATCGATATATACAACTAACCTCCTGTGGTGGTATATTTAAATATACAACTAACCTCCTGTGGTGGTATATCGATATATACAACTAACCTCCTGTGGTGGTATATCTATATATACAACTAACCTCCTGTGGTGGTATATCTTTATATACAACTAACCTCCTGTGGGGGTATATCTATATTTACAACTAACCTCCTGTGGTGGTATATCTATAACTGAAGTCCTGAGATCCACTTTAGAATAGTTTTCTATGCAGGGAAGGATGAAAAAAATTCCTGCAGAAAACTCTTTGTTAAACTTGGGAAAGTGAGTTTAAAGGACTTTATGAGAGTAAATCTCCTACTCAATATTTCCCATGTTTTGTAATGCTCTAACAAGCTTTAAACAATTACATTGATGCAGAACTCACTGCCTCATAACATAATTTTAACCAACGAAAAATATGACATTTTTAGATTTTAGATTTTTTTAGATTTTTGATTATTCACGTCAAATCCCAGTTTACATTTTTCTTGGAAAGTATTTGAGTTTTAACCACAAACTCTGATTTTTTAATACCTCTATCTTTGCAACCCAATGTTGTAGACCTTAGATATTTCAAACTATAAACTCTCTTAGATTTAGTAATCTAAGTTTGAAATATCAAAGGTTTACACCTCCAGATTACAAAGATAAAGCGATTAAGAAAACTCAAGTTTATGGGAAGGACTCAACTCCTTTCAGAAAAGATATTCATACTAACATGATACTCTATTCTGACATAACACATAGTTGGTTTATAAATTTACTGAATGAACATGTCACCTGTTGTGTTAATGAAACACTCAGTTAAAAATATGTAAGATTTATATTAATTGTATAAAATCTGAATTAATTAAAAGTAGTTACCATATTTTAATATTACTTAAAAGTTTTTTAATATTTTTTATAGTTATTAAGTGTAAGCTTGGTAGCTTTAATCCTAGAACTTTCAAAATAAATTTAGCAGATGTAAATTTGTCTTCTGTAACCCCCTAAACTTAAAGTTAAGGATTTTGTCAAATGGACTATAATGACAGTTTTTCTTTGTCTCTCACCTGGCCCTCTTGATCCACCAGGTAGTAGTCGACCCAACCGGAATATTACTGCTCTCTCATACTCCTGTACCACCTAGATATTAAACAGTTCTCTTATACTCCTGTACCAGGTCTGACAACCGCCTCCATTTCACAAGAAGATACTGTATGAATATCAGAAAAGACTAATGTACGTCTGACCCTGTTAAACGACCTACCTAGAAACTAAATATATTGAGTTTTGGCTGCAAACTTTATAAGAAGGTTGGACGGAAACGATAGAATAGTTTGGGAACTGGATTATTCAACATAAAACTTTATCTTCGTTGAAAAGAATTGTGTTGAAGGGTTTATGATATCTCAGAATTTTCAAATTCCTAGTCCTCATCCTCCTCCTTCTCCCCTCCTCTTCTCCTCCCCTCCCCTCCTCCTCCCCTCTACGTTCTCACCCCCCTTTCCTCTCATCCTCCCCACCTCCTTCTCCTGTGGCCCAAATCAGCTTCTGAACACCTTCCGACCGAATTTAATCTTAAATTTAGAAAACTCATCTTGGAATAATTTATCAAAGAAAAACTAAATTTAGAAATTTCAAGGTTACAATGCAAGGAAATTCAATTGCAGTGTTCGTTTAGTATCCGAGGAGGTTAAAAGCATTAAATTTTGATAATTTTGATAATTCCCATAATAGTTTTCTATGGCCAGAATATTTCATTGATTTTTTATGCAAAAGATGGATCCCATGTCAGGCTTCGTGATCCGTCTTGTGTTTACATTACACCGCTCAGAGACAGTACACTGCAATACAAAAGATGGGTACACGTCTGAAATAACTTTCGTTGCATTATAACCTTGGAAAATTCAATCTAAACACGTCTTTCTGATTTCATATATGTCCAGGAGTAGGATGAGGAATGATGAGGGTATGATAAATGAAATATTGTTTCACTATGGATGAAAAGAATAAGCTCGCCAAGATTTATCTAATCTTCTCAGGTTTCTAAAAGCTTCCTCCACGGCCAAACCTTAATAATCCCTGATCCTTGTCCGATACTTCAACCCCACTTCAAGAATATTAGGAGGAAACTATCCCTGGAGAACCAGGAGAACCCGGAGTAAGGATTACTGGTTCCATCAAGTTCTCTCAAAACTTTTCTCTACTCTAGGTATTCCATACAAAGAGCAATCTAGAAAGTATTTGAAAACATAATTAAAGAAAGACCAGGAGAAATTCGTTCTAACAAATTGAACCATCATGCTGGGATTAGGTTGGATTGTAATTAGATTGGATTTATCTATTTTAAACACACACTGGATACTGCCTCCATCTTTGAATATCTATAAACCACCGAAGGAATATTTAATTTTTTACCAATCATAAACCTTCCCTGGAGTCATGTGAGCTGCCACACGGTTCAGCCGTTTTGACGTTTATAGGACACACAAACAGACAAACAAAATATATGTGATAAATAAAGCCGGTATTTAACAAGGTTAGGTATATGTATCTTGGACAGCCCCAAAATAAGAAGAATGAGATCAAGAGGTTTACCTTAAAGCAGACGAAAAGAGAGAATGGAACCGTGACAAGAACCAGAACTAGAGAAAGCAATGTTAAAATCCATCCACATATTCCAATACCCGTACTCTCAGCTTCCATTATGTCCTCTAGATAAATAGATTTAAGGGTTAAAAAGGACATTTACAATTCCAATTAATTCAAACTTGGAGAATGACATTGAAAAACAAAAAAATTTAGATGTACGTTGATCGTGGGTTACGTGAGGGTTTTAGTAAATACGTACTGTCATGGATGAGATTCTAGAATGGGTTTCAGAGATACATTTTTCAAATGATTAAAGCTTTTTTAAGCATAGATTAATTCTGAATTTTTATAATTCTGTACGTCCAATATTAAGACTAAAGTTATGGACTGAGGTTTACCTAGGGTTGCAAATCCCATGGAGTTGAGTTCAACTTTTGCAAATTATTGGTGCAAAATTGGTTTTGCAAGCAAGCACTTCAATAGTTAGTATAAAGTTTGTAATGTATTAAACGTAATAATGTATTTAAGTGTGTAAAAATGAATTTAAAAAAAAGTATTTAAAGGATGGGTCTTTTTCCCCCCAACCCCCATCTAATTCTTTGAACATACATGTAATAGATAAAGTGATTATCAATTTGGTGAAATACATGAAGCGCTCTAATTCAACAGAATGTAATTTGTTGACAAATGTGACAGAGCATTTTTTCCTAAAATTGTTCCTAATTTACCGGAACAGACAGAGAAACATCTTTGCACAATATTTTACAAAAAAAGATGAAAACTTTTCGGAGAAAATGTCAATTATCTTTTTAAATGTTTAAATAATATCCTTGAGTTTACAATGAACAATGAACCCACAAAGGATAAAACTTCAGAGACGACAGTACGGAATTTATATTTTTTTCTATATATTCACGATTCCCTGCAACTATAAACTTGTATCTTTCCGATCAATAGAAAGGCCATAAAAAGACTACAGTAACCCTGTAGTTGAGTTTCAGGTCGTCTTTACAGTCTCATCCTAATTGTGGGTAACCCTGTAGTTGAGTTTCAGGTCGTCTTAACAGTCTTATCCTTTGTGGGTAACCCTGTAGTTGAGTTTCACGAAAATGAATGTACAGGGTTACCCACAAAGGATGGGACTTCAAAGACGACTGTTAGTATAGTTTGATCAAACATTGCACAATATAGAGTTTAAAGTGCGCTTCCCCATAATAATACATTTGATGTGCGTAATGATAATAAAACTAAGGTTTATTTAGTCAATGTCATACAAATACAAATTAGAGAGCAATCAAGTTATCATGTATTTTTTTCAAACAAAAAATTATTAAGCTGAAAATTGTTATGAAGGTGCAGTTTACTCTACATGTGAAATCATGAAATCATAATAATGTTGGTTTCAATAAACCTAATACCTCTACCGTTCTCCGTGTACAGCTGTGACCACAAGGATGCTCTTCTTTGCTCCGCATCCTTCCGTCCCATCACACTATCCTGGGTCTCCAACCTTACCAACAGTAGGAATCATGATATCTATTAAGTTAAAGGGACTGTAAGCGTTATTTCAAGTGACCCTCTCCGGCCATGCAAAGATGGCAATGTCAGATTCACTCTGCTAAAATGATTAGGGCATTTCCCATGCAGGAAAACATATGAGAATTAAACACTTTAAACCCAAGGAAAATGACCATATCGCTCACACATACTTGATCAGATAAAGGTTTCAAGGATACCGTTATGTATCGGCCGTTTCCACTTGAAATTACACTTACAGTTCCTTTCAGGGTGCATTTATGTATGAATACACTGTACAGTTATATTCAATACTAATCATAATTATTGTCGTCTTTCTTCTTCCTTTTAATCGGAAATGTCGTTATTACTGTTAAGTCTCTAAGACTATATGTCTCGACATTTTCTAAAGTTAATAAATTAAACATTTTTCGTGCAGGAATACATCTAAATAAAACATCAAAACAAAAGAATTATATTGAAAGGAATCCATCCGAGGATTATATTGAAAGGAATCCATCCAAGGATTATATTAAAAGGAATCCATCCAAGGGTTATATTGAAATAAGTCCATTCAAAGATTATATAAAAAGAAATCCATCAAAAGAGTGTAGCGAAAGAAATCCATCCAAGGATTATATTGAAAGGAATCCATCCAAGGATTATATTAAAAGGAATCCATCTAAGGATTATATTGAAAGGAATCCATCCAAGGATTATATTGACAGGAATCCATCTAAGGATTATATTGAAAGGAATCCATCTAAGGGTTATATTGAAATAAGTCCATTCAAAGATTATATAAAAAGAAATCCATCAAAAGAGTTTATCCAAATAAATCCATCTAAAAATTATATCGAAAGAAATCCATCCAAGGATTGTATTGAATGGAATTCATCCAAGGATGGTATTGAAAGGAATTCATCCAAAGATTATATTGAATGAAATCCATCCAAGAATGCTTGTAAATAAAAATATTCATAGTTACATTAAAAACGCAAGAATATTCTTCTAATTTATGTTGAAAGGAATTGAGTCTTTGCCACAAACTCTGATTTTCTTATCCTAATATCTTTCCAATCCAATGCCGAAGACCTAACATATTTCATACTTTGAATTCTGTTAGATCAAATTAAGTTTAAAATATCAAAAGTTTACACCATGAGGTTGCAAAGATAAAGGGATTCGAAGATTTGAGTTTGTGAAACACTCAATTCCTCTCCCTGGTGGATAGAAGTTTATACTTGTGAATAGAATATGCATAATGTGCATACATAGAACACCTGAGAACATGGTATTTGTTGAACAAGTTTAAACCCTCCGGAGCAAAACAAACCTCGGTAAACATTGATATTTTCTACAACGAGATAAAAGAAGAAGATAATACATTCATTTCCGAGATATTTCTATTTATTTTACATTCTCACATTATTTTTACATAACTTCTTTTCATTAAAGTTAAGAAACCTGAAGAAATGCATGTATTAAATGAATATCTAAAAACATAAAAAACTGTTAAAAAATTTGAAATTTGAAAAAGTATTTTTACGTGAAAAGATGATTTTATTTTATCCCACTAGGTAAATGAAACTTATCATATTTTCAGTTTTGGTTTCTCTACAAAAGTGACTAGCGCATTTCTACATCAGGAAAACATGTTAGCATTATCGGATTTTCGCAAAAGACGTTATTTTCCGTTACCCATTTTTATATGGAGGGTCACTTGATATTCCATCAACAGCCCCTTTAAGTTAAAATAAGAGTAATTCCATGCCTACTAGGGTTTCTCGAATTGCACGGACTTGCGCGGAATTGCGCGGATTTTACAGGGCTCGCAATGGCGCTCAAGTAAAATCCACTTGCAATGGAAACCGTAATGTCTACCCCAGGTTAACCGAGCCTAGTATATAAAGATCTAATACAATTTTATATCGTCTTTAGGTTTCCACGTCTCTTGGAAAATTTAAGAATGTTTTTGATTTATTTTTACTTTATTTTTATTTATTAGGAAAAAAGATGTAATACTGATGTTCAAAGACTTCTTATCTTGAAAGAAACCATTGGGGAGGGGGGAGGACAGGGGGAAGCCTAAAAAATGGGGAGGGGGTATGGGACATTGTATGTACTATGTACGTACAGAACTCAATAACTTTATTTATTTTGAATATCTATATAACTAAATAAGCACAAATTCACAAAAAATAATATTTTTTGTGAAATACCTAAGGGAACTGAGTTTTTGCCACAAACTCAAATTTCTTAATCACTATATCTTTGCAATCTGATGGGGTGGACCTAATCTAAGCTATATTACATTGGGTTGTAAAGATTTAGTGTTTGAAAAATCAGACTTTGTAGCAAAGACTCAATTCCTTTGTGCTTTTATTGTTTTTATTATGTGAATTGGTGCTTACATTTTAGATTCGTACATAATACACTTGTGAAATTATTTAAAATTTGTCTATCTCTATATAAAGCTGCAATAGTTATGCACAAGTTTCAGAATTTGTGAAAATTAGAAAAACAAACAAGAAGCTTTAATCTCAATTCAAGTTAACTTTTTGTTTATGTATTATTAAAAACTTTTTTTCAGATGTTGAGATTTTTTGAAAAAAGGGCTTTTGGTGAATGTAAAAGCCAAATATTTGTTAATGGAGATAAGAAAGCTTGACGTGGAGTAAGAGTTGCGGAGGCTTGAGGTACGGATTTTTTTTGGCTAGGAGGTCATTCTGCGAATCAGGAGGCTCCGGAGGTCAATTTGCGGGACTTATGGTTGCTCTCTACACCCTCTCCCTGGTTGGGGGGTTGAAGAACAGTTCTATAGGAAGTAAAGAAAGAAAATGCAACAAACATAATACTTTAGAGGAAAATAAATCACGGGGGAAAATGTCAATGGGATCAATCTTATGATTTAATCATTCTTTCTATCCTTTCTTCAACTTCTTTCCATCTTAAACATTCTTTCTATCCTTTCTTCAGCTTCTTTCCATCTTAAACATTCTTTCTATCCTTTCTTCAGCTTCTTTCCTTCCTTTCTATCCTTTCTTCTGCTTCTTTCCATCTTAAACATTCATCCATGCTATTTTTCATTCATCTTACATTTATGATCATCTAGTAACTAACTACCTTACCATCTAACTATGTTACCGTCTTACAACCTTACCAGTCAACCATAAACTTGAATTTTATAATCTCTATGTCTTTGCAACCTAATGATGTAAACCTGGGATATTTTGAACTTTCAAATATCTTACATAAAAACTATTCATCTAACCATCTTACTATCTATCTACCCATCTAACCATCTATTTAACTAACAATCTACCCATCTAACCATATATTTAACTAACAATCTACCCATCTATCCATCCAAACCTCCAAACTAATCTCATCTAAATTCAATTTTACTAGAAACCCGGAGGATGATCATGGAATGCCAAAATCTAAGAATTTCATAGAAATTCCGAAGATTTTAAAACAAGTTGTTCAATAAAGAAATATCAACATTTTGTAAATAATTCAAATATTTTCCTTCAGGGTTTTAACAAAACGTCTATTTTATGAAAGTTTACTTAAGAACCTTGTTGAGCTGAACTATTAATTCAATTTCTCTACCATCAATATTATTCTTCATTTAAATTTAAAAAAAAATTAACTGCACTTCAATAAACGACAAAACTTCAAAAACATATTTTTTTAATTAAAAGTTATTTTTAAAATGACCCTTCATTTAAAGAGTTTCATACACGATTCACAATGGAACATTGCTATATTGTAAAAATTTCGTACTTTGTCAGAAGCATAGATAGAGAAACTAGTATACAGAAAACAAGGATATCTTAATGGAAGTTTTTAAGAATACTGTCGTGAATCAATTCTTTAAATGGAGTGTTATTTAACAAGACGTTAACATTAACAGTTACTTTAAATCGCAAAATCAGTAAAAATTAAATTTTAAAAACTCTCTCACCTGAAGTTTATCCCATCCTTGTTCTCGTCCCCGTTAATCTCGTTGTTCTTGATCCTTACCTTTCTCAACACCCTCGGCAACCTTGGCACCCTCGGAACGTTCAACTTCAAGTCAATCAGACCAAAACTAGAAAATATCATAATTTGAAGTTTTAAATACACATTTTTCATAAATGATTAGGTTTCAGAAGATGGATTTAAGATCATGATCAGGTTTTAGAAGCTAAATTCAAGATTAGTTTTGTGTAGATAGTGTTAATCTGAAGAGTTGATCTCGATATCCAATGTGGACACTTTTGAATTTGAGAATTAATGCTTGATATCTCAATTTGAATTGTCCCTGTAAGGTAAAATAATCAATGCTCTGACTTCTGGTTCCAGAATATGAATTTAAGAACATAGTCAGGTTTCAGAAGCTGAATTTAAGATTATGATCACACTGTAGAAGATCAATATAAGAACATGGTTAGGTTGCAGAAGATGAATAAAAGATCATGAACAGAGTCTAAAACTAAAGAACGAAAAGTTTTGACTTAAATTTTAAGTTCATGGTGAAATGCCACTTCTGAGTCTGAAACTAAAGAATGCGCGAATTTTAAGTTCGTGGTTAAAAGTTCTGTAAAATAATGAATAGCTACTTAAATATTAAACTTTCTCAATTTTAAATTTGAATTTCCCGGGAAAAATATGAACCAATCAGAGAAAAGGATTTAAAGAATTATTACGTAAGTATCGGTATTCGGTAATCAGCTGTTTTTTTAAATTTTAAATGATTTACGTGACGGAAAACAAAACATATTTCCAGTTACAACCGTATTTTGGGTTTACGTGCAAACATTAATTAATCTAAAACGTGAAATTTTATTAAATCAAGGTTTTACTTTTATATATATCGTAATTAGTTGAATGCCGTTTAGCGCTGAATGATGATAGATAAATAGGGATTGCAGGATTTCAAGATTTTAACCCTGTGTTTAAATTTTATCTCGTCGATTTCGGCGAGTTAAATATTTAACCACAGGGTTAAATATTTTACCTCACGCTTAAAGTTCAGGTTTAAATTAAGCCAGAAGTGGCATTTAACCATGAACTTAAAATTTAAGTCAAAACTTTTCGTTCTTTAGTTTTAGACTCTGACTTAATTTAAACCTGAACTTTAACCGTGAGGTTAAATATTTAATCCTGTGGTTAAATATTTAACTCGCCGAAATCGACGAGTTAAAATTTAACACAGGGTTAAAATCTTGAAATCCCGCAATCCCTATTTGTCTATCATCATTCAGCGCTAAGCGGCATTCAACTAATTACGATATATTTAAAAGTAAAAACCTTGATTTAATAAAATTTTACGTTTTAGATTAATTAATGTTTGCACGTAAACCCAAAATACGGTTGTAACTGGAAATATGTTTTGTTTTCCGTCACGTAAATAATTTAAAATTTAAATTTAAAAAAAAGCTGATCTCTTAATACCTATACGTACATAATAATTCTTTAAATCCTTTTCTCTGATTGGTTCAGATTTTTCCCGGGAAATTCAAATTTAAAATTGAGAAAGTTTAATATTTAAGTAGTTATATACTCATTATTTTACAGAACTTTTAACCTCGAACTTAAAATTCGCGCATTCTTTAGTTTTAGACTCTGGTTTAAGGAGATGAATTTAATTAAGATCATGCTCAGGTAGCAGAAGATAAATAAAAAATCATGAATAGGTTGCAGGATAGGAATTTAAGATTATGACCAAGTTTCAAAAGATGAATTTATGATGAAGATTACAAGATGTTATCAGCACTTTAAATGATGATCAGTTGGTGGGATTTCTATTTTCTATATTTCAAAAAACTATGATCAAGTTTCAAAAGTTTACATGTAAGTTACATTTGCATCAATAATAATGTAGGTAAATCTGCATGTCTGAATTATAAAAAAAAATTTCAACTGATTTAATTTAACTGAAAATTTAAAAATAACCTCTACTTTTAAATCAAAATTTGAAAATCAAGAATTTAAAAAAATTATTAACGGATATTTTATGATTTACATTTACAAATCATGGTGGCCTAGCAACAAAAGCTAAACTTTAGATGATAGTCGGTCGACAGATGCTCGATATTAAGATGATAGTCGGTTGACAGATGTTCTATTAAGATGATAGTCGGTTGACAGATGCTCTATTAAGATGATAGTGGGTTGACAGATGCTCTATAAAGATGATAGTCGGTTGACAGATGCTCTATTAAGATGATAGTCGGTTGACAGACGCTCTATTAAGATGATAGTCGGTTGACAGATGCCCCATTCAACTTTACGTTGTGAGTATTTTTGATTAATCTTTCCTGTATGTGTATGCTGTATATGAAGTTAATCAGATAAGTTTAGCATAAACCAATATCAGGCAAACTTTATTATGTTGCATAAATATTAGACTAAATATTAATATTTATCCCTCATCACAGGTTCTATAGACTCATCTCACCTTTTGGAAATTTTTTGTTGTTTTTTTATAATTTGGACTTTTTCTGACAATTTAATCATCAGCAATTTTGAAGATTTAGATTATTTTCTTAAATAACAGCAAGAAAAATTAACAGAAAATAAATTTTATTAAATTATAAATATGTAATGAGTCATGATCAGTGTCGCCTCTTTGCACAAAGAGGCGACACTTTTCTTTTGTAAAACTGTATATTCGAAATATCTAAACAAATTTAAACAACACACCATTTGTATATGTATGTATATTCTTTGCAAAGAGAATAGAATATATATTAGAGGGGAATTTACTAGAAAAAAGTGTAAAACGGCCATTTTGTTGTACTGTTTCCATACTGCAGGTGTACTTGACATATTTGTGTTATATAACCTTTTTGGCCCTGGAACATCATTTTATAGAAAATCTAAAATTAATATTAAAAAAAAAACCAAATTATGAAATAGGCTGGTTTCATAATTGACCAATGATCATTTCACATAGACTCTATGCCTTTCACTTTAGAAACGATGATTTTCCGTTATAACTATAAATCAAATGCTGTTTTTTATTCACCTAATTCATTATAAGGTTTATTTAACAGCTTTAAATAATTCGAAATTGAAATGGATAGTCTAGGGAACATACTGTATTAATGTACTCTACTGCATATAATTTGTGAACATTTACATGATTTGTACACTTTGAACTCCCTTTCAGGCTGAAAGGGAATGACAAAATTCATACCGATGGATTTTCTAAATTCCACTCTAATATATTTTCTATTCTCTTTGATACTTTGTGTGTGAATAAATCCTAACAACAATAATAATAATATTTTTGCAAATTTTTAAAAGAATGTTTTTTTAAGTAAGAACCTGCCAACTTTAAAATGGAAGTCGTCTCTTTTCTTCCTTTTACTGAAAAAATGGGATTTGAGATTTGATGCGACGGAAGCATTTTTAAAAATGTTCAGGGCACTTTTATTATTATTTTATTTTATTATTAAAAGAATAAAGAAGATGACAAGAATACCATAGTTTTCTGGTCACCACTGTATATTATATTTTTATGAATACTGAATGTTTCATAAGTTTTCTTTCTTGAACTATGCAAGATCTCCTGGAGCAGAATACTTCAGAGAAAATAATTGCAAAACCAAAATTAAACATTTTTCAATTTGGTTTTAAAAATTCTTTTCCTTCGAGAAGAACTCCTAGTAAAATCTTTTTATTTAGACCGCAGTTATCAAATTTATAATTTAGACTGTTTATCTATAAGTCTTTTATCTTTGCAGCTATCTATCAAACCTTGTTATTTAGAGAGCTGTTATCAAATTTTAAACTAGACAGCTCCCATAAAATCTTATTATCTAGACAGCTGATATCAAATCTTGTAATCAATCAAATCTTTTATAAGAAAGCTGTAAATCAAATCACATTTTCCAGAAAGCTGAAAATCTTATTATCCAGACAGCTTTTATCAAATTGTAATATCTAGAACAGCTGTTATCAAATCATATTATCCAGACAGCTTTATCAAATTTTTAAAATCTATGTAGAACAGCTGTTATCAAATCATATTATCCAAACAGCTGCAAAATCTCAAAGCTTTGATCAAATCGTATAATTTAGATAACTGTTTTCTAATACTTCATGAAAAGATAATTTAATTTTATCATCCAGACAGTTCTATAAAAGCTAAAAAGCTGTCATATTATCTTCATCTTCATCCTATACTTCTGGGGTGGGGTGGGATATAGCTTATGGATTAGAAACAACAGGTGAAATAAAGATATTTCTTTTCGGTTGGACCACCTCATTTTTCTAATGCCAAAAAATAAAATTCAAGATAAACTTTGATATCATATAATATTTTCACAAAATTACACTTTTAACCTTCGTCTGAGCAAAAATTATGAAGATATCCTTATTTTTCTATTATAAACTTTATAGTTTCCCATTGAGACACTACAATTTCAGTAGAAGTAAATATTTCCATTTAGTGATAGGCGCTATTGAAGGATTCATATCTCTAATTGGATAATGTAAGATAGATGTTACCGCCATACTATTTCTATTGGTTCAGAATAGACAACAAACACATGACTGAACCCTAATTGGATCAGCCGCTAATGGACTCGGCAATCAGGAGTGGAGATTTCTCAATTAAAGTGAATTGCGGAATCATGCAATAGAACATAAAAGTAATTGTTAGATTTTAATATTTTTCTTGGTAAGAAAACAATAATATTTTCCTCATTGCTAATGGGTACCATTGTGAATCACTTTAACGTCGACAGTTCCATTAAAGGAGGTGACCGGCTAGGTAAAGAAGTTTAAATGAAAGTGAAGTATCAGAAAATAAAATATTGGGATTTAATTGATACAATATGAGATGTGTTTACTATGTATATGTAATTGTTATGACATTAGTTTGAAGAACAGGTTTGCGGTCTAACGTAACAATAATACATAGAAAAAACGTGATATTGGTAACAAATGAATTTTAATATTTTATTCCACAATACTGCACTCTCCGTTCTACTACCCTCCTAGCTGGTCACTTTCTTTTAAGGTATATATGAGACTTTTAGACTTTTAGACTTTTAGACTTTTAGACTAATAGACTTTGAGACTATTATACTTCTATACTATTAGACTTTTAGACTATTATACTTCTAGACTATTAGACCTTTATACTTTTAGACTTTTAGAATATTAGACTTTTAGACTGTGAGACTTTTAGACTTTTAGTCTTTTAGACTATTAGACTTATAGAATATTAGACTTTTAGACTGTGAGACTTTTAGACTTTTAGACTTTTAGACTTTTAGTCTTTTAGACTATTAGACTTTTAAACTATTATGACTTTTAGACTTTTAGTCTTTTAGACTATTAGACTTTTAAACTATTATGACTTTTAGACTATTAGACTTTTAGACTATTAGACTTTTAGACTTTTAGACCTTTATACTATTAGACTTTTAGAATATTAGACTTTTAGACTATTAGACTTTTATACTATTATACTTCTAGACTATTAGACTTCTAGACTGTTATACTTCTAGACTATTAGACCTTTATACTTTTAGACTTTTAGAATATTAGACTTTTAGACTGTGAGACTTTTAAACTTTTAGACTTTTAGACTTTTAGTCTTTTAGACTATTCGACTTTTAAACTATTATGACTTTTAGACTTTTAGACTTTTAGACTATTAGACTTTTAGACTATTAGACTTCTATACTATTAGAATTTTAGACTATTAGACTTCTAGACTATTAGACCTTTATACTTTTAGACTTTTAGAATATTAGACTTTTTGACTTTTAGTCTTTTAGACTATTATGACTTTTAGACTTTTAGTCTTTTAGACTATTAGACTTTTAAACTATTATGACTTTTAGACTTTTAGACTATTAGACTTTTAGACTGTGAGACTTTTAGACTTTTAGACTATTAGATTATTTCTAGTAAATTTTGACTTGAAAGCTTGTTAATTTGTTTGGACATAAATTAGGAGAACAAAAAGTTTATTGTTGTAATTAGTTACAGAGCAAAGTGATTTAGATGTCATTGTTTTATTGTTAGCGGGCCTTCATTTTCGAACAAATGTTTCTTTATTAAATTTGAATTATTCCTATGCAGAGAGAACCAGAAAACATTAGAATTCTCGTCGTCTTCTTTTCTTATTTATTTAGAAAATGCCGCGCTAAGAAGTGTAATTTTCACCTGAACTATTTATAAAAAGTGCTCTGAACATTTTTACAAATTGTTTAGCTGCATTGCAACAATTGTAAATAACGAAATCCTGTCCACCATTTCTTAAATTAAAGAAACTACAAAGACGACACGAAGAAAACACCCTGATCATGTGCTGGATAGACAGACCTTTTAACCTTAGTGCAAGGCAGGACTTTTAAAATGTGAAAAATTCGTCATTAAGTATAAACAAGGTATGAATTGGCATGAATGCTTAATGAATTGTATTGAAGGCCATGAGTTCTAGTGAAAATAAAAGAGGGTATCGAGTAATTCCTAATTCGCAATGCAATATGCTTTTTTATGTTTTATGTTGCTGCAGTAAACAGACTTTTTTATTTCTTAAATTTTCTTTTCCTTTGAGGTTCTCGCAATGGTTAAAGCTTCAAACAAAACAAATGCAATGCAATGCAAATATTTATAAACTATTTATATATTTTATCTTACAAATTGGTTTAATAACATGCATGGTTACCTTCAAACAAGAAAACGATCTTAAACTCCTTAAATATGACGATCTAAAGGACGATCCTAAACTCCTTAAATACAACGATCTAAAGGACGATCCTAAAGTCCTTAACTATGAAGATCTACAGGAAAATTCTAAACTCCTTAAATATGACGATCTAAAGGACGATCATAAACTCCTTAAATATAACGATCTACAGGACAATCCTAAACTCCTTAAATATAACGATCTAAAGGACGATCCTAAACTCCTTAAATATAACGATCATAAGGATCGACGATCCTAAAGTCCTTAATTATAACGAACTAAAGGACAATCCTAAACTCTTTAAATATGACGATCTACAGGACAATCCTAAACTCCTTAAATATGACGATCTGCAGGACAATCCTAAACTCCTTAAATATAACGATCTAAAGGACGATCATTAACTCCTTAAATATGACGATCTACAGGACAATCCTAAACTCCTTAGATAACGATCCTAAACTCCTTAAATATAACGATCAAAAGGACAATCCTTAACTCCTTAAATATAACGATCTACAGGACAATCCTAAACTCCTTAAATATAACTATCTAAAGGACGATCCTAAACTCCTTAAATATAACGATATTAAGGATCGACGATCCTAAAGTCCTTAATTATAACGAACTAAAGGACAATCCTAAACTCCTTAAATATGACGATCTACAGGACAATCCTAAAGTCCTTAAATATAAGTATCTAAAGGTCGATCCTTAACTCCTGAAATATAACGATCTAAAGGACGATCCTAAAGTCCTTAAATATAACGAACTAAAGGACAACGATCCTAAACTCCTTAAATATAACGATCAAAAGGACAATCCTTAACTCCTTAAATATAACGATCTACAGGACAATCCTAAACTCCTTAAATATGACGATCTACAGGACAATCCTAAACTCCTTAAATATAACGAACTAAAGGACAATCCTTAACTCCTTAAATATAACGATCTACAGGACAATCCTAAACTCCTTAGATATGACGATCATAAGGACGATCCTAAAGTCCTTAATTATAACGAACTAAAGGACAATCCTAAACTCCTTAAATATGACGATCTGCAGGACAATCCTAAACTCCTTAAATATAACGATCTAAAGGGCGATCATTAACTCCTTAAATATGACGATCTACAGGACAATCCTAAACTCCTTAGATATGACGATCTAAAGGACGATCCTAAACTCCTTAAATATAACGATCTAAAGGACGATCCTAAAGTCCTTAAATATAACGAACTAAAGGACGATCCTAAACTCCTTAAATATAACGATCTAAAGGACGATCCTAAACTCCTTAAATATAACGATCTAAAGGAAGATCCTAAAGTCCTTAAATATAACGATCTAAAGGACGATCTTAAACTTCTTAAATATAACGAACTAAAGGACGATCTTAAACTTCTTAAATATAACGATCTAAAGGACGATCCTAAACTCCTTAAATATAACGATCTAAAGGACGATCCTAAACTCCTTAAATATAACGATCTCAAGGACGATCCTAAACTCCTTAAATATAACGATCTAAAGGACGATCATAAACTCCTTAAATATAACGATCTAAAGGACGATCCTAAACTCCTTAAATATAACGATCTCAAGGTTGAATTTGGTCATTTGTCTAGATTTAGCAAATAAAGTAAGAGTTGCAAGGAACCAAAGGTTTGTAGAAAAATGTTGATTTAAATCTATGCAGTCCTCTTTGAAGTCTTATTTAGTGACTAACCTTTATAAAAACACAGAGAAGAACATAAAAACATGGAAAATTATATAAGTATTTTCTGGATCATGTCTGATTTTAAAAACAAGGCCTTATTAATAAGCAGTTATCATTTTAACAAACAAAAAAAGGTATTTATTGATTGATTAAGTATTTTTTTACAAAAAGAGTCAATAATTCACGTTCCGTCTGATGGTTCGTTTGTAAGGTTCAGATATATTCTTAATTCCAAGCTTTTGGGTTTATTGAATACTTTCAAATATGTGAACAATCCCTTTATACATTCTGGTTTATTGAATACTTTCAAATATGTGAACAATCCCTTTATATATTCTGGTTTATTGAATACTTTCAAATATGTGAACAATCCCTTTATATTTTCTGGTTTATGAGGAACACTGCATTCACCTGTAAATCCAGTATTATGAGTATACATCAAGGTTTAGCTCAGATACTCCTTATACTCTATGACACTCGAAGCAAACCTTCTCCGAACAGAGTGCAGGGTTGAATCCAGCGGAGAAATATCCGGGTTCGGAGAGAGGAACGGAGACGGAGCTAAGCCCAGTTCTCGAAACTAACAATTCTATATTTTCTCAAGCGGACTTTCTTTTCACATCGTTCACACTTTGTTCAAACGATATGCTCACAACTTACAACTTTGGGAATTTTAATTCGAAATATGAGTTCAAATGTTTTTCTCAAATTTAAAAAAAATAAGAATTCCAGTTTCAGGAATGTTCTCATTCGTCTTATCAAGCTAAAATATTTAGACAAATATATATGAAAGGTACTAGCTAAAAAATTCATCACAAACTCTAATTGTTTATTTCCTATCTGCAACCTGATGGTGTAAACCTTAGATATTCCATGAACTTTTTAATTAAAACATAAATGATTTCTTGTTGAATAGTAAAACATGTAAGAATGCAGATTTCAAAATATTTCTTATTCTAAAATCCATAACTGAACTATAAGTATGTTCTTTACCAACCTTGAGAAGTGTTGAAACCTTAAAAATTGCAATAAATCCCTCAAATTACACAATATAAGGCAGGCGGTGGAAGGGAAGGGGGCGGGTTTCAAAGGGGGAAAACCATAAAAATGTACACAATTATAAAATTAAGCATTGAGATCGGCCTTTTTGCCTGACCTTCGAACCACTAGTTTAAATTTTTGAAGCCCAGTTTAAGGTTAGTTACGATATCTCAAAACCAGAATACCTTCATATTTCTGCTAAACAAAGAAAACCTTGAGAAACTGCTGTATCAAAAACTTTGATTTGTGTAAAATATATAATTTAACATAAAGATATTCATTATTTCCTTTATAGTTCCTTTAAAGGGACTGTATGCAAAAGTTCAAGTGACCCTCCATGCAAAGATGGCAGTGTCAGATTTACAACGGTACCTCTGATCAAAAATGCGGAAGATACTGTCGTTTTCCTGACTCTAAAAATGTTTAATTCGGATGGTTGCTTCTTAAAAGAAAAGAATGCGCAAGTCAATCTTTCAGAAAAACCACAAATAAAAATAAACAGTTAAAAGAAACAAAAACATGCATATATGATTTATACTTGATCAGGCAAAGCTTTTCAGGATGTGTTTTAAAGAGCATTCGATTCAGTTTGAAATCGAAACAACTTAAGTTCCTCAATACAATATCCTACAGAGGGGAACTTTTAAATGGATGCAAAGATTTTAATTGATTCGAATGATATAATCAGTTATAATCAGATATAATCAGTTCCAGTAATTGATAATCGGTTATTTAACACGCTCTGATTGGTCAATGGTCATATCTCCGTAATTTAAAAGAACGGCGTAACTTCTTGTCAGAATTGAGAATCCCTTGAATTTATTTTAATCAATTTAAATCAGTTACGTTCATTCAAAAGTTCTTATCTCCGGATTAAGTTGAAAGGCTTAATTATATCGCAAACTATGTAAACTTATTACATCTCAAAATATCTGTTTAAAATTGATAAGCTAAGTTTTAGAGATTTCACAGGTTTCAGTAAATACAAAGAGAATTTGTTAATAAGAGAGCTCTTTCTAAACCAATTTTCTCAGAGGAAGGCTTAACAGAGATCAAAATAATGTTAGTTTCAAAAAAATTCCAAAACCTTGCGTCCTCGCAATAATTCCAACTCAAAATTTACATCGCAAAATAGTTCAGAATAATGTATAAATGAGAGTTTGAAGTAAAAAAAAACTATCTATCTAGATAAAATAGGAATTATTAAATCTTACTCTTAATGTATAACAAGGTTTGATTGTGGGAGAAGATTTATTTACATTTTGCAACTCTAGGTTTCCATCCTACCATATACAAACATAGATCAGGACGGAGAGTACTTCTCCCCCACTCAGGGTTCTTCGTCCCATCAAACTTATTCTTCGGTTGATTATATTTTTGGTTTACTCCAGGTTCCAGGGATACTCCAGGTATTGTCTCTGGTTCCTGGGATACTCCAGGTATTGTCTCTGGTTCCAGATATACTCCTGGTATTGTCTCTGGTTCCAGGGATACTCCAGGTATTGTCTCTGGTTCCAGGGAAACTCCAGGTATTGTCTCTGGTTTCATGGACACTCCAGGTATTGTTTCTGGTTCAAGGGAGACTCGAGGTATTGTCTCTGATTCCGGGGATACTCCAGGTATTGTCTCTGGTTCCAGGGATACTCCAGGTAGTGTCTCTGGTTCCTGGGATACTCCAGGTATTGTCTCTGGTTCCAGGTATACTCCTGGTATTGTCTCTGGTTCCAGGGATACTCCTGATATTGTTTCTGGTTCCAGGGATACTCCAGGTATTGTCTCTGGTTCCAGGGATACTCCAGGTATTGTCTCTTGTTCCAGGGATACTCCAGGTATTGTCTCTGGTTCCAGGGATACTCCAGGTATTGTCTCTGGTTCCTGGGATACTCCAGGAATTGTCTCTGGTTCCAGGTATATCCCTATATATTCTAATGAGGAATCTGAGTCGGTTTTCCGGGAATTCTTCTGAAAAAGTGTACTTTGCTCTTGCCTGACCAGATCCTGATCTTTCCTCAATATCTTATCATCTCCAATAATCATCCCGTGATCTTCAGTAATCATATTCTGATCTTTAGTAATTATTTCTTGATCTTCGGTAATCATCTCTTGATCTTCAATAATTATCCCTTGATCTTCGGTAAGTATATCTTGATCTTTGATATGTATGTTCTGATCAATAATTGACTCTAGGATTTCTTCTTGATTTTTAAAAATTATCTTTTTTCTTGAAAATTTCTCATCTCTTTCTAAACAATAAAAATATTTAGTCACAACTAAAAGGGTGTTCCAAAACCGCACTTTTTTCAAACCAAAAATATTAAAAATGAAAAAAGTAAATAAAAGTTTAATAATTCAAAAGAGAAAATGTCCTCATAGTTTTAATAAATGTCAGATATTGACAAGACAAAGAATATATCTGAGAGAGTTATGATAAACACTCATTCGAAGAGTGTTTTCAAGTGATGCAAGATATGATACCGGATACAACTTTTTAACCATTAACTAGATAACAATGACGAGATATAAACTGGTTTTATAAAAAGTAAAAAGAAATTGATTATTTGCCACAAACTCTGATTGTCTAATCCCTTTATCTTTATTACCTAACGTAATAGACTTTAAATATTGCTAACTATGAATTCTGTTCGATCAAATAATCTGAATTCTAAATATCAAAGTTTTACACCATCCGATTGCAAAGATATAAGGATTAGACAATCTTAGTTTGTGGCAAAAGCTTCTTTAAATGGTATTAAAAACATTTCAACAAAATTTTGATTCTAAAAACAGTTTGTGAATTTGTTTTCTTTCTCGAGTATTTTAAGAGACTACAGAACCTGCAGACGTCTAATTTAAAGAAATTTTATGTTTTTGTTCACCCCAAAATACAAAAAAGACCATACTCTGTAAATATTTCTACCTTTTTTCTCTTTCTTTAAATTATTCTCCGCTATAAGTTGGTCCAGATCTATCTGTCCGTTCTTCTCTAAAAAGTTTAGAATAACAGGGAAATTGTTTGAGTTTCCTTGAAGAAGGAAGGTTTTAAGCTGAGTTGATGATTTAGCTCCGATCCTGGCGATTAGTCTAACCAGGTCCCGGAGAACAGGATTATCATCTGAACCTGGGAACCGAACTCCAAACTGTTCAAGTTAAAGGAATTTGCTCAACAACTTCTATATTTTAATAGTTGGAAACTTGAAAAAGACGGATTATTAAATCTATTCTATAGGACACATACAGGCTGGCAAAATTACTGTAAACTAAAGTAAAACCTTTAGTGAACCGCAAACCTTGAATCTACTAAATTTTACAAAAAATATTTAAGAAGAAAATTCAAATTTTTTGTTTAATAGTTAAAATTGTGATCTAAAGTTACAGCTGTGTGAAAAATGGACCGAACTGTTAAATCTGCGTGATCAAAGCTGAAACTTTAATCTACGTGATCTAAGCTGAAACTTTAAACTACGTGATCTAAGCTGAAACTTTAAACTGCGTGATCTAAGCTGAAACTTTAAACTACGTGATATAAACTGAAACTTTAAACTGCGTGATATAAGCTGAAACTTTAAACTACATGATATAAGCTAAAACTTTAAACTGCGTGATTTAAGCTGAAACTGAAACTTTAGGTTTGGAATATTTGAAAAAAATCAGATTAAGTATTCAAGTCTACCGTTGTAAATCGGGCATTGTCATCTTTTAATGAAGAGCCAAATAAAATTACGCTAACGGTCTCTTTAACAAATTTTTGCCAATTGTTTTCTTCATGAAGCATCAATAACCGCACAACATCAGCTTTTTGGGGTTGTTAACTTGTTTTAAAAAGAAATATGACATTTTAGTTTCTTGGTTTTCTCAAACCAGGAGCACACTTTTTTCCAACTGTAAATAATGTTTATACTGTAGCTCTGTATGGTATAAGTACATGTGATCCTATTGAGTTGTTGGTTCCTAAGTATCTGTATACAATGTATACAATATATACTATGCAGTGTTTACACATATATATTTCTGTGTTTAAACAGTTTGGGAAAATATATATATTTATATTTATATATATATGTATCTATATTGGAAAATATCTTTGATTCATTGGATTCCTTGGAAAAAACTAGTTTTCTATCTTTCTATGAAAATGCATTTTTATACCCGTAGTGGTTGCAAGAGGCTTTGGACCAAAATATAAACGATCATTTTTAATATCTACATTCTTGTAATCAAGTTTGAGTTTTTAATAATGGCCTCTGATGCCAAATCCCCAGACCTAAATTTTATGACCTGGCAGGATTAAAAAACCTAATTTCTAGTTTAAATATGTACAAATATTAAACCATTCCCGACCTCTTTAATTTTTCGTAAACATTCCCTTTAAAAGAGATTGTTGAGTTATTTGGTCAAGATGGCGGGCACTGGATCGACCCATTACTAAACAAAGAGTTTTTATTCCCCCAATCTCAGTTTGCATGGATCTAGTAAATTACCCGAAGTGGAACCGAGAATTCTTTTGTAAAATACTTTGTTACGAATTGTCCCTAATAAATAACTTTAAGGCTGAATCTTACCAATTTATTGAAAGGTTAGGGGCCTCTGTTTTTAAGGATTATATGAAATTCCTACTGAAATTTTTTTTTAGCTATAAGGCAAAGGAATTAAGTTATTGACACTAACTTTGATTTTCTAACTACCATATATTTTTAACCCGATATTGAAGACCTTCGATTTGAAAACAAAAATGTTATTAGATCAAATACAAAGTCTAAGTTTAAAATATAGAAAGTTTACAACATCAGGATGTAAATATATGTTTATCAATATTCCCTGCTCATCATGAAGACTGCAGAAACAGAAAATGTGAAAAATTAAGGAGGAAAATTACAGGTATTATTAAGACTATTTGTTAAATAATTGATACAAGCCGATCACATTATCCACCCCCCACAAAAAATCCTACACTGCTTCCTTCAAACACACTTAAACCTTTCTTTTGCGGAAAAGTTTAATAAAAAATTTTAACATTTTATATTTTAGAAATTCCTTTTCCTGAGGCGAAATCATATCGGTTTTATTATTAAACATCTCTTCCATTCTTTTTTCATCTTTCCTTGTCTTCATTTCCTCATTTATCATTGTTTTATTTTTTTCCTTTGTCTCTTTTTCTTCTCCATTAGCTTCCTGGACATGCTCTCCTTCAACATTAACATCCTTTACATGCTCTTCATCAACAAAAGCTTCCTGGACATACTCATCATCGTAATTAGCTTCCTTGACATACTCTTCTTCGTCATTAGCTTCCTTGACATGCTTGTCTTCGTTATTAGCTTCCTTGACATTTTCTTCTTCGTCATTAGCTTCCTTTACATGTTTTTCTTCGTTATTAGCTTCCTTTACATGTTCTTCTTCGTCATTAGCTACCTTTACATTTTCTTCGTCGTCATTTGCTTCCTTGACATGCTCTTCTTCGTCATTAGCTTCCTGGGCATGCTTTTCTTCATCATTAGCTTCCTTGACACGCTCTTCTTCGTCATTAACTTCCTTGACATTTTCTTTTTCGTCATTAGCTTCTTTTACATGTTCTTCTTCGTCATTAACTTTCTGGGCATGCTCTCCATGGTTCTTTACTTCTTGGACATGATCTTCTTTGTCATTAGCTTCCTGGTCATGCTCTTCTTCATCATTAGCTTCCTGGGCATGTTCCTCATCATTCTTTGCTTCCTGGACATGTTCTTCTTCTTCTTCACTAGCTTCCTGGTCATGCTCATCTTCGTCATTTGCTTCCTGGACATGTTCTTCTTCGTCATTAGCTTCCTGGGCATGGGCTTCTTCGTCATTAGCTTCCTGGACATGCTCTTCGCCGCCATTGGCTTCCTTAACATGGGCTTCTTTGTCATCAGCTTCCTGGACATGCTCTCCATCGTCATTAGCTTCCTGGGCATGCTCTTCTTCGGCATTAGCTTCTTTGACATGCCCTTCTTCATTATTAGCTTCCTGGGCATGCTCTTCTTCGTCATTAGCTTCCTGGGCATGCTCTTCTTCGTCATTAGCTTCTTTGAAATATCCTTCTTCATTATTAGCTTCCTGGGCATGCTCTTCTTCGTCATTAGCTTCCTGGGCATGCTCTTCTTCATCATTAGCTTCTTTGACATGCCCTTCTTCGTTATTAGCATCCTTGACATGCCCTTCTTCAATATTAACTTCCTTGACATGCTCTTCACCAGCAAATAGTTTCATGACATACACTTCTACGTCATTAGCTTTCTTGACATGCTCTTCTTCGTCATTAGCTTCCTTGACATGCTCTATATTGTCATAAGCTACCATGACATGTATTACAGAATCAACAGCATCCTTGACATCTTTATCTTCTTGTTCTTCAGCTTTATCTTCATATCCGGTTTCTGGATCTTCATATCCGGTTTCTAGATCTTCGTACACCATTTCTGGATCTTCTTGTTCTATTTCTGGATCTTTTTGTTCTATTTCTAGATCTTCTTCTTCAATTTCTAGATCTTCTTTTTCTGGATCTTCTTCTTCAATTTCTAGATCTTCTTCTTTTATTTCTAGATCTTCTTTTTCTGTTTCTAGATCTTCTTCTTCTATTTTTAGATCTTCTTCTTCTATTTCTAGATCTTCTTCTTCTGTTTCTAGATCTTCTACTTCTATTTCTAGATCTTCTTCTTCTGTTTCTAAATCTTCTACTTCTATTTCCAGATGTTCTCCTTCTATTTTAAGATCTTCTTCTTCTATTTCTAGATCTTCTTTTTCTGTTTCTAGATCTTCTTCTTCATTTTCTAGATCTTCTTCTTCTGTTTCTATTTCTTCTTCTTCTGTTTCTAAATCTTCTTCTTCTATTTCTAGATCTTCTTCTTCTATTTTTAGATCTTCTTCATCTATATCTAGATCTACTTCTTCTATTTCTAGATCATCTTCTTCTTCTATATTCAGACTTTCTTGTATGTTTTCTTGGCTTATATACTCCAAACCTTGGTCATTTTGTTGTATCTCTTGATCTTCATGGTCCATCTCTTGGTCTTCTTGTTCCATATATTGATCTTCAGGTTTCATCTTTAGATCTTCCTGTTCCATATCTTGATCTTGAAATTCCATCTTTAGATCTTCTTGTTCCACCTCTTGATCTTCTTGATCCATAACTTGATCTTTTTGTTCCATCTCTTGATTTTTTTGTTCCATCCCTTGATCTTTTCGCTCTACCTCCAGATCAGCTTGCGCTTTGACAAGATCTTCATCTGCAAGTTTGTTCTCCTCCTCATCTTTTTCTCTTTCCTCATTTTCATTGACTAGATCTTTTTCTTTTTCTTCCTCTTTGACAAGATCTTCATCTTCAATTTCGTTCTCGTCCTCATCTTTTTCTAGTTCCTCATCTTCATTGACTAGATCTTTTTCTTTTTTTTCTATTTCTTTATTATCTATTTTTTCTTGTTTTAAATCGTTGTCTGCAAATTTTTTCTCCAAAACTTTGAGTTCAGGATTTTCTTGTTTTGATGAATATTGAATTTCATTTTCTTCTATTTTCTGATTCATAGCTTTATCTTTCTTCATAGAATTTATAGGTTTAGTATCCAAAATGATCTTTTCATTTCCGGAACCTTTCTGGGTTAATTTAGCATCAACATCATTTCTCAGAGAGATGTTCTTTTTATTCTGTTGCAATTTGGTTTCTAAAAATTAAATATCATAAATGTGATGAAGCTTAATAAATGAGATACAATTATAGATATTTTTTAAAATGTAAGTTTACCTTGTAAATGGTAGTTGATATTATCCTTCAACTCGTCTACATCCTGGTTAAAGGGACTGTACTCGTCTACATCCTGGTGAAAGGGACTGTACTCGTCTACATCCTGGTTAAAGAGACTATAGGCGTAATTTCAGTTGACCCTCCATGTATAAAGTGTCACTTTCGATTCACAATGGTACCAGCAAAGCTTTGTCCAAACAAAAATTAACGAGATATCCATAATTTCCCTTTCAATGGGTTACTTTCAATTGTAGTTCCTCTATAGGTGACTTGTAGTTTTCTTGGTACAGAAACAAAATGAGAAAAATGTAAGAATTTTACACTTTTAAAACTAGAAAAACAACGATTTATTTCACATTATTGATCAGATAAAAGCTTAAAGTTTAGCGTTGAGAATCGTACATGCCCCTATTTGGGTGGTCACACTAAATTACACCATCTGAGAGAACTGTTAACCTTCACACCATACATTTCTTAACTTTACTTTTAGTCAGACATTGTTCTTAGATAAAAAATGTTCAGCAAGCAGAATTGAGTTTTTGACTTTTATTTTCTAATCCCTTTATCTTTGTAACCCAATATCTTAGACCTTAGATATTGTAATCTATAAGTCTGTAGGATAAAATAATCTAAGGTTGAAATATTAGGTTTCAAAGATATAGGGATCAGAAAATTAGAACCTTCACAACTCCTCACAGACTTTTTAAAAACATTTTCTTTAAAAAAACTGAAATTTGGCCAAAAACTCTTTTTGTTTTCAAATAGCTAAATTACTTTTTATTAATAATGCTTTGATCCCTCATTAGAGAGTCTTTATGAGACCATTAATGATTAAAGTAATTTAATTAATGTTTATTTTTTAATGTCCAACATCTGACTAGTATATATTCCCAAAAGACAGTAAAGTAGTCTCCCCGCTGTTAACGGAACCATATTTGTAATTTTATTTATATTTAATAAATTCGACATTTTCTAACAATCTTTATTGGCAAGGAGCCATGTATTTATAATATTACAGAAATATATTTAATTCGCCGCTAGTTAATTGACTTTATTAGGAACAAAGTATTGACAAAAAAGTGTTTGGGGGGGGGATGGAAAAAGGAGGGTTTATTCTTCTGCTTCGTGATTTTCACATTATGGGAATACTTCATCCATGAACAGAAAGCGATGTTTCTTCTTTGATACAAAATCTTCAAATCTTTTTAAAACATGTCATTAAATGTAAATATCTTCTCTAATTAAAAAGTCATGTTATCTCTGTTTGTTTGATTGGATGTCCGATCATAACTCATAAACCCATTGACTGATTGGTGTCAAATTTTGATTTGGGAACTCGGGAGACCCATGGAAATGTTCTTAGCTTACTTTTGATATTCTTCGTTGAGTGGGTCTACTTTTATAGGGAAAAATAGCTAAAATCGTAATTTACGACCAAGCGTGGGTAACTATAAGTACCCTGGGCAATGCTGGGTTCTCAAACTAGTTTTAAAATGAAATTAGCTTTCAAATACTCAATAATAGTAATAAGAAAGGGTTTACCTGTGTATGATATTTGTATCCCGGAGCAATATAAACCAAACCATTCTTCAACTCTCCCCAAACCCACTCACTAGCAACAAACCAATCTCATTAAATTAATTAGACTAGCAAATACCCCCGCCCCCCCCCACCATATTCAATTCACTTTTTGATTAAATTATTCATATATTTAAGTTTGAAATGTTCCTGTAAGGTTGGATTGAGTTGTCAGGAATCCTACTATTTAGTTCAACTTTGATAACAGGAACTCCGTGGGCTAGAAGAGAACATAGAAGAAGACAGAAAATCATTTTTGATCAGTTCTTCCTTTTTCTGGTATGCAATGGATATTTTACTAACTGTATAATTGTTTTATAAGGAGAAATTCGGGATTGATTCTCCGAAACCATAGCATAAAGGGATGATAAGTATTTATTTTATAGATTCGAAACCATAGTAATCTCGTCCAAACCAAGTTCTTTTTTATTTATGAGATGCATTGGATAAAGTCTACNCCCCCCCCCACCTCAATCCTTTGTACCCGATTTGATTAAAGCTGAGACGCAATCTAGGAATACAAAGGGTATATCCATGATTGTTTTGAGCTGCATTACGAACTAACTATTCGGAATCAGCGGTTTAATTATCCTCTAACCCACAGTATTTCTCCTATACCCGTCCAATGTGAGTACATAAAACTGAGATACAATCTAGGAATACACAGGGTATATCCATGATTGATGTAAGCTGCATTACGAGATAATAACTCGCAATCAGAAGTCTAAAAAGTTCACAGAATTTTTATAGTATAATCCCTTTTTGTTTCCCCCCCCCCCCCCCTCACATTTCATACAAAGAAGAGGGTGATGTGAAAATAAATTTCATCTCAGGAATTCAGAACTTACGATCCAGGGAGATGTAATTTATTCTAACAAATTCGGTTTAAGACTATATAGGTTGCCCAGCACAGGGCTGTTAAGGGTATTTAGCCAGAACCTGCCAACATCACAATGGAAGAGAGGAGGAGCCCACGACAGAGAAGGTCGAGATCGGAATCCGACCAGGAGAGAGGAAGTGCGTCATCAACGGGAGACCCACCTGCTACACCGTCATCCCCAGGTTTAATGTCGGAATTTAATTTAAATAGATGCACTTCAAACCCTGATTTAGCGTACTTAAGAGAAAATCTTCTTGAATCACCAATGGGTCAAGGGTTGGGCACAAGGTTACAAGCTAGACAATCGGATACCATGTCTAATAAGTTAGCAAGGACACTGCAAAGAGTAGAGTACCTTAAAACTGACATTGAAGGGTGGGCCACATGGGCGGTAGAGACCCCCCCGCATAGGATTAGTAAGGCACTGTACGTAAATTATGATCAACTGCAAGCTAGGAGGAAGGTGATAGCAAAGGAAGCATTACTAAGGGGGGCTGACATGAAGATCATAAGAGAGATAGAGGGGTTAAGCACAAGGTTAGATAATCTTAAGAGACTAGCTGAAAAACGTGCGGAGCGAGGTGAACAAGACGGACCTATAGGCGACCCACAGAGTAGAGACCGAACGGAAGACGAAGTGTTCGCAGAGGATGAGATCCCAGAAGAGGGGTCCATAAGTCTCCACGTAGGTAGTTCCGAACCCATTGAGCCTGAGCCGGAAAAAAACCAATCAGAGCCGACCGGACAGGATGAGAGGGTAGGAGAAGAAAATAGGAGTGCCAGAGACGATGCCATCTCACAGATCATAAACACTATAAGGCAGGCTAGTACTACATTATCTGTAGGGGAGGAAGACCAACGAACAAGAGCACAGAGTCTCAGTGTAGGTAGTAGAACACAAGATAAGTCGCGAGAGCAGGAATCCCAACTATCAGTCATAGATGGAAGGCTTAAGTATATGGAGACGAAGGTGAATCTAATGTCAACACAAGTTAATGAGATGCAGGAGTCCCTTCAACGAGTGCAGGCCACGCAGAGCGAGTCTGAGACAAGGTTGACAAGTGTGGAAACCAGGATTGATCTTATAGATAGGAACCTTAAGTCTTATGTACATCAAAAAATTGCCCCGGTTAAGCAGAAGGTAGCATTATTGCAGCAAGATAACAGTTCAACTCAGGTCACAAGACAAATCCAAGACTCAATAAAGAGTAGGGTAGAAGGGTACTGTGAGGAGTTAGGACTACCAGAACTTAGGAAGGAGATTGTAGAGCTACGGGAGCAGTCGTCAGCCGACGAAAGGACGGTAGGAAACCTTAGAGACTTAGTCGTTGAAGTTAGGGATCAGGTTATAAGGAATCCTTTATCCTCGAATGTTTCCAGGGCTATCCACACGTCCACTCCATACCCCCCCGACCCTGCACAGACATCTAGAGAATGTGAAGTTATCAGGAACAATATAGAGCGCTCAGTTAGGTTAATTAGACAACTGACCAGCACTAGGCTAACGATAGGTTCTGACGTAGGCTTAATAAAGAAATGCAACAAGGAAGATACAGGGAAAATTAATAGACATGTTAAGACCTGTAGCGATGACCTCCTGAAGTACATAAAGTACCCCGACGCAGACGAAGGTTTTTGCTCAGATGTAAGATTAGTATTAGATGCAGCAGACGATTGGGTAGTCAATGTAGAAAGCATCTATGCGCGATCTGAAGCGCATGCGATTAGCGACTCTAGGGGAGATATCTCCAGGTTGGGTATCTTTAATAACAAGGCGGAGAAAACAGTATTTGAGTTCATAGAAGAAGCAGATCTAGCGATGCTAGGGTGGGGAACATCAAAACAGCGCGCGTCCCTCCTAATTAAGCACCTATCTGAAGAAATCAAGTCGCGTATTGCAGATTTCTCAGATAACTTTGGAAGGATTAGGGAATGGTTAATTAAGACTTATGGGGGCCCAGAGAGAATTATAGGAGACATATTAGCCAGGCTGAGATCCCAACCTAGACCAGTGAACCCAGTAGCGATTACCCCAGGAGATAAAGGGGAGAGATATGCTTATTTTGCAGCCATTGCATCTGCAATAGGCAGAATTGATAAACTAGGAAAATTACCCGACATTAATATAGTGCATTTAACATCAGTAATGTATTGCAGGAATACAATCTCAGGCCTTATTGAATTATTACCCCTTCAGGATCAGGACCAGCTGCAGAGGAAGATGACGGAGAGGAACCTGGACTGGGATAACCCCCAGGGAGAGTCAACGTACGCTGTAATCAAGGAGTATTGTACAACGGAGAGGAATATTGTTGCGTCCTATAGAGGAGTAGACAACAAATCGAGGAATAAACCTAAGTCCGTATTCATCTCCAACACAGAGAAAGAGGGGAACTCAGATGAAGATGACCTCAAGGAAGTCCATACCGCCACATATGTTCCTCCAGCCCCATGGTATCCTCCAGGAATGAGATTCCCTTGCCCCCTATCTTCCCATAACCATGAGATGGCAGAATGCAAGGAATGGTTAAGCATGACCCCAACAGAGAGATGGGAAAACACCAAGGTCAGGAGAATTTGCTATGCTTGTCTCCGACCCAAGTCAGTATGTAATGAACGTAAATGTAAATTCACCAAGACTGTTGATCAGGTGATCACGTGTCAAGGCTGTGTTGAGTATGCAACAGCTAATGGGTGGGCCCCGTTCAGTATTTTAATGTGTCGGAAACGTAAACATGCTGAGGTCAGGGCAAAGTACACTGATATTAAAAGGACTTTGGATAAATATTTGGGAAAAATATCGTCTGATATAAATGAGTCCAATTTAAAGGTATCTGCTAATTTTGCACGTCAAATCCATGCTGCAGCCCCTATAAATGACCCACAACCGGGGGGGAGCTCAGATAAGGATAAACCCTTGACTCAGGACACACCATGCATAGACACTCAATCAGGAACAAGGGTTTATCCAAGTCTGGAGCTTATTGAACCTGAAATAAACCAACACGCTCATTACATGATGCAAATTTTGCAAATAGGGGGTTCCCAAGTTTTAACGTTTTTTGATACAGGGGCAAACTCTCATTTAATTAGCGGGGCAGTGGCGGAGGAGGAGAAGCTGGAGAGATACTCGAACAAACCCACCAGGATAACAGTAGTGGGGGGAGGTTCAGTCTGCTCAGAGTACGGGAGTTATAAGTTCTGCCTAGGACCAGACACGGAGAATAAATTCCATGAGCTTAAATGCATCGGAATGGAAGATCTTACATCTGAATTTAGGAAATATGATCTTAAAGAAATTATAAATGAGTATCTAGAGGAGTTAAAAAGCAACACTGAGAGGGAGGTATTACCAGAGTATGTGGGAGGGGGAAAAGTCAAGTTGCTAATTGGGATTAAGAACACGAACGTAGTTCCAGTTCTAATCAAAACATTAAAGTCAGGGGTGGGGGTTTACAGAAGCCCATTCAAAGATGTTTTTGGATCAAGGATCATATTTGCGGGGCCGCACGCAGCGTTTACGCGAGGGAATAGAGGCATAAGAGAGGAGGTTTCTCATGCAGTGTTCCACATACAAAACCGGCAGGAGAGTATCCAGCAGGGGGCTCAAATACCGTTTCATATCGTAGGAGACAAGAGAACAGGAGCTGGTGTATATCCGACTCCACTGAGCAGAACAGATTTTGAGCAACTAGGGTGCAACCCGGAGAAGGAACCGGAGGAGTATTTATCTCAAGCCAACCCTACAGGATTAGAAGCTCATGTATGCAGGATCAAAGGTGATCAAGGTCCCATTGCCCGTATGAGAGAGCTGTTAGATCAGGACAACCCAGAAGGATTAATCTCATTCAGATGTACAACATGCTCCGCATGTGTAACCTGCAGAAAATCACCCAGGACGAATGCTATATCTCTTCAGGAAAGTAGGGAGCAAGAAGTAATTGAGAAGAGTGTAACAGTAAACCTAGAAGAGAGAAAAGTACATGTAAAACTACCATTTATGATGGATCCCATACCAGTACTGAGAAAGAAACATGGAGCAGCGGATAACTACAAGCAGGCCAGCAGCGTGTACAGAGCTCAATGCAGGAAACCAACCAGACTGAAGGAAGGGATGAGGAAAGTCCATGCAGACCTGGTAGAGAAGGGTTTCATGATGAAGCTCACAGATATGAGTCCAGGGATACAGGAAATAATAAATAAGGCAGAATTTGTTCATTATTACCCATGGAATATTGTAGAAAATGAAGGTTCAATTAGTACCCCTATGCGTTTAGTAGTAGATCCATCAATGACAGGGTTAAATCAAACTTTAGCAAAGGGGGAGAATACAATGGGAAATATATTTACAATTTTAGTAAGATGTCTAAGCCAAAAGTTTGCATGGGCTTCAGACATATCTAAATTATACAATCAACTGAGATTAGAACCGTCGGCCCTCCCCTTCTCATTATTCCTGTATCACGACTCCCTGGATCAAGAAATGGTACCGGAGAAGTGGCTGATGGTGAGAGCATGGTATGGAGTAACACCTACAGGTTCTCAAGCAGGTTTCGCGCTGGAATGGCTGGCAAAGTTTGCAGCAGAAGAGTTCCCGCTAGGGAGCGACTGCATCCTGAACAACAGATACGTCGACGATATTCCCTCAGGTGCGGACACGGAAGAGGCAAGAGAAACCCAGGTCCAACAGGTAGAAAAGATATTAGAGAAGGGAGGGTTTAGTTTAAAATATGTTGTCAGGAGCGGAGAGGATCCTGATCCGAAGGCAACCACAGACGGGGTGTCCACAAAGCTGTTAGGATACAAATGGGAAACAAAGGAGGATGTGTTAAAACTTGGGTTTACAGAGCTGAACCTAAATAGGAAAGTCAGAGGAGCAAAGAAACCGAACGAGTTTCCGATATCTTCAACTCAGGATGCTGAGAGATTACTGCAACCTCTTCAGATAACCCGAAGACAGGTGATATCTAAGATTGCTGAAGTTTTCGATCCAGTAGGACTATGGGAACCGATCAAGCTGAACCTAAAACTGGAAGCAGCGGAGTTAAACGGGGTAGAATGGGATAAACCATTACCAGAAGATCAGCAGGGTATCTGGAAAGATAAACTGGTAGAGTTCCTATCCTATGGAGATCTTACGGCAAGAAGGTGCGGGATCCCAACAGATGAAGAGTCAACCTCAAAGATAAGGCTTATTGTATTGTCAGACGCTGCAGAATCAGCAGGGGGAGCGGCTGTTTACGCAGGACGGAAAAGGTTATCCGGAGCATGGTCGTGTAAATTGATAGCAGCCAAATCCAGGATGATGAAGTTTACTATCCCAAGGAATGAATTGTCAGCAATACTTCTAGCCACTGAACTTGCATTCCTGGTCAAGAAGGCTCTAGGAGACAGAGTGGATGAGATCATCTATGTCACGGACTCCACAATAGCCTTATCATGGTGTCACAACACAACTAGGAAACTAAGGGCTTTCATTTTTGCAAGGGTGGAGTCAATCAGGAGAATGATCCAATGGACTACAGACAAGGAACAAATTCCCCTGTATCACGTGGATGGAACAAGGAATTTAGCAGACTTACTCACCAAAAGGCATAGTATCAAGGTAGATCAGGTATCCATAGGTTCTGCTTGGCAGGAAGGGGAACCATGGATGAAGGTTGATTTTAATGATATGGGTTTAACCTCGTATGAAATGTTATCATTGGATAAAAAATCCCAGGAAGAAATATTAACTGAGTGTTTTTCTGAACCTAATCTACCTGAGTATGAAAATGTTGAGATTAATTTTGCCTTTGAAAACCCGGGTTTTTGCGCGGCCATAGCGGGGAGGGGTTGGGAGGACCTTTTATTAGACCCAGTGCGTTTAGGCTGGAGAAAAACCCTCAGGATATTAAATATAGTAATAAAGTTCAGAAATGTGTTAAAACATGAGACATTTCATGAACAACTAGATCAGGACTGCAAGGTATGCACGAGCCAGGAGAGAGCAGACCCAAGACTGAACCACCAGGAATCAAAGGATATATTATTTAGATTTGAGTCCAAGAGAGTAGAGGCAAGTCTAAGCCCTAAGGAGTTAAGCAAGTTTACTTGGAAGGAAGGTATATTGTATTTCCAGAGCAGGATAGCAAAAGAAAACCCATTTAAGTTCAAAGATCTAGACATGAACCCATTTGTAGATAAACACGAGTTAAAACCCTACTTACCAGTAATGATGAAAGACTCCCCAGTATTGTACTCTCTGATAATTTCTATCCATTGCAAATCAACCCCCCACGTAGGAATAGAAAGGACAGTAAGAGAGGTATTCAAAGAGGTCTTTGTAGTAGGAGGACTGAGAGACTTGCTGAGAAAGATCAAGGCAGGATGCATAACATGTAAAAGATTAGATAGAACAAGAGTGGAACTTAAGATGGACTCTCACCCAGCAGCTAGGACTACTATAGCCCCCCCCTTCTACTGTTCAATGATAGATATAGCGTATGGATTTGCAGGAAGAGCATACAAAAGGTCAAGGACTAGGACGAAGATTTATGCATTAGTGTTCTGTTGCATTCTTTCAGGAGCAACAAACATATTAGCGTTAGAAGGAATAGAGACTAGCGATGTAGTCCAGGCGATAGAAAGGCATTCTAGTAGGCATGGAGTACCAAATGAGTTATATGTAGACAATGGTTCTCAACTGAAAACCTTGGAGAATGCAACATTCAGTGTGAGAGATGTTGATGCGAGGGTGTACGACTCTTTAGGGATTAAAGTTTACGTCTCGAATGCAAAAGCGCATGAGGAAAGAGGGAGAGTGGAACGGAAGATAAGGTCGTTAAGGGAAACATTGCAAAGACTAGGAGTAAAGGCAACGGACCCACTGACAGCATTACAATGGGAGAGTGTATTTGCAAGGATAGCATCAACGTTGGATGATATGCCCCTGGCAAGAGGTAAACCATCATCAGCTTCAAATCTAGGTTATGAAATTATCTCAGCAAATAGACTTAAGTTAGGCAGAAACAACTACAGAAGTTTGGAAGGAGCAGGAATAAGCATAGAGAAAACACCCCACCTAGGTAGGATGCTAGAAAGGAACAGAGAGATATATAAAGTATGGTACTCAATGTTTATGGAAAATATCCATGAGCTGATGGTTAAACCAGACAAATGGGATATATCAGGTGTGCAACCAAAGGAGGAAGATATCGTCATGTTCATCTTCAACGACTCAGGACACTCAAAAGAGGATGTAACGTGGAAATTAGGGAGAGTAACAAAGGTTATACCCAGAAAGGTTACTATTGAGTATGTCTCAAAAATCTCAATTCAAGGAAAGTCAACCTTATCTCAAGTATCAAGAAATCCAAGAGACATTAGTATTTTATTCTCAGTTGATCAGTTATTTATAAACACAAATGATCATTTCAAAGCTTTATTCAATCATGAGTAGTCCATATACCGCAATAAGAGTATATCCTTGGGGTTTTAAAGTATTAAAACCAAGGGGAAGGGTTCAGTTAAAAGTTCATAACAATTTAACTAACCAAATTAGAATGAAATATTTCATCAAAATATTGTACAAATGTTTACAAATGCTTAAATATTATTATTACAGGAAGCTGGAGAGTTTACCGGAAATGAGATCCGAGGAGATGAAAAGGGTAGTAGAAGAAAGAGTAAAACTGGCAAGGTCAGCAGCTCCTCAAGGAAGCAGCGACCTGCTGGTTCGGCAGCCACAGGTGGTCTCCTGGGGCACCAAGAAGGTGTTTAATAAGGAAGAGATCATGGCCAAAATAGTAGGTTACAAACCCATCATGGGCAGGAAACAAGACGAATCCTGTATGGACAAGTACCTGAAAAGAGTGATGGTGAACGGGTTGCAGGACCCTAAGCTAGGTGCAAGGTCAGCGTACATCCCTGAGGGTGCCCCCCTCTTGGAGTACTTGGCGGTGTACCAGGAAGGCATGGATGCGTGGAAGTATCCTACAAGAGAAGAGGTAAACCTGTTCCAGAGGTCTCGAGGGTTAGCCTATACTATGATTAAAGAAGTAGAAGTACGAGAAATTGAAGTAGAGAGGTCAAGCCCATCCCACATAGCGGAGACAGTGGAATGGTTTTGGAATCACTGGATTGCAACACAGGAGAAATGTCCAACCCAGGTGGTCAGCCTAGATAACGAGCAGGTATCAATGACGTTGTACGACATGATGAGGATGGCAGGAAGACTAGACCTGGAGAAGGGAAAGAAATTATCTAAGAAGAAAGAACCTAAGGGTTCAACGAAGCTGGAGGAGGAGGATAGATTCATACCCCTCCCAGCTAAGATAATGTTAGGAGACGGAGTAAGATTTTGTCTTATCATCTCAGTAGTTCTGCAACGAGATAGGAGCGGAGATTATGTGATCAACAGACTAACGGTGCAAGATGAACTGTTGGAATTTCTCACGGAGATACCTGTAGCTACTGGAGTAGGAGTAGCGAGGGACATAACAGATATTGAGTTTTTCTTTTCACTAATCTCAGGGAAGGAAATAGAGATGAAAGGGTCTATAGAATTGGGTTCCTTGGCAGTATTAGCAGGTTACGAATTTAATGCCAGGAATATGACGGCATTGGGAGTTCAAGTAATGGGCACAATCCTGAACAAGACGTGCAGCACCGGAGATGATAAGTGGGGGTGGAGATGGGCAGAAATACCTAAAGCTCTCCAAGTGTACGGATTGGGAGACATCAGGTTTGGATATATGTGTTATACCACATTAGCAGGTATTCTGCAAGCGGACACTTTCCCGGATCCGGAAATCTGCTGCAAGTATCTAGAATGTAGCCAAGTGGAATTTACAGCGTTCTTCATGGATTGGACCAGGACTTCATTGGAAGGAGTGGAGGTGAACGCAGATGCAGCTCAAGCAGCTGGTTCAAGGAAAGGTTTAATAGACTCACTAAGGTTCAGGTTAGTGGACGGATCAATCCTGTCAGATCACATACCTAACCGGATAAGAGTCTGGAAGAAGTTGATAGGCGGGTGGCCCACTATAACCTCTGGAGGGTGTAGGTTCCTACTCCAAGCTCGGATCAAGTTCATCCACCAGATGGAGCTGCTTAAAAGGTTAAATTATCCATGGAGGTTTGGTCTCACTTTACCAGACATTTCTCAGGAGCTGAGAGAGTATGCCAGGTTCGGGATATCTAGATCAGTATTGAAGAAAGTTATCTGGACGGAGGAGGTTCCAGAATCAACGAAACTGGAAATGGTTAGACCAGTATCCTTGGAAACTCCTATCCTGGAGTTAGACCCAGCAAAGGATAAGTGTTCTAAGATCCTCCGCTTCTGTACGCAGAACGGGCGGATCCAGAAGCTAGCATTAATGGAGTGGTGCAGAATGTACCCAAACAGGATTGTGAACTTTCTCCAGAGGATGGACGTAGATAAGGATTACAAGCTGTACTTTAGGCCAGTCTACGACAGTATTAGGTTGGTCTTCTGGAGGGTCGTGAACCGGCCTACGATCAAGATACCACTGTTAGACGAGGATCAGGATGAGAAACTAAAGAGACAGCTGATGAGGGCGGAAGCGATGATGGAGAAGACGAAGATCGAGCACGAAGCGTATGTAAAAAGAGCGGAGTATTTGTCTAAAATAATCAGCTCTAAGGACAAGGTGGAGAGGTCTAGGTGGAGGGAGAATCTTCCTCAACTACCGGAGTGGAAGCTAAGGAGGAAAAGGAAGAGAGATCTCCGGAGACAGGAAGAGGAGGAGGAATCCAGTAAGAAGAGAAGAAGGTTAAGCTCAGCACGTTCTCGGTTAGGTTCGAGGGTAAACCCTCAACCAACCTCAGTGTCTGAGTCGGAGCCAGAGTCCGAAGAGTCGGGGATCGAGGAGGTGTACTCCGGAGCCAGTGAAAGGGCTCCAAAATGTAAGAGGATCCTGACTCTGAAGGCCGGGAAGAAGAAAGGGAAGAAGAAGAAATCCGGCTCAGCAAGCCAGCTGGAAAATATCTTGAGGGAGGTGGTTGATCTCGATCATTATGAGTATCCTGGAAGGAAGTTGACAGAATCAGATGAGGAGTTGGAAGCTAGGATGAAGGGAAAGAGATCGGACGAGGATTGCGTCCTGGAGACGCAATTTATGGAGGAGCTCTAACCTGGAGCCCGATGGAAAGATAAGGATTGTTTGAAGCTCATTTTTTTTATTTTTATTTTACTATTTGTCCCAAGATAGATTGCAGATTTGGTAACTTGGTCAAATCTTTATAAATCCAAAAGAGTTTTGGTTCTCTGTATATATAACACTTATTGTTTAAAGCTCGTGTTTATGTAGTTTCCCAAAAGAAAAAATAGATTGCAGATTTGATAGCTCAATCAAATCTTTATAAACTTAAGGGAGTCTAGAGCTTATATGTAAATATGTTAAAATCTAGTTGGCATATTTTATCTGCCTCATAATAAGTCGTTGTTTGAAAATATAAATAAAGTTGTTTTCTGATGTGTTGGATTATTAATGATCGGAGATTCTTATCCCTCATGTTCCCCCGCGGGGGAGTGTTTTATAAGGAGAAATTCGGGATTGATTCTCCGAAACCATAGCATAAAGGGATGATAAGTATTTATTTTATAGATTCGAAACCATAGTAATCTCGTCCAAACCAAGTTCTTTTTTATTTATGAGATGCATTGGATAAAGTAAACATGGAGAAAGGAGAAGTAAAAGAGTAGCAGAAATACGTATTTTTAACCCTTATATCATTAAATGGTTGTAATATGAAGGATGAGGTTGCGTGATCCCGCGTCGGACGACGAGGTTGCGGGGTTAAATAAGGCCGGAGAGATGAGTCCGTGCCAGGATATACCCGTGAGTAGAATGAACGAAGCCGACCCAGGAATATGCTTGTTCTAGTAACGTTTATAAGCTAGGGTCGGACGAAGGGCCGGCGAAAATTAAGGCGGACAGTAATGATATGGAAGGAACGTATATCTGCGCGAATACCGGATGGATTCTGAAAAGTACCGTGGGTAGATCGGAGGGAGGTTCAAATCGTTCAAGTCATTCTGATTCTATACTGAGAAAGTGACCGAATATAATGGTTTTGATGAGTTATTAAAGGGTGAATATTATTTCAGAGGAATGGAATAGTATCACGAAGTTAAGAGCGCATAGTTTCAGATATTGTGGCAAATTAGAGGTAAATTATTCATGAAGCAGGGGCCGCGGTCGGCCGATGAAATTTTCTTCATTTATGGGCGATGATCGGGTCTACGCATACAAGAAAGAAGCGTCGCTGATTTTAATGTTTATATAGTTGTGTTTTTTATGTACCGCCGATTTTTTTTATGCTTTTATCAATGTAATATGTCATATTTTAGTTTTATATATATTTGACTGATATATTTTACCTTATTTAGAACGAACGCTATTTGGAACCGTCTTGCAGAGATATATGAGCAGTGAGGCGATCATCGACGTTACGTTCTACCACAAGGATGAGTTCGAGGTAGAATTTATTTACTTGATTCGACTATGTCTCGGGGATTTCTTGATATTTGTATATTCCGGGTTTAGAATAAAACAATAATTTCGTCTGATAACACCAGACCAAACTGTTCTCTGCAGTAAATGTCTCTGTCTGATAACACCAGACCAAACTGTTCTCTGCAGTATATGTCTCTGTCTGATAACACCAGACCAAACTGTTATCATACAGTTTATGTCTCTGTCTGATAACACCAGACCAAACTGTTATCATGCAGTTTATGTCTCTGTCTGATAACACCAGGCCAAACTGTTCTCTGCAGTAAATGTCTCTGTCTGATAACACCAGACCAAACTGTTCTCTGCAGTATATATCTTTGTCTGATAACACTAGACCAAACTGCTATCTGCAACTGCAGTATATGTCTCTGGCTGGATAACCAGACCAAAATGTTCTCTGCAGTGTATGTCTCTGTCTGATAACATCAGACTGAACTGTACTCTGCAGTATACGTGTCTGTCTAATAACACCAGACCAAACTGTACTCTGCAGTATATGTCTCTGTCTGGTAACACCAGACCAAAAAATACTTTATAGTATATGTCTCTGTCTGGGTAACCAGACCAAACTGAGTAGCCAGGTTCTGTGCTTTAAAGCGTGAAAATATATTTGGCATCTAAACTATACATGGTCAATAATAATTAAATCATATTTAGTTAATACTATTAGATAAATCTGAATAAACTGTAAAATAAAATCAGTCAAAATTGTGTCATGTAAGATTTTTCATTTTACAGTCAAATATAAGAACTCATCAAAATACGTTAAGATAGGAAGCGTCAGGGCAAAAAAAAAAACCGAAAATGTCTAAGCAAAACTATACGTCGAAAAAAATTTATAAATACATTTTTCTTTTCCTGTTTTTTTCAATTAACTTCACGAGCAGCCGTAGTACTTTTGATTTCCGAGCCGGTTCAACTTTTCCGGTCCCAGTTAGTACTGTATCGCCCGTCCATTGGGTAAATAAAGCAGACACTAAATAGGACTAGCCGGTGCAGCAACAAGATTGACGCGATTAGACTTTTGGTTGAATATACTTTTACTAAAGGGGGAGGGGTGCGTGATTTCCACAATTATTTCCTCGGAACTGACTTTAATTTACCAGCCGCTGAACACTGATAACTTGTCAGGGTGTAAAGTTTCAAACAATATGATAATGCATGTAATTATTTGGCAGAACTATGCCAATCTGGAGTTTACTTGATTTCAGCTTGTCTATTGTCTCCATGGTTAAAAATATAAATGTATTGAGGTTCACGGACCAAGTCAGGGTTATAATGGTTTAAAGGGATCATGCATAAGCGTAATTTTAATCCACCCTTAATGCAAACATGACAATGTCCGATTCACAATGGTACCCTTGAAATATTTATTTGATCAAGAATCTGGAAGATAATGTTGTTTTTCCCTGGTTTAAAAGTGTTTTACTCTTCTAATTAATTCATATATATGTTTTTCTGCAGGAGAAATGGGCAAGTTACTTTTGTAGAAAACCCACAATTGTAAATATCAGTTTTCAAAGTCATTGACAAGGATATCTAATTCATATTGTGAATCGGGCATTGTCATCTTTGCTTGTAAAGTCACTTTAAAATACGTTTACAGTCCCTTTAACATGTTTTCCTCTCCAGGTTTGTATTGTCATGTTTAATATGTGGCTTTATTTTCACGGGAACCTGAGAGTGACTTAACATTGGTTCTACATCATTGCATTCAACACAATTCTTTCAACATTTGAAAAGTGTTTTATTTATTTATTTTTTATATACTAGCTGAAAAATTCGAATGAATAAATATTAATGTTTTATCCTATGTCATACCCATGGGTGTCCTAAAAAAAATCAGACAATTTGATTTAGCCGTTTTACCAGCTTATATTATATATAATATTGTATATTCGTAAAGAAATTGAGTCTTTGCCACAAACTCGGATTTTTAAATCCCAATTTCTTTAAAACCAAATATCGTAGACCGTAGATATTTCAAACTAAGAATTCTGGTGGATCTAACAATGTAAGTTTGAAATATGAAAGGTATGTATCATTTGGTTGTTGAGATTTTGGTACTATAAAATTGGAATTTGTGACAAAAACTCAATTCCTTTCTCGCTTTTCAGTTTTACTTGGTTTGGTTCCATATTCATTTAGCTAAAACTAAACAAATTAATTTTCCTTCTTAATAATTTCATATTTATATTAGGGTTGACAGCAGATCCTCTGTTTCCGAGCCTGGACAACAAACTTAAACTATTTTTTCCTCTTCATTTAATATTCACTGATTACAAAATTATATAACGAGTAGAAGCTCATCCGAACCATGGGTAATAGTACTGCAAACGTTTAAAACATAACAATTGTACATAACAATTGTACATAACAATTGTACATAACAATTGTAATATATAACATGAATATGGAAACTCTTGTTTTTATTAAGGTTCAATCGTCGCCACGTTAGCTTAAAAATATTATTTTTTTAGACACCGCTGTACTTTTTTTTACAAAAACTTTATTTTTGGAATGCAAAACAGTTCTATTTATTCGTTTCATTGAGACGGAAGGATGACAAATGTAAAATATTCAGGAATTATACTCAATAGAATACAGTTCGAAGATCAATCTTAACGTTGTTAGTTTTTTTGTAATCAAACATGCAAGTTAATCTTTTAGATCATTGTTTTAACCAAGAGCCAGGGCATAACAACAATTTATTAAAACTTTGAAAGGAATTGAGTCTTTTGCCACATTTTCCGATTTTGTAATCCTTATATCTTTGCAACCCAATGTCGTAAACCTTAGATAAATTTTTGTTAGATCAACTAATCTAAGTTAGAAATATCAAAGGGTTACATCATCAGGTTGCAAAGATATAGGGAATAGAAAGTTTGAGTTTGTGGTAAAGACTCTCATCATTTGTAGACAAACAAACCGTAAAACTTGGTGAGATGTACAAAAACTGTTTTCTTCCCTATAGGTGGCTTATAACACAGATTGACCTTTTGAGACAGTTTTCTGTCAAGTATGGAACGATTTTTAATAAACCAGGGGTTGTACTTAAGCTACACCTAAATAATATAATTAAGCCCCCCCCCCCTATATACTCATCTATAGCTGGATTCTCCTTTCATTAAACACTGCCAAGAAGAAAATATATGTTTAGAGTGTCCAAAAGAATTGAGCCTTTTTTAACACATATATCTTTGCAACCTGATGGTGTAAACCTTGCATTTTTCTAACTTAGATTATTTGGGCTAACATAATTTAAAGTTTGAAATATCAAAGGTCTACGACATTGGGTTACAAAGATATAGTATTAGAAAACCAGAGCTTATGGCAAAAAATGAAGTCTAATTTAGTTAAATCTAATATACATGTTGAAATCTCTGTACAAGAATCATAGTATTTCAGTAAATTTATTTATTTATTTCATTATTGATTTTTTTATTTGTACATCCTGTATATTGTATAAGTCTAACATGACTGCAACATTGGTTTTGGAACATTACTGATAGAAACAATACTTTTTTTGGCTGAGACAGAAAATCCCGAGAAAATTATCATAATCTACAAAGAAATAATTAGATTTGTTCCTCAATAATCCCATTCTTGAAAAGGGGATAATTATATGTTTAATTAATTTGCAAGGGCGACTTGGAGCCTAAATAACGCCTTCAGTCATAATGTCTTAACTTTAGACAACATGTTTACCCATTAAATGTAGATATTTCGCATTTGGTATTTTAAACTTGTTCGTAGGTCTGAACATTTTGACTATTTTAGAAAATTTGGTCTTTTACAGAATTTTTTACGAATTTTTGTTTAAGAGACCAGTATTATATGAATGAAAATATTTGTTTAATACTAAAGAGACTACTAACATTTTTTATATGACTTTTATATCATAGTAAAATTGATTTCACAGTAAAATATATATGAATTAGAAATTTTAAAGAAATAAACTGTCATGTTTCGTTGGACACCCTGTAATATACATATTAGAGCAATTTAATTTTTTTGCTTTGGGGATGTAAAATGTAAAAAAATTGTTGGTTTTTGACAAATAACAGACTGTGACACACGTTTTGTTGTTCTTTTTTCAAGGGTTTACTAAAAATGCAATTTTAGATCTGTTGCTTATATAACAAAAAAGTTAAAGCTATTTAATAAAAATTTAATACTTACTGGACTTTTTATTTAATAAATTATAAAAAAAAACCATTTATTTATCAATGAATGATATGGTTTGGGTTTGTGAAGGTTGTCACATGGATGTCTTACCATTAAACTATTCTCACGGGTTCTGATTACTTCAGAGTTGTTTTATTCCCGCAGCATGACGAACAGTTTAGACGTATTAAAGTATAGTAATTAGTCCTACTTCTCCAGTAGTACCCACACTTCTTAGCAGACAACTGTTAACCAATATTATTATAATTTTTTTACCTACACTTCTTAGCAGACAACTGTTAACCAATATTATTATAATGTTTTTACCCACACTTCTTAGCAGACAACTGTTAACCAATATTATTATAATGTTTTTACCCACACTTCTCAACAGACAACTGTTAACCAATATTATTATAATGTTTTTACCCACACTTCTCAACAGACAACTGTTAACCAATATCTTTTTTAATATTTTATATTTTTCAATCTGAGGTTTAAAAATCCTTTAAATCCTTAAAATAGTTGCTTCGGAAAATCCTATAAAATTAACAGCAAACAGGAAATAAAACGCAATCTTAAAATCTTATTTCTTAAAAGCTTATAGAAAAAAACTTAATTTCAAACATTTAGTTTCTGAAAATGTGGCAAATTTTATTTAAAGCATTTTAACAAAATGTGAGCTAGGGAAAAATCTTATTTTTCCAATTTTGATCAAACTCTGAAACTGAATAGATTCTAATTTTATTTAATTTCCCCGCTCACGGTTGGGAATAGTTTGAAATAAAATGTGAAACCCAGAAACAGTAAACTTGATATAACTTGATATATTTGTAAATAGATTTTAAGTTAAACTTTGTTCCAGGTTTATGTTTACGAGTTAAATAATATATTTTGATTAAATATTAACTTTAACTTCACAAACCCAGTACTCCAGTAGTACTCAACTACTCCTACTAAACCCTGATCCACTTCTCCTACTCCTACTCCTACTAAACCCTACTCCAAACCTGCAAAATGAAACTACTGATCCTAGGACTACTAAACCTAGTAAAATCTGATCAAGGGTTTGGTTCCTTTAATTCAGGAAGCTTCTTCTCCTCCCAACCCAATCCAATAGGCTACGAGGCATCATCTGGGCAAGTACTATACTACGTTATTTTAAATCAGAAGACAGGGTCGGCAAATTTGATCAATCCTTTTAATCGTTAAGAGCTGAAAACTTCAGAATTGGAGACCCTTAATACCGATCGCTTAATCTGAATATCCACTTTTGATTCCTTTTTCCCTATTCCGGATTCAGATCATTAAGAGTTCTCTCATTAAATGGCACGAAAAATTTCACATTTTTCGGCTTCTAATTGGCTGTTTGGTTTCTACAATCGACACTCTGATTGGTTGCATTTTAGATACTTTCCTGGATACAAACTAAAGATAAAAATAATTTTAAGATTAACAAAAAAAGGAGCTCATTTCCCACTACATGTAATAAAGATATGTTTGATTACAAATACATATACGATGCTATATCAATTGGACTAATATCCGATTGAACTGAAGCCGGCTTTTATAGCATTTAAACAAATATAAATTTAATCATGTTAATATGAACTTATTTAAACACATATTTTATCACATTTGAGGACTATAGTCGTTTTGATCGTTAATCCTAACAAACAGTAATCCAAGGAGTTCTCTTCCTTTGTTTATCAGTCACAGGTTTGAAGGGTACCATTGTAAATCGAGCATCCCCTATTTACATTGAGGGCTCCTTACAGTTACTTAAAGAATAAAATATTTAATACTGCACAGGGGATTAGGGATTTCTAAAAAAAAATCTAATCATCTTGGTTTTGTTTAGATCTCCTAATCCGTATTCTCCACCCTCTCCTCCAACCTTCACAACTCCACCTCCTCTATCCAACTATCCTGAACCTGCTCCTGAATATGCTGAACCTGGTCCACAGTATCCAGAACCCGCTCCTAAATATTCCCAGCCTGCTCCTCAATACGCTGAACCTGCTCCCAAATATTCTCAGCCTGCTCCTAAATATTCTAAACCTGCTCCGAAGTATTCCAAACATGCTCCATACTCCAACTATGAAGAGTCACCAACACACAATTGCACAGTCCAGGTTAGATTCGTATATATCTAAATATATATATAAAGTAGTAATCTCTTTTTGTTTATTTGTCCGATCATAAACCAGAAACCTCGGTTTACCTCAAATTTTGATTGAGTATCTTTGTAAAAGTTCTTAACTCTTCTGAAGCAAACTTAGTTTCAAGGCAAAGCTGGGTTTCCAATCTAGTATTTTAAAGCCTGCAGTAAAAGTTTTAAAAAAAGAAATATATTACTCGTCTCATATTCTTATTTCAATATCGGTGTAACCTGATGGTGTAAACCCGCTATACTTCAAACGTTGACTGTTTGATCTAGCAAATATAATAGATCTGTATATATTATAAATATATGAAAAATAAACATTTAGATTAACGAGTTTTTTATTAGTTTATTTTATGGTTTCAGTGGCCATATTCTGTTTTTTTTTTATGGTTTCAGCTTACTTAATATGTTTATCAAGGTTTCAGCTGATATATTCTGTTTATCAAGGTTTCAGCTGATATATTCTGTTTATTATGGTTTCAGCTGAAATATTCTGTTTATTATGGTTTCAGTTGACATATTCTGTTTATCAAGGTTTCAGCTGATATATTCTGTTTATTATAGTTTCAGATGACATATTCTGTTTATTATGGTTGGTAGCTTTTGAATGCTCAAAACTCATTTTTTTTTAATTAGGCAAGTATTTTGAGTCTTTAACCGATTGTTTTTGCCATAAACTCTGGTTTTCTAATCCCTATATATCTATGTCGTAGATCCTTAATATTTCAAACTCTGAATTCTGATAAATCAAATAGCCTAAGTCTAAAATATAAAAAGTGTACACCATCAGGATGCAGAGATAGAGGGGTTAGAACATTTCTGTTTTTCAGTTATATCATTTCTCATTTATCTGGAAAGCCTTTGTTATTATTGTAGGATGAGAAACTTACTGCTGAGGTTTGTACACCTAGTTTTATATCTAGCTGTGAACCTGTAACCCTGCAGGGAACTAGGATTGGAGAAACAGACAAATGTTTAACTATTACTAGAACAGTGTGCACTCAAACTACAGGTGGTTTAACCTTTTAAGAAATTGAGTTTTGCCTCAAACTCTAATTTTTTATTCCTGTATATTTGCAACCCGATGGTGTAAACCATTGATATTTCAAACTAAGATTATTTTGAAAAAACAGTTTGAAATTTCAAAGATCGACAGCATCGGGTTGCAAAAATATACATGGTGGGGCGGGGCTCAACTCCTATAGCCCCCCCTTAATACGCCCTTTACCGATAATATCATAATAACAAAGGAATTGGTTGCTATCAATCTAAAACCCCAAACTAAAATGTTTTCTCTGGAATTACGATGTCGAAGAAAATAAGATAAATGAGGGTTTTTTAGAGATGATAAAACAAGATGGAGGATACTTAGTTCTAAATAAACCTGTCATTATTTATTGATAAACTGAAATATTGTTTTATTTTTATTGAAAACAGTGGTTACAAGAATTGTAAGGAAACTAATATTTTGTTTGTTCTAAACTTTACATATTTATATAGTTGCATAACTGTATAAAGAACAGAATAAGCAAAAAGTTGATGAACTGCTCTCTGCGGGACAGAAAAGATAAATACTTGGCAAAGAAACCATAGTAAAAAAATTATAGAAAAAAAGTTTTTCAGTTCTATTATACTAGTTACTTTTATGCTCTTGTTTACTTAAACTTTTCCTAATCTACTTCTTGAACCAGCATGGCATAGCACTCTAAACTCCGGGCTGACTTTTAAGCCGCTAGAGCAAGCTCCGCAGTACACATACAGACTATATATTGGCAAAACAGCACGGTACACCAAATCTTGCGCTGTTGTTGCCTTGATGAGTTAGTTTAATGTCAATTGTACTTCACAATTAAAAATGTACATTTTCATTTGTCTATTTCATTATTCTTAGAGTTTAATACATTGCTTGAATTATTCCTGAGTATAATTGGAATTCTGAAATTCATTTTAATCAATTTTGAATAGATTAATCTGCAAACGCTTGTTTGTAAGGAGGAACAAATATTTCAAAAATTAAAATATTTTTTTTTATTCCTAAAGGTCAACATTTTAATTTCTGAACCGGAGGATCAAGCAATTAAATCCGTATTTTTTTATTAATTAATTCCTGTTCAATATCCTGTGTGTTGGGTCCATGACAAAGAAAATTTAAATTGAAGGATCAAGCATTTTTTTTCCTAAAGTTATCTCAGTGGATAACGAGATCAATTGTTCATATAAAAGTTTTGAACTCTTGAAATGATTATTCTGTTTTTTTTTATTTAGAGGAAGCGATGGTAAATCTTTGTTCTATCAAATATGAATCCAAACCTAGAACAGCTGAGGTAGGTTCATTTACTTTGTATTTCAGTTTATTTTTTAACAAAGAAAAAAAAGGCTCAAAAATCCTTTTTTTCGGGACGCCATATGTTTCTGGAGGGTTTTCTAAAGGTCCTTGCAGAGGCCTTTTGCCCCAATACTGTGGACATGAGCTAATTAGTAAGTTTCCAGTGGTCCAGGAGTTATGTGCATTATTGTGTAATGTGTATGAAATCGTAAAATCCCTAATGAAATCTTAAAATCCCTAATGAAATCTTAAAAACCTGTAAATTATCTTTGTATATGTCAGGGTACCCTGGTAGAGGTTGGATTTGAGAAGGAATGTAATAAACAGATGGTGACGGTATGTGAACCTACTTATCCTCGTCATCATGGATACAGCTACCAACAAGGTTGAACATATTTTAATCAGTTGATAAATTTAAGAATTTCTAGAATGTTTTATTAAATTTAAGAATTTCTAGAAAGTTTTATTAAATTTAAGAATTTCTAGAACGTTTTATTAAATTTAAGAATTTCTAGAACGTTTTATTAAATTAAAGAATTTTTAGAACGTTTTATTAAATTTAAGAATTTCTAGAACGTTTTATTAAATTTAAGAATTTCTAGAACTTTTTATTAAATTTAAGAATTTTTAGAACGTTTTATTAAATTTAAGAATTTCTAGAACGTTTTATTAAATTTAAGAATTTCTAGAACGTTTTATTAAATTTTAGAATTTCTAGAACGTTTTATTAAATAGAATAAATTAAAGGGAGGGTAAGCGTAATTTCTTGTGAACCTCTATGCAAAGATGTCAATGTCCAATTTAAAACGGTATCCTTGAAACCTTCATCAAAATGTGATGGGCAACTGCCAATTAACATAAACAGTTTAAAGGAAAAAACATTGATATCTAATTCATATCTAATTCAAAGCTTTTAATTGGATATCGTTGTAAAACAATTCCTATCTTTGCTTGGAGAATCATTTGAAATTACGCTCACTGTCCCTTTAGCTCATTATCTTTTCTTATCTTTCTCATTGGTCAAATAAAAAGTTTAACCAATAAGGTATAAGTTCATCTCATTGTGCAGAGATCATGTTTTAAACTCATTATCTAAAAGTCTTCATCTGAGGACTACTTTAAAACTACTAATTAAAATATGTTGCAGATTAACAATATTATTTTGAACTTTTTGAACAATATTAGAACTATTGGATACAAGCTTAGCTTTATAAGAAAGTCTATTTAATTTATTTGCAGTTTGAGGTTTCCATTTCGTCTTCAAGGGTTATGTTAAAAATCGTGTTTTAAGAATATTTTATATCTTATAACCCACCAGGTATATAAGGACAAATTAAATGCGTTAGATAAATCCCAAATAATAATCTTTATAAGTGTATTGTCTATATAGGTTCGTATCAACATTGTAAGGAGATAGCTCAAGAAACCTGCTACAATATTCCTTCAGTACACCCTAAACCTACCCAGGTTGAAAATATAACTTTATAATAAATCTCATATATTTATATTTATATATATTTGTATATATGTTAGCTATACATGGCCAAACGCCTGGACCAAAATTGGCTGAAAATTTTATAGGGAACCCATGGGTAACATAGGCTAAAAAAAATTCGAAATTTGTTTTTCAAAATTAAAAAAAAATGCAAGCGTTTTTTAAATTCCAAGCGTTGCAATGCTCATATATAAGCTATAGCCAAACGGCTGGAACAATTTTTGAGGGAACCCATATTTACCCTGGAGTAACAGAGGCAAACAAATTCGATTTTTTTTTCTATATATTATAATATTGTATTATATAAACACCTCTAACGTTCTAATATTATATAAACAGGTATAAGTACAGGTACCTGAGTTCTAATACATATACTCCAGGTAGAGGTACAGGTACATGAGTTCTAACATATATACTCCAGGTGGAGGTACATGTACCAGAGTTCTAATATATATACTCCAGGTAGAGGTACAGGTACATGAGTTCTCATATATATACTCCACGTAGAGGTACAGGTACATGAGTTCTATCATATATACTCCAGGTAGAGGTACAGGTACATGAGTTCTAATATATATACTCCAGGTAGAGGTACGGGTACATGAATTCTATCATATATACTCCAGGTAGAGGTACAGGTACATGAGTTCTATCCATAGATAAAGATAGATTGCGCATAAGACGACATTTTTCATCTTGAAAGATATAATGTACAGAGATGTTTTAAAGATATTCCTATTATATAGATTAACTAGGTCGGTTGTGAACATTGGCTGTTCTCATGTCATTGAGTTCTTGTGGTGTACATGAGTTCTGTAGAGAGAAATTTAAGTTAGTTTAGTCCTTCTCGTGTCCTTCTTCAGTTCTCGTCAATATGATATATTGTTCTGTGAAATATTGTTGTTCAAATAGTTCCATTCCCGGAGATATTTTACACTCTATTATGAAATCCATTAAAACACCAAACCACCCCGCTTATCATTGAAATACACTTTGACCCCTGGAAGTATGAGTTCGCGGACTGTACAATTCTTGGTGATTTTGCGTACATAATCTATCTATGTTTATTTATTTATCTATCATATATACTCCAGGTAGAGGCACAGGTACATGAGTTCTAATACATATACTCCAGGTAGAGGTACAGGTACCTGAACCTGTTCAAGACTGTGGACCCAGAAAGGTTGTTCTGCCAAGTATAGAGTGTGAGGATATTACGGAGGAAAAGTAAGTATTTTTATTATTCCTGTTCTTGATCAGGTTTCAAGAATTACACAATTATATCTCACTTAAACTTGAACCTTAAACAACTATGCTTGGGTATATCCATAGTTCACAATAAATGGCGTTAGCCGTAACATAAGAAATAAAAAATAATAGAAAGATCTCAAAGGTAACCCGACATAAACTTTATACAGGGTTGCCCACAAAGAATGAGACTTTAATAACGACCAAAAATCTATGATCTAACCGTAAAAAGGTTGATTTTGTTTTTTTGCACTAAAACTAGTCTTTTAAGGTTCTGCTGAATGTCTTGGTATCGAAAAAAAAACAAGTTTCCAGGTGCAGGAAACCAAAACTAAATAAATTTTGCAAAGTCGTTTATGAAGTCTCATCCTTTGTGGGTAACCCTGTATGCCTTACCGGTGTAAAATGTAATAATAGTGTTTATTGACCTGTATCCTCAGAAAGAAACATAACAAGATTAGAGCCTTTATTGGCCCAGGGGGTAAGGTGGGGGTGTCTATGTGTTCCGGGGGATGATAGTTCTCTACCTGTATGCTCAGTTAGCTTTACTGTACACTTACAACTGTTTACTAATAAAGATTAAGCCAGAATCAACTTATAATAATCAAATATGCAGTACGCTCTCGGTATAGTTTATGACCTAAAAAATTGTTAAAGGATTAACGTACATCACCACTCTATAGATTATAACCTCGTTGGGGGTGACAAATGCTTAGTGAAGCAAGATAATTAGGACATCGATTAAAGTTTATCATGATGAATCATATTTTAGCAATTTACTTTATAATAACTCCTGGTACTTATCCTTGAAGCAGGTTTTTTAAAACATTATAAACATGATTTTTCATTTATCCAATTCTACGGAAATAGAACTCTATCAACTGTTAAATGGAGGATTCAAGTGGAAGACAAGAGAAAAAATAATCGTTAGGATTTAATTTGATGTTTCTTTGAAAAGCATTTTTTTATCATTCTTCGGAGAAATCTAATCAAGATTTTTTTTCCGGCAAACATCATAATTCAGAGTCAAATTGAAAATCGTCTTCGATCTCCATTAGCTGTGTTTAATGAATTTAAAAAGGTACCTTATACAATAGGTCGTATGGGTTACAAGCTTTCAAACGTTTACGATATTCTGTATGTTTCGGAGAGGAATTTACAAATATTGTTTTAAGAAAAGTTATAATGCAAGGAGAGTTAATTGCAGTTGCGTATACTCTGCGAACATATTGAAACCAGTTCTCTCTGGGCGAAATTTGTAAACAAGAATAGATGCATCAATGTTCTTTTAGTATCCGAGGAGGATAAAAGCATTTAATTTAGATAATTTTGACAATTCACATAATAGTTTCCTTTGACCAGAATATTTCATTGATTTTTTTATGTGAGAGATGGATCCCATTTCAGGCTGTAACATCCGTCTTGTGTTTACATTACCGCCCAGAGACAGAACACTGCAGTACAAAAGATGCAGCGCACACCTCTAAAATAACTTTCTTTGCATTATAACCTTGGTTTAAAGAATACAACTGGTAAAATTTTGTTCACGATCGACTGCCACAATATATCTCAAGACACGGTAAACTAGAGGTCCTGATTAAAAGTCCAGTGAGTGTTAACTTCAGTGTACTGAGTACAGCAGGCAAGCTGGGCAAAACTGTACAATTTTAGAAAAAATTGGGGTCCTATGTGAACTTATACTTAAACACAAGTTATTTTTCCAGTGCTTACTTTGTTTTTCTAGATGTGTATATGTTCCAGCTATTGAACCTGCAGATGTACTGGCTGAACAGTGTACTGTACAGTTTATTTACTCTAGATGTGTATCTGTACCAGCTATTGAACCTGCAGATGTACAGACTGAACAGTGTACTGTACAGTTTATTTACTCTAGATGTGAATCTGTACAAGCTATTGAACCTGCAGATGTACAGGTTAACCAGTGTACTGTACAGTATATTTACTCTAGATGTGTATATGTACCAGCTATTGAACCTGCAGATGTACAGGCTAAACAGTGTACTGTACATTATATTTACTCTAGATGTGTATCTGTACCAACTATTGAACCTGCAGATGTACAGGCTAAACAGTGTACTGTACATTATATTTACTCTAGATGTGTATCTGTACCAGCTATTGAACCTGCAGATGTACAGGCTGAACAGTGTACTGTACAGATAGGACCTCCTGAATGTAACCCTGTAAGTATTAAAAAAGAAAGATTTAAATGTCTAATAATTTTTCCCACAAGTAAAAACCGTTTTTCTGTTTAGATCGAACTGATTCTACCGAAGCAGGTTTGTGTTGAGCTTGTTTATGGTCATGCATCCAAACCTGTTCATCCAGCTCAACCATCCTACTCTCCTTCTCAATATACACCTCTTTAATCCTTCCTTCTCAATATTCATCTCTTTTATCCTTCCTTCTCAATATTCATCTCTTTAATCCTTCCTTCTCAATATTCATCTCTTTTATCCTTCCTTCTCAATATTCATCTCTTTAATCCTTCCTTCTCAATATTCATCTCTTTAATCCTTCCTTATCAATATTTATTATTCCTCCTTCTTAATATTGATTACTTCTTCTTTCTCAATATTCATTACGATCCTTCTTAATTTACGTTACTCCTATCTTCTCAACATTCATTATGATCCTTCTTAATATTGATTACTTCTTCTTTCTCAATATTCATTACGATCCTTCTTAATATTCATTACTCCTTCCTTCTCAATATTCGTTACGATCCTTTTTAATATTCATTACTCCTTCCTTCTCAATATTCATTACGATCCTTCTTAATATTCATTACTCCTTCCTTCTCAATATTCATCACGATCCTTCTTAATATTCATTACTCCTTCCTTCTCAATATTCATTACGATCCTTCTTAAAATTCATTACGTCTTCCTTCTCAATATTCATTACGATCCTTCCTTCTTAATATTTATTGCTCCTCCTTCTGAATATTGATTATATTCTTCCTTCTTAATTTTCGTTACTCCTTCCTTCTCAATAAGTTCAAATGTATAAACCATATATTTTATATTATTATTGTTTTTCTAGTCATTGTTTATAATAAAGCTAAAAAGAATGTGTTTTTTGGTTTTTGTTTAAGAAAAAATTTATAATTGCAATTCTTTAAAAACTAACAAACAAAAAAAAGGAAAATGCGGAATTTTCTTTAGAATTGAATAAGATTTAACGAAAAATTCGCAAAATAATATGAGTAAAATAAAATGTTGACTGACATGGATTCATTGCGGCACACCAATCGGATTTTTTTAACTTAAAAGGCACAAAAAAAGGGAAGTCAAAGAATTATCATAATGGTTCTTATTTGAACAGATTTGCACAGATCATTTTTCGCAGATTTTTATTTTATTTTTAATTTTTATCTCTTTTAATTGACGATAGATGAAGTCGTGCCAAACATTTTTTTTAATTTTGAAAATATCTAAAACATAAATCAACCTAATCTTGAATGAAGGTATTAAAAGTCCAAATTTTTCACATCTTAACAATTTGTTAAGATACAAATACGGCATATTTTGAAAAGCACAGCTGAGTAGACTTAATAGTTATCAAAGATATTTAAACTGCTTAATAAAAATATTTAGAATAAAACTATAAACATTCATTCCCTTATTCCTTTATTTTGCTTGTCTGTTTGTCAAATAAACGTTAAAACGGGTTCTAATTTTTTCCTGGCATTTCAAATTACCAAAAGGCTGGTAGAAATATGAAAATTTTCCCTGAAAAAATTTTTTAATTTTAGAAAGCCATTGCCCCTAGAATCTCTCTAGAAGCGGATGATTCATTTTGGTGACTGTCCAGTTTTGCCTTATAACAGCTTGCTTTAGCTAGTTGAAAGTCGGCCCTGTACTTGATATGAACAGGAGTTTACAGTGCAATGTTAACAAAAAAATCCACGAAATTTTAAATTTTACAATTATAAAAAAAATTGCGGTTTAAAAAGCAGCAATGACCGATTTACAACTGTGCGCTTTAGACTTTCATCTGATCAAAAAGATTTCGTCGTTTCTCAAGCTTTAATAGTGTTTAATTCTGATAATTACTTCAATTGTTTCTTCAAAAGAAATGCGCAAGAAAGTTTTTCATGAACGATTTTATTAAATCGTGTTTGATTATTTGATATATATCTACGTACTTAAAGTAGTTATGGTTAGGGATATGTAGCTTGATATAAAAGTTGATTTGGTAAAGTTTATGAGGAAATTTTAGACTTCCAAGCGAAACTTGTAACTAAAATAGGGGACCTGAAAGCCTAGTTCTTTAAAAATTTCTAGATAGATTTGATAGGTTTATATTATTTATGAGTTGTGTTCTAAGTCTAACAGCTTTGATGTTGTGACAAAAAAAAATTCAAGTAAAAATAAGTTAAATATTTTATTTATTCCTATTTTTCTGCGGTTTTTTAGGGTAAAAATTTATTTACTTATCACAATTTTAAGCAAACACATTATACATAATTTGTTATTATTAAACCATAGCTAATCAGCTACTCGTAGGCCTGGGGCTTTATTTTTTGCATTAATTTACAATGAAAAAAGCAGATTCGAAAAATTGATTAAAAAATAGATAAAAATAATAAATAGTTCGTTCGCTTCCATAATTACAAATTTATCCTTTCCTATTCGCAGCATCAGCAGCAGCATCAGCCTCTGCAGCAGCTTTAGATGCTTCTCTGAGCCGCTTCATTTTAGCTCTTAGAGCAGCTAGCTTAGATTTACCAGCTTCAAACTCAGCGTCCATAAGAGCAAACTTGTTATCCGTCTCCTTTCTCATAGATCTCATTCCTGTAGTATCTTCCTCCTCCTCTTCCTCCTTCTTCTCTCCTTCCTTACCTTCAGCTTCTTTACTTGGTTCTGCTTTAGTTTCCGCAGGAACCATTTTCTCCTCAACCTTCTCTTCTTCTGCTGCAGGAGAAGGTTCTTCAACTTTAAGTTCTTCCTTCTTAACCGTTTCAGGTTTCTTCCATTTGGGAGTAGGTGTCGGTTCTTCAACTTTAGGCTCTTCTTTCTTTGCAGTTTCGGGTTTCTTCCACTTAGGAACAGGTTTTGATTCCTCAATTTTAGGTTCTTCTTTCTTAACGGTTTCAGGTTTCTTCCATTTTGGCGTAGGTTTCGGTTCTTCAACCTTTGATTCTTCTTTCTTAGTGGTTTCAGGTTTCTTCCATTTAGGAACAGGTTTGGGCTCTTCAGGTTTAGTTTCTTCTTTCTTAACCGTTTCAGGTTTTTTCCATTTAGGGGTAGGTTTGGGTTCCTCAATTTTAGGTTCCTCTTTTTTAATGGTATCGGTTTTCTTCCATTTTGGAACAGGTTTAGGTTCTTCAACCTTAGGCTCCTCTTTCTTAACGGTTTCAGATTTCTTCCATTTAGGAGCAGGTTTAGATTCCTCAACTTTAGGTTCTTCTTTTTTAATGGTTTGAGTTTTCTTCCATTTTGGAACAGGGTTGGACTCCTCAACCGGTTTAGGTTCTTCTTTCATTACCGTCTCAGGTTTTTTCCATTTCGGTGTAGGTTTAGGCTCTTCAACTTTAGGTTCTTTTTCAGCTGTTTCAGTTTTCTTCCATTTAGGAGCTGGGTTGGGCTCCTCTTTCTTAGCTTCTACTTTGGGTTCCTCCTTTTTAGGTTCTTCTGGAGAAATTGATTCTGGTTTCTTCCATTTTGGAGTAGATTTTGGTTCTTCAATTTTAGGTTCTTCTTTCTTTATAGCCTCAGGCTTTTTCCACTTTGGAAAAGTTTCGGATTCTTTAGAAGATTTCTCTTTCTTGCCGATGTCTGGTGTAAGATCTACAATGACAGTCTTCTCTTTAATTCCAGGCACTGCTTCTGATTTTTTCCAGCTGTAGGTTGGTTTTTTCTCCTCGTCCTGCTTTGGAACAGTATCTTGGCTAGCTGCAGCAGGTTTAGACCAGGAGTTGGTCAGAGGTTTAGAAACAGTTGTAGAACTAGTTTCTGAGTTGGAACTTTTCCTTTGATATTCTCCAGGTTTAGATTTATGTTCAGTCCTACTGGCATTGTTAGAGTGAACTGGAATGGAGGGTGTAGCAGTTTTCTGGAATGTTGATGTCTCTGTGTATGAGTTTATTTTTTTCTGGTTTTCGCTCTGAACCTTTTTAAGTTCTAGATCCTCTTCATACCTCTCCAGATCCTTTCTCCAGGATCCTTTCTTAGGAGCAGGTTCGGAGTAATCAGTATCTCTTGCAGTAGATTTCTCCCGGCTATAGGTGGAATACGTCTTGGGTGTTCCGGAGGAGGAAGTGTAAGTTTTAGGTTCGGAGATAACAACAGGGCGGATGATTATATCTTTGGTGGATGAATCCACATCTCTTTTACACTCCAGAGCATAGTCCCGAATCTTTGCGTCTGTACTTCGGTAAACATCCCTTAAATCAAGTAAAATAAAAATCATGTCATTTTTTACACTTTTAAAGAATTGATTTTGTTCAGGGGTGGGGAAGATTATCATACCCCCCCCCCCATCCTGAATTGTAAGTAAAAGAATAGAGTCTTCAGCACAATCTATGTCTTTGCAACCCAGTACTATAGACCGGCCTTGAATAGTTTGAATCAAATAATCTAAGTTTGATGGTTTACTGGTTTACACCAATAGGTTTCAAAGATATAGGGATTGCAAAATTTGAGTTTGTGTCAGAAGCTTAATCCCTTTGTTTCGTTTTAAGATTTAAAAAAAAGGTGAAATAATATCAACCTGGTGGCTTTAGTGCTCTCTTGTGCAACACGTTTATGAGCTGAGAGAACTTCTAGTTTCTCTTCATAACTCTCCATCTCCTTCCTCCATCCATAGTTTCTTGGCCCCTTATCCTCCTACACATGCAGGGTTCGGGTTGGATCAGATTTAAATACTTTTTTACAAACATTTTCACTCTCACAGAGGCATGCAGGCTTATTTATTTTGATCCCCCCCCCCCTCTCTTTATGTGAACACAAAATTTAGGGTTTTTGTTTGTTTGTTTTTTCTCGGTTTGGTTGAATATTTTTTTTTTTGTTAAAATTATCAAAGAATGTTTAAATGGCGTACTCTTGAGAGAATAAACATGGTATAAATCCCTGCAAAAAATGTTTTCCATTTAGCTCAGTTTGCTTATGTCTTATATTATTTCTGTTTTTAGAGTAAAATTTTTGCTTAGTGTAAGAATAACAAACTTTATCGCGTGTATGCTGAAAACATTTTATTTTCTTAAAAATGTTGAGGAGCAGCTTATAGTCAGGCTAAAAACTATTTTTAGAAAAGTGAGCCGTCTAAATAGTTGAACAGTTAAATTCGTATGTATCCTCTCTGTGGCTCTACTGAATTCATAGTTTGAAAATCAGAGTTTGTGGCTGAGATTTAATTATTTTCTCTATAAAACACACTATAAATTAATATTGTAAAGAGTGTTCTGGAAGCCTGGTATTGTTATCAAATAAAAATCCTAATTTTACAAATTAATGGTTTAATATGTTTCCAAACCTTGTAGATAATTTCTTTCGTGATGGCAGCACAAGTTTTAGCACTAAATCCTCCTGTATTCATGAATATATCGGATAAACAGGCTCTGCTTGCGTCCTGCTCCTAAATATATATAATATTTATATTCATTGTTTCTGCAAGCAAAATCAGCAATAGTTCTTATACAGAAACCACAACTAAAATGATCAATTTTCAGAAAGAGAAACATGAAGAGCTTACTAATTCTTGATTAGATAAAGCTTTTAAGGTACCGTTGTGAATTGAACATTTTATTCAGTAAATTCTAAGTCACTTTAATCTTTAGTCCTTTTAATAAATTGAAGGGGGTGGGGGAATCCATGCTTTGAAATATTAAAACCTTGTAGTTAATTACTTAGTTTTTGCAAAAAGTTAATTATGCAATAATTTAAAAAAGGGACACTCGCAGAATAAAATCAGAACAAAGTTGATCGACTTTTTAAAATTCGGTTGGCCTTATCTGAGATCAAATTATATCTATAAACGTCAAATTTAAAAAAAGATCTTTTTTTGAAGACATGGAACTAGTCCCGCAAGACAAAAGATAATTGAAAATCTTCCAAACCTGGAGTTCTCAATCCTACCTGCTGATAAGTGCTTGATTGGTTTATGATCTTTGAATATGCTTTCGATCTTCTCTCCTCCTCAACTATCTTATCAATCTCCTTCGTCTTGTCGTAGTCCCTGTACTTCTGCATTGTCAGGTACTTGTCGGCGTTCGTCGTCAAATCCTGAACAAAAAATTAATATTTCTACCTGAAAAACTTACTGAGCCGCTTCTGCTTTCAAATCGAGATTTTGTGCATTCAAAACAAAACAAAAAAGATAAGACATTTTGTTGCGATAGAAAATCTTAATTTTTTATTTTTCTCACAATACTAAAATTAATCAATTCTTTTTAAATACGCTAACGTCCATTTCTAATATTTTACAGAATCAGATCAGCATTTATTAAATAAAATTTTATCAATACTCAAATTAGTAAATATCTACATATAAGAGTTTTTGGTTTGCGGGTAAATGGTTTACTATAAAGGAATTGAGTTTTTGCCACAAACTCAAATCTTCTAATCCCAATAACTTTGCAGCCTGATGGTGCAAGGTTTTGATATTTCAAACTTTGATTATTTTATCTATAAGTATTAATAGTTTGAAATATTTAAGGTCTACGACAGTAGGTTACAAAGATATAGAGATTAGAAAATCAGAGTTTGTGGCAAAAAATCAACTCCTTTTCTAGAAAATTAGGTAGAATTAATATTTATAATAGCATGAATTCGATCTATTATAAAATTTTGCTTAGGTTCAGAATCAGGTTTAGGATTAGGATTAGGTTTTCGTTTTTGTGAGCAGTGTCTTTAAAACCCTTTCTGAATTCTTTTCATCAGGAAAATTACCATGCTAAACAATTGTTTTAAATTAATTACTCTTTTTTGCGCCCTTTTCCCTTTGTTTTTTGCTCCCTTTCCCCCCCCCCCTCCCCTTCCTGAACAAGCCACGTTTCTCACCTTGTAATCCTTTGCTTCATATTTCGAGTCTAAAATCGAGGTTCGAGGTCGGGTTGAAATCCTCTCAATACCGTTGAGGCTGAAATCTGAGGATCTATCCCTCAACCTAGGTTTTATAGGTGCACTTATCTCCAGGGAGCTACTTCTCCTAAAAAAATATTTTTTCAAAAGAACTTTCATGCATTTCTCTTTAAAAAAAATTTAGTTTTTTACTTGAAAAGCTGAAGTTTGCAAAATTTACCATGGAAAATGTATTAATATTTAACGCATCAGTTAAACGAAGACATGACAAGCGTAAACGAAAAAAAAGCGCGGGGACTTTGCAATTTCATAAACTATACTGTGAACATTCATTACATTAGACTGAAACTGAAATGAAAGCGAAAAGGGAAACGTTGAATAATTTCGAATTTTTTCCTATTTGCTTAATTGTATATTTTTATATAAATATAGGGTGGATCAAAAGCTTGGCAGGAGTTAGATAAATATTTATGCTCGATATTTAACAGATACATTTCCAAAATAAGATTTTTTACTGCTCCTTGCAACTATATGGGCATGGTGTGGATAAAACAAGAGTTTGTTTACATTTAAAATGAGTCAATAAAATTTGAAAAAGATGACAACACGTTTTTGATCATCCCTCTTTATTTTTTCTATTAAAATAGGATTTTAGAGCGCTTTCAGTAACAATTTCAGTTATTAAATGTTGCTTCTCAAGGCGCCATTTTGCTGTGAACAATATTAAACACAAAATTTCGCAGATTTTCATGCTTTAATTATTAAATTTTCAAAATACATCAATTTTAAATTTTTTTTCAGGCAGATTTTTTGAATTTCGACGAGTCTTTAACGTGGTCATGTTGCTACAAAAATGTAAGCCCGATCGATTTAGTCTTTTATTGGACACAGACAGACAGACAAACCAACTTTATATATATATATATATATATATAAATATATTATGGATTGGTTAAGCAATGTTTTGAAAATCGAAGAAAAGACTTAATCAAAGCTGTATTTATCCTTGAACTCTGCACTCACCGAATAATTTTACAAAAACTATTTTTATGTAAGTTTGAACTTTACTTTGTCCTCCGGTGGTCAGACTTTAGATTTAAAATATGTTTAGCAAAACATGGCGTCCGTCCAAGGTTGGATGTTTTAGCCTTGAACTCTAGAAAGTCTAATTTTCCTTGACTCATCTTTACCCCAGAGGCGTAGTTTAGAAAACCTGCTAGTTTAGAGGAGAAAAACTGGTAGTTTAGATGAGAAAACCTGGCAGTTTAGAGCTGAAAACTTGGTAGTTTAGAGGAGAAAACCTGGTAGTTTAGAGGAGAAACCTGGTAGTTTAGAGGAGAAATCTTGGTAGTTTAGAGTAAAAAACCTGGTAGTTTAAAGGAAAAAACCTGGTAGTTCAAAGGAGAAACCTGGTTGTTAAGCGGAGAAGACCTGGTAGTTTAGAGTAGAAACCTGGTAGTTTAGAGGAGAAAACGTGGTATTTTAGAAGAGAACACCTGGTAGTTTAGAGGAGAAAACCTGGTAGTTTAGAAGAGAACACCTGGTAGTTTAGAGGAGAACACCTGGTAGTTTAGATTAGAAAACCTGGTAGTTTAGAGGAGAAAACCTGGTAGTTTAGAGGAGAAAACCTGGTTGTTCAGAGAATAAGACCTGGTAGTTTAGAGTAGAAACCTGGCAGTTTAGAGGAGAAAACCTGGTAGTTTAGAAGAGAACACATGGTAGTTTAGAGGAGAAACCTTGCTAGTTTAGAGGAGAAAGCCTGGTAGTTTAGATTAGAAACCTGGTAATTTATATGAGAAAACCTGGTAGTTTAGAGGAGAAAACCTGGTAGTCTAGAGGAGAAAACCTGGTAGTTTTACGTTAAAGGTTTAGAATTATAAATTTGATTTTAAAAGTATAATTTTCAGGAACTGATCTTATTTTACATGTTTCATTTTGTAAATACTTAAAGGGACTGTTTGCGTAATGTAAGTGACCCTCCATGCAAAAATATGGAAGATAACGTCGTTTTTCTGACTTGAAAAGTGTTGATTTTATTGAATTTTATAAGCAAGAAATATGCAAGTCACTTTTGCAGAGAAATCACAAATAAAAATAAAGAGTTAAAGAAACGAAAACATTAAAATCTAATTTATACTTGATCAGACAAACCTGTTAAGGGTACCGTTGTAAATCGGGCTTTGTCATCTTTGCATGAAGGGTTACCTGAAATTATGCCTACAATCCCTTTAAGAAAACAAAAACAGAAATATTATAAGATATACATGACTGTACCTGTATTTTGCTGAGAAGTCAGCAGAATGATCCCTGGTTCTGGTTCTACTCCGTCCTGTATCTATGTAGCTGGTTTCTCTCTTCAGAGGTTCATAGGACGAGTTCCTGTTGGAGAGGGTGCTGGACCCGTACATGTACGCTGAGCTCCGATCCATCTCCGTCCTAACGGCCTCCAGCCGACTTGAGGCTCGAGACCTCGAGGAGTGGTAGCTCAGAGCTGTCGACATTGTATTACGGGGTTTCAAAGATATTGGAATGTTAAAAAGTTTGTTTCAAGAGGTTTCGTTGTTCAAGAGTTCGTCAAGTAAAAAGGAAAACCATGAACCTGGATTTGAACAGAGGATACAAGGTTACAAGCATTTTCACAGATCTGAAAAAAGAATTTTTTTAATAATTCTGGTTAAAGGAATTGAGTCTTTCCAATCACCATATCTTTACGGCTTGATGTTGTAAAACTTTAGAAAATTTAGACATTTTGATCTAGGAGAATTCATAGATTGAAATATCAAAGTTCTACGACGTTGGGTTGCAAAGATAAGGATTAGAGAATCAGAGTTTGTAGAAAATACTAGCAGTATTATTAACACAATAATATTATTTTTTAACTTTTATACAATTATTACTCTTATTTCTATTATTATAATTATCAGTACTTTTCTTCTCTATAACATAATCATTCAAGTTTTCATATTTAGTTTTGCAAAATCATTTAATAAATTCCATGCTGATATAATGTGCACAAGAAATATATACATATGTTGGTAATGAACATGTGTATCTGTAAGGTAAAAAAAGATATAAAAATCTTAAACCATGAAATTAAATGTCGTCTTACAAATGGTTCAAATCAACCCCATGCAATGGAAGAAAATCTTGGATGGATCAATTCATCCATGAATAAAATGCAGAAATGTATGGTCCAAGATAATTCCAAATAAAACTTAACTCAAAACAACATTAATTGATCTCGATATCCACAATTCTAAAGTTTTCAGCTCTGGTAAATCATTTCATAGTTTTCAGTGATGACGTTCACATATTATGTCAACATAAAGAATATAAGAAAATTGTGTTTTTCAATTTTATTTTCTGTGTTTTGAGCCAAAATTACGAAAATAGTTCAGGACATTTATACAACTTTCCGCAGATACAGATACAGATACAGATACAGATACAGATACAGATACAGATGCAGATGTAGATGTAGATGCAGAGATACAGACACAGATACAGATACAGATACAGATACAGATACAGATACAGATACAGATTTGACATAACATTAGTTGTTCCTAAAAATTCTTACACTAACCAAGAAGATCTTCATCCATCTAATTTCGAAGGAGATAATCTTTTCCAGGATTAAATTTAGAGATAGAATAAAATAATGTGACCCTTATGTCCTATTGAAATATAAATACTGTATAAAACAGTTAACTATATAAAAACGACGAGGACTGAATAAGTTTCTGGTTTTCCATTTTCTAGAATATAATTCAACGCGGCGTCTTTTTATGCCTTGCAAACTTTTCAATAGTTGAACCACTTCCTATAAGTTTTCTAGGTAAATTTAGAAAATTCTAAAACTTAGGAAAGTTTGGTCATTAAACTTAAACATTAAACTTTTGTTAAATACTTTAAATTTTCAAATCCTCAGTTTGTTGACAACTGAAGGATATTTCCCCCGAAATAAGAGGATGAAAGGGGGAGAGGGGTTTATTGACAAAAATATAACTAAATGGCAGTAAAGTTTAAAAAACAATCATTTTAAATCCAATTAAACAGAATAATATCATGAGAAAAACATGTTTACTCCCTTCTATCTCTACATTTTTTATACTAATATAATCTAATTCTAATAAACAGGACTCGACTCTTGTTAAAATCATTAGGTTTATCAGATACCTGGAGACTATAATATTGTATACCCGGAAACTATAGTGATATTGTAGGTGTTAGGTATTTTCCCAAAGGATTTTCCCGAGGGCAACTTCCAAAGTGACAATTTCCCAAGTGACAACTTTCCCATGAAGGAAAAACGGCATTTTCCCCATGAAGGAAGTATTAAATGAACATTTAAATGTTACATTTTTAAAAGAATTTTTCAACTTTTTAAGAAAAATACGCAACTTCAAAAAAAATTCTTTCAGTTTCTCTTAGCTAGTTAAGGCGGCCTACACCCTTTCTTCAAGGAGTATAAAATTGTATTAAAAGATCCTTATCATTATTTATGGTTAGGTAGGATGGGCTTGGGGGCCGAGCGCTTCAGCTATTACTTGTTCAAAAAAAATATAGTACATTATTTAAGAAAATATAGTAAATTATCTAAGGTTAGGTTAGTATATTGTATACCTGGAGACTAGGTATATTGTATACCTGGAGACTAGGTATATTGTATATCTGGAGACTAGGTTTATTGTATATCTGGAAACTAGGTATATTGTATACCTGGGAACTAAGTATATTGTATATCTGGAGACTAGGTATATTGTATATTGTATACATGGAGACTAGGTATATTGTATACCTGGGGACTAGGTATATTGTATACCTGGAGACTAGGTATATTGTATATCTGGAGACTAGGTATATTGTATATTGTATATTGTATTGACCTGAACCTGAGAGTACTAAGTATACACTGGTGTGTCTAACCTCCTTCAACTACTGACCTGCTCAGCTAGTATCTATCTATCTACTGCAGGATTCAGGGTCACCTACAGGGTCTAGGGGCAACAACAAGGAATTCTAACAAATCCTTTAATCCCCTAGACATTTTATTCAGAACACATTTTTTCAAGATTGAATTTTCCTTTTATATATTGGGGTGCATGGTTGCAATGTTTGTTACTTTTATTTGGTATGATTAAACATTTTTTCATATAACCCCCCCCCCCCTGCCCACCACCAAACAAACAATCCGGATATAGAATTGATTATGTAATGGGTGTTACCCCCAAGTTTCTAAATATAGGATTTTAAAATTTAAGATGCTTGCGTCACAAAAATCCGTTTAGTCTCTAGTCAGTATAGAACAAAGCTTATTCTGGAATATTTTTTTATGAAAATATAATTTTTAAATTAACGTTAAACATATGATTTAAGACTAAGATTGGTCAGTTGCAATGCTTGATTTTAATTGCTGCAAGTGATTTTCTAATTGTTATCTCTGAAAATGTGTCTTGAACTTTTATTTACGAATAAGTGTCAGTTCAAAGTCCTTTGGACGTCTTTTTTAAAGGCTCTCGGGTAATTATCCCCCTTCAAATTTACAATATATTAATTAATAACAATTATTGATAACACGCAAATTTAAAACACAAATTAAATATTTTTAGGTCATTTTAATGTTTTACAAACAATTTAAATTTAGAAAAGTAATTGTTCATTTTTAAGCTTGTATTTTAATGTTTAAAACAAATGCAAACATGCACTTGTGTGTCTAATAAAAAAAAATGAAAGCTTATTGACGAATTTATATTCTGATGTGTGAACCTTGTGTAAATCACCTCACTACAGATAAAAATTACATTTTGAAAAGTAAAAACAAAAATTAAAAATCCATCTTTTTGCCTTTTTTGGTGTCTTGTGATTTATATTCACCCCATAACAGATCGCATTTTTTTTTGAAATAAAGAAAATATGAATATGTTTTCGTCATTTCTTTGGGTCGGAAACTCCCAAGAAACCTCAGAAAGATATCATTGTAACAATGTTTTGTACGAACCTGTCAAGAATATTCTTAAATCTTGTGTTAACGAAGATCAATCATAACATCATATTTCCCGTTCAATCTTTATTGTAAAATCTTGAGATAATACTTTTAGTGTAACGTTTTAAGGTTATACTTTTAATGTAAAATCTTGATACAAAACTTTTATTGTAAAATCTGACAAAACTTTTATTGTAAAATCTTGAGACAAAACTTTTATTGTAATATCGTGAGATAATGCTTTTATTGTAAAATCTTGAGACAAAACTTTTATTGTAATATCGTGAGATAATACTTTTAATGTAAAATCTAGAGACAAAACTTTTATTGTAAAATCTCAGACAAAACTTTTATTGTAAAATCTGACAAAACTTTTATTGTAAAATCTTGAGACAAAACTTTTATTGTAATATCGTGAGATAATGCTTTTATTGTAATATCGTGAGATAATACTTTTATTGTAATATCGTGAGATAATGCTTTTATTGTAAAATCTTGAGACAAAACTTTTATTGTAATATCGTGAGATAATGCTTTTATTGTAAAATCTTGAGACAAAACTTTTATTGTAATATCGTAAGATAATGCTTTTATTGTAAAATCTTGAGACAAAACTTTTATTGAAAAATCTAGAGGTGGAACTTTTAAAGCTCGACAAAGACGATTGCATAATTTAAAGTTTTCTTTTAAGAACATTTCGTTAAAAAAAATTAGTAACGTTTTAAAACGTGATCTCGTTTATTTGCGTCTTAAAGGGAAGGGGGGGGGTCTGATAAGGAAAAAGTTAAAGGTCTGAATTGAGCATTTACCTTGACAAAGTGTTAACACTGTTTTTTTTTGCATAAATAATCCTTGCCCTAAATACGGACATTGTATACACACAATCCTGGATTCCGTATTCGTATCTGCCCAAGTTGGCCGGCACGGAGAGATCAGACAAAAATGAAGGTTAGCAGGTCAAATCCGATATTACAACTTTGCTTATTTTTGTTCTTTGATTCTAATTCACGGTCACTAATTGTCTTCCTGCAGGGACTGTAAGTCAGATTAAACAATAAGCAAACGGAAAACATTTAAAACGTATTTTAGACCCTTCTCTAACTTATGTATCAAGATTTGGTTCCCCCCTCCATAAATACTCTGCTCCTTCATGAAGACTCAGCTTCCCAACCTAGATTCTGCTCCCCCGTACCTCTATATTGACTATCCCAACCTGTAGACTCTTATCCACCAACCTGTAGACTCCTTTCTCCTAACCTGTAAACTCTCTCCCAACCAGTAGACTCTGCTCCCCCAACCAATAGACTCTTTTCTCCCAATTTGTAGACTCTTCTTCCTAAAATTATAGATTTTGATCCCCTAGCCTGAAGATTCTTGTACCCAATCCTGTAGACTCTTCTTCCCCAACCCGTAGACTCTACTTCCCAAACTGTAGACTTTTCTCCCCAAAATGTAGACTCTTCTCCCCCAACCTGAAGACTCTTCGCCCCCAACCTGAAGACTCCTCTACCCCAACCTGTAGACTCTTCTTCCCCAACCTGAAGACTCTGCTCCCCCAACCTGTAGACTCTTCTTTCCCAACCGGTAGACTCTGGTACCCATCCAGAAGACTCTTCTCCCCCGACACATGTAGACTCTGCCTCCTAACCAGTTGACGCTACTATTCCAACTCCCCCCTCTCTCTCCCCACCTGTATCTAGATATCCTACAGACCTACCTATAAAGTTGACTGTAAACACTAAGTTGAGTTATTATTTATCTTCCAACAATGTGACTCTAATGTGTGGCAGGTTAAAGGTCTAGCTCCTGCCTTGTTGAACAACATCGACCAATCTATTAATCTATATTTCTCCGACACTCTTGTTCCTTAAATTCTCATCATCATCTGAAACAGGAGGGTGTGTTAACGAAGATCAATCATAACATCATATTTCCCGTTCAATCTTTATTGTAAAATCTTGAGATAATACTTTTAGTGTAACGTCTTAAGGTTATACTTTTAATGTAAAATCTTGATACAAAACTTTTATTGTAAAATCTGACAAAACTTTTATTGTAAAATCTTGAGACAAAACTTTTATTGTAATATCGTGAGATAATGCTTTTATTGTAAAATCTTGAGACAAAACTTTTATTGTAATATCGTGAGATAATACTTTTAATGTAAAATCTAGAGACAAAACTTTTATTGNCAACCTTCTCTCACCTCATCCAACCTTCTCCTATTACCTCATCCAACCTTCTCTTACCTCATACAACCTTCTCTTACCTAATCCAACCTTCTCTTACCTCATTCAACCTTCTCTCACCTCATCCAACCTTCTCCTATTAACTCATTCAACCTTCTCTTACCTCATACAACCTTCTCTTACCTCATCCAACCTTCTCTTACCTCATTAAACCTTCCCTTACCTCATCCAACCTTCTCTCACCTCATCCAACCTTCTCTCACATCATTCAACCTTCTCTCACCTCATCCAACCTTCTCTTACCTCATCCAACCTTCTCTCACCACATCCAATCTTCTCTTACCTCATCCAACCTTCTCAAACCTTCTATTAATCCATCATCCCCCCTGGTCTACACTGACCTCCACTGACATACCTTTTTCTTTACTAACTCTGTCAAACTTAATGTTTACCTTCTTTCCTTCGCTTCCCTTCTTCCAACAAACAATTCGTTCTAGTTTTATGATTAAAGATATTGTTTTATGCCGGGAAAATGATTAATATATTTATGCCCATGATGTGGCAGCTGTAGCATATCAAACAACACTTCCAAGAAACTAAAAATTTAATAAGCTTTGAAATCTGGAAATTTTTACAATTTTCCCCGAAATATTGACAGTTAAAAAACTTGATAGTTTTACAACTATAACATGCTGTTTAGGAGATATTTATCAGTTAAATAAAAGTAGTTTTACACGTTTGCATGTCAGATTTCTCTGTTGATAGATTTAAATATGGTCTGCTTGCTCAGAGTCTACCCTGATATTGATGATAATCTCCGTCTTTGTGTAGTTAAAGTCTAGGTCTGGAGCACAAACAATGGAGTAATCTAGAGTTGCAGAACCCACGGTTTCGATAAATATTTTCAAAACAAAGTTTACAAATATCTCGGGGCGGATTGGAATCATGCTTCTTTCTCACACTGGACAAACCTTGGGAGTGTTCGGAGTCTAGTCCGGAGAAATAGAGCTAAACTGCTACCTTGTCCGACTATTGTTTAAAAATCCCAGGGTTCAGTAATTAAATATATTGAAATAGGAAATCTGTAAATGAAAGAATGATTTTAAAAATCTAGAAATGATGAAATGTTTTCATAAATGAGAGAATTTTTTAAATTGTGGGAATTGAAATTGAAAAGAATTGATTGAATGAAAAGTTTTTAAAGGAAAGGAATGAATCACATGGAAAAAGGATGTTTATAATGATGGATGGAACTAGTATATAAAGGTTTAGAAGAAGGACGGATGGAACTAGCATATAAAGGTCTAGCAGAAGGGGGATGGATGGAACTAGTATATAAATAACTAGCAGGAGAAGGATGGATGGAACTAGTTTATAAAGGTCTAGCAGTAGGGGGATGGATGGAACTAATATATAAATAACTAGCAGGAGAAGGATGGATGGAACTAGTATATAAACGTTTAGGAGTAGGAGGAATGCATGGAATCTAGACAATTTTAAATATTTTTTTCTTAATTCTTTGTTCCATAAACGATATCTGCAATAGCACCCTTTCAACCTTTATCTTCTAACTTTTCTTCTTCACTTTATTATTCAAAGAATCGGATCTCGTGAAATAGCGTGGATTTGCAAGTTGTAAATTTTAAGACAGAAATATCAATTATATATATTTGACTAGAAAGCAATGTAAAACAAACCATTGTGAATTCTTAATTAAGACTCAGTTAGAATTGTGTTTGTAATTCATCTAATAAACGTAATATAACAAAATATAATATTAATATCATTAAACCATTGAGGATTAAATCTTTTATATATTCAACCTTGCCCAGGGGGTTTCCCACACATTAATACGCTTCAAAAACTTTATGAATACATAATATTTTTGCTTATATGTAATGAATTTTTGACATTTTTTCGTGAATCACGCATGATAACGAAATTTCATGGACTAAACAAAGCTTGACGAGAATTCGTGAATTTACGTGGGTTTCATCTGTATTCAGCTAATTCAGTTAGTTCCGCACCTTGCAAACCCATACTTGGAGACTAGTTTTCTCATTCCGTCCTCCTTCTTTCCAAACCTATACTTGGAGACTAGTTTTCTCATTCCGTCCTCCTCCTTCCAAACCTATACTTGGAGACTAGTTTTCTCATTCCATCCTCCTCCTTCCAAACTTATACTTGGAGACTAGTTTTCTCATTACATTCTCCTCCTTACAAACCTATACTTGGAGACTAGTTTTCTCATTCCACCCTCCTCTTTCCAAACCTATACTTGGAGACTAGTTTTCTCATTCCGTCCTCTTCCTTCCAAACCTATACTTGTAGACTAGTTTTCTCAGTCCGTCCTCCTCCTTCCAAACCTATACTTGGAGACTAGTTTTCTCATTCCATCCTCCTTCTTCCAAACCTATACTTGGAGACTAGTTTTCTCATTCCGTCCTCCTTCTTCCAAACCTATACTTGGAGACTAGTTTTCTCATTCCGTCCTCCTCCTTCCAAACCTATACTTGGAGACTAGTTTTCTCATTCCGTCCTCCTTCTTCCAAACCTATACTTGGAGACTAGTTTTCTCATTCCGTCCTCTTCCTTCCAAACCCATACTTGGAGACTATTATTCACTATACTTGGAGACTAGTTTTCTCATTCCGTCCTCCTCCTTCCAAACCTATACTTGGAGACTAGTTTTCTCATTCCGTCCTCTTCCTTCCAAACCCATACTTGGAGACTAGTTTTCTCATTCCATCCTCCTCCTTTCAAACCTATACTTGGAGACTAATTTCTCATTCCGTCCTCCTCCTTCCAAACCTATACTTGGAGACTAGTTTTCTCATTCCGTCCTCCTCCTTCAAAACCTATACTTGGAGACTAGTTTTCTCATTCCGTACTTCTTCTTCCAAACCTATACTTGGAGTCTATTATTCACTCCCCCCCTTTCTTCCCATCCATACTTTCGTAGTTTGAATATAAAAGCTCTCCAACATCGGGTTGCAAAGAAAATCAGAGTGTGTGGCAAAAACTTAATTCATTATGAGATGTAGATTGTAAATCTGAACTAAAAATTTCGTAGGTTTTTATAGACAAAATGAGGTTCACAACAAATTTTGGCCGAATCGGTTTAGCCTTGTTGACGATTATTGGATACAAACAAACAAGCCAAATATGTAGACTAAAAATAAGAGCGAAATTAAACATTGTACACTGTACAGTGTACAGATATAAAAGTACGTAGATTTAACATTAAAAACATTGTACCCGCGCATTTACTGGAATTTCAAGCATCAGATAAATTCTAAAATTTGCCAGATATTGTGTTATTTTGACATATTTCTATAGTATTGTACTCCGTCCTGGTCCGTATGGACGGAATGTCCTTGCTTATCAAATATTTCTTCTGAGTTTGGAGGAGACCTAAACCGTGATATTCTAGAGATCTGTATCCTTCAAACAGAAAAGGTCGGTTTTGAAACAATGCTAGACCAACCTTGAAACCTAAAAACCCTTGAAGAATCTTAGGTTTCAAGAAGAGAAGATATATTTCATTGAGAATAATATAATCAGCTCGTCTTGCCAAGATCGTCAGGGTTGTAAATTGGAACATGGCCTAATAACCATCTGGAGGAGAGTTTAATATATTATCTGCATACAGTATAGCCAGGGTTTAAGATGTAGGGTAAGTATATATTGAATAGTTAAATATGTATCTGTATACAAGTATACCCAGGGTTTAAGATGTAGGGTAAGCATATATTGAATAGTTTAATATGTATCTGTATACAAGTATACCCAGGGTTTAAGATATAGGGTAAGTGTATATTGAATAGTTAAATATGTATCTGTATACAAGTATACCCAGGGTTTAAGATGTAGAATAAACATATATTGAATAGTTAAATATGTATCTGTATACGAGTATACCCAGGGTTTAAGATGTAGGGTAAGGATAGTGCTATAAAGACAGATTTCAAGTGTCAATCCGAATCATATCCCTGGTGTATCCCGAACTTCTCAAATCATGATTTCAAATCCTTTGTCTGCTGCAGATGAACTGGACTATATATAAACCGAACTGATAAATATTCTGTATTTTTATATATTAAAGCAAAGTGATCATCAATATCTGCCTAAATATGTCTTTATATTTTTCGCTGAAAAAGGTTAAATCAGCTGAACGTGGGTCCTGGGATGATTTAGTGACAGTTTGTGATTACTTTTGGTTAAAACAAATCCTTTTACATGACACAAAATGTTCCCAATATTCATTTTTAGAAGAAGTTTGTTTGATATATATTTATTTAAAAAAGAATTGAAATTTTCCATATCTTCGCAACCTGCTGGTGTAAATCTTTGATATTCCAAACTTAGACCTTTTGATCCAACAGAAAAATAAAATATCTACGACATTGGGTTGCAAAAATATAAGAACTAGTTTAGTTTGTAACAAGACCACAGTTCCAAAAAAATGTTTGCTTCAGAACATGAGGAATATCGCTCACATTTACTCAAAATGTTCCTAATAAATTAATCAAAAATTATATAAAATCTCAAATTTAAAATAAATTTAACTTGTATATCATAAATAAGTATTTTTATGTCAGGAGTATAAAGAATAAACTAGACTGAAAACGTACTCTAAAGGTACTGTAATCGTAATTTTTTAGTGACCCTCCGGCCCAATGCAAAATTTCACAACGTTACCTTTGAAACCTTGAAAGTGTTTGTTTTTAAAAGTATTTAATTCTGATAATAGTTCCTTTAGTTAAAAAAATGTTTGCTTCAGAACATGAGTAATACCGCTCACATTTACTCAAAATGTTTGAAAACGTACTCTTAAAGGGAGTGACCGGCTATGTAAGGTAGTTGAACTGAGTATGCAGTGTTGTGGAAAACTTCTTTCGGATTCATTTGAGACATATTAAACTTACCTAAACCTAACCTTACCTAAACCAAATCTTACCTAAACCTAACCTGAACATAAACCGAACCTTACCTAAAGGGATTGACAACGTAATATCTAGTGCATGCGAGATTCACAACGATTCCCTTTACATCTTTAGCTGAGGAACAATGAGGAAGGTAGTGTTTGTGTTTCCATCATAAAACTTGTTGAATTCTGTTGATTTCTTCCTTTTTTCATCCTGCACTTTATACGCAAGTCACTTAACAGAGAAACCACAAAATTAAAAATAATCGATTTTCATATGAAAACAAGAATTGCTTCGTCAGTTAATTTAAATTTGATTGGCGTTGAGGAATTGAGTCTTAGCCACAAACTCAAAATTTCCAATCTCAATACCTTTGCAACTTGATAGTGTGAACCTTAAATTTTTTTTAATTTAGATTATTTATTTCTATCGTATAGTGAGTAAACCTTCCCTGAGGTCATGTGAGGTTCCATACAAAATTTGGGCCCGATCGGTTCAGCTGTTTTGACGTTAATTGAGACAAACAGACATAAAAACAGACAAGCAAAGTATATTTATAGATCTAAGAGGAACATGCGCATTGTACCTTTTGTACATTGTACAATTTACTTATAATGTATGAACGGAACTGATTACTCACCTCAACTCTAATTTTCTAATCCCTACATCTGTTGATGTTGCAGAATTCACTATCAGCAGAAGTATAATATATAGAAAGAGAAAAGAAAAAAAGAGAAATCTGTTATTTTGTTTTAAAAAATTCTAAAATCGGTCAAAATTCAAGACACTCAGCTTTCACTGTTTCTTTAATTTTTACATTTACTTTTTAGTAGTTAAACTCACAAGCCAGTAATTATATAAATTAAAGTGCACCACTGTACCAAACTGTATGTTAAAGATTTTGTGAGATTTGTATGTTTATCCTTACCCTTTTCCTGCCCTAAAAATGCCAAATAATTTAAGATTTGAGCTGATATGTGTTCAGGTTCAAGTGTAAAGTAGTTATACGTATTTTTTTTTTCTGGGGGGGGGGGCAGGCTCTTGTTTGGTTGCTTTACTTAACCTTCACATAGTTTAGATTAATGATAGAACAGGCACCTTGCTTATTATTAGTTTTAATTATTTTTATTGTTTCCAGTGCAATTATATAATTATAAAGAACAGTTTAGATACAAATATTTTACAATATATACAAATATTTTACAATATATAAAAATTATCAAAAATACAAAAATCATATCAAAACACAATGTGTGTAAAAAAAAAATATTATACATTTGAGCATTTTAAATATTTAACTTTTTTATGTAAAATATAATTTTCATTAAAAAACATCTGCTTATATAAAAACCAAATAAAATATTCCAGAAGTTTTTTAATTTTCCGATCCTGGAATCGTATTTAATTGTCTTAAAATAAACTGTATTCAAATCTCCAATATGAGCCCACAATAAATTAGGTTTTAGTTACTTTTCCAAAGGGCGACTTCCCAAGTGACAATTTCCCAAGTGGCAACTTCCCGAATGTGCAATTTCCCAAGCTGCAACTTCCCAGAGGTTAGGTTAGGCCCTCTGAGGCCCCGCAGGCTCCAACGGGGGCTGAGTGCTGCGGCTAGGATTGGCTAGGGAGCTAAGCACCGAGGTTAAAACAGGCTGAGGGCCGAGGGCTGCGGAAAGCACAGGCTTGAGAAGTTGCCGCTTGGGAAATTGAACCTTTGGGAAGTTGTCGCATGGGAAAAATCCCTTGGATAAGTACCTAACATCAAAAATTAATCCTTTAGAGCTCGGTGGTCCTTGGTAGATAGCTGTAAAAGCCAATGTTTTGACTAGGTAATATTATTTCGACTAGATTTAATGTTTATATTTTCAAAACTGGGTTTTATTCCACCATATTTCTAGGTACTTAACGTACCACAAACTGGTTCATATCAATGTCTCTAATATTAAAAACCGGATAGTATTGAGTTCCCACTACTATATGGATATATTGATATTGAGCTTCAACTCTTCATATTGTGGAATGTTTTGGCTTAGTGCTGTGTTTTTACCACAACTAAATAATTGTGTTAACCACATAATTGTGGTAACCACTACTACATGATTATGTGGTAACCACTATTGCATGATTATGTGGTAACCACTACTACATGACTCTGTGGTAACCACTGCTACATGATTATGTGGTAACCACTACTACATGATTATGTGGTAACCACTATTACATGATTGTGTGGTAACCACTACAACATAATTGTGTGGTAACCACAACTAAATAGTGTGGTAACCACAACTAAATAGTGTGGTAACCACAACTAAATAGTGTGGTAACCACGTCTTTCTGATGCAGATAATTGTCATGGTTGGTTGACCACAGTATATTACTGTGTGGTTACCACAACTGCTTTATAAACTAGATCGCCATCTCCTTCCCGTAGAGCTGGCCAGATATATGTGGAGACTCTACTCCCTTCTCTTCTCTCTCCCGTCCTAACCATCAAGTCCGGTAGGAAGGTTCTCTCCTCATATTCAATATAGTATGCAGGTTTCTAAACAGAAAACAGCTAGATTAGATCAAAAACAAGATATCGGAGCAAACAGAGCTGAGAGATTTGACACTAGACACTAGAATCTGAGGATTTACACCAGACACTAGAATCTGAGATATATGACACCAGACACTAGAATCTGAGGTTTTACACCAGACACTAGAATTTGAGATATATGACACCAGACACTAGAATCTGAGGATTTGAAACTAGTTCTTTAAGATCAGACATTAAACACTAAAGTCTAAAAGTTAAACAATGAGTTTATAGATACAGTGGAAACCACAATCCATAGATTAAAAACCGATTTTAGAGACTAGACAGGAGCCACCAGAATCTAGAGATATAGATTAAAACGTAGTATCTAGAGACCAGACAATAGACACCAGAATCTGGATATTAAATCCAGACAGAATCTGCGATCCAGGGATTAGAAACAGTTTTGTGAGACCAGAAAAAATACCAGACAGCAGCTAGACGTCATGAATCTAGAGATTAAACCCTATAGTTTCTGAAGACTAGACACTGTAGATATTTAACATTAGACACCAAAGTCCTTAGAACAGAAATAACATATGACACCAAGGGTAAAACATTAATTAGCATTGAACCTTGGACACATTTAATAGACAAGGAACACTGGAGACCTAACATCAAAAGTAGGATTAAAAAATTAGAGTTTAAAGATTTAAGGAAAATTGAGACACCAGAAACACGAAAAACCAAGACACCAGAATACGCATCAAAAGTCATACAAACCAAAAAAAACAAAATACTTACATGAGTACTGAGTTGCCAGGCTACGGAGACAGTTTCTCTGATATAATTGGATAATTGTTCACAGTGTCGTATCCCAGGGTAATCAAATAATGTCGAACAAATTTGATTCATAACTTCCTAAAAATCAATCAGGTTTAGCTTCGTGTTATCAGAAAACAAAGATTAATAAAAACCATCAGCTCCCGAAAGTTGGCACGAAAATCATATAATTTTGGGAGAAGAGAAACCTTAACAGTTTAATTAAAATGTTTGACCGTGTACACTGTCCATCAGTATAATCAAAATATTGAGATATCACGAGATTTCGTGCAACAGTTAAACACATGGAATCAAAAATGTATTTCATCATAGTCTATAAATGAGTAAAAGTCTATAAATTTCTTAATGATTTAAGAAATTTAAGAAAAGTCCAGAATTCGTCAAAAGTTAAGAAGATTTAATTGAGTGTTATAAGTTCTTGAAGATTTGAACCTACAAGTATCTTTAAAGTCTATGGAAATGTCTAAAAGAGTCTTGAATTGTCTACAGTGGTCTTCATAGCATGAGTATACGTCCTAGGATTTAGAATATTGACACGTCATTGGTAATAAAATTATTAAGAAAATCTAAATGAGAATTATTAGATTTTACTCACATCGCACATTTGTCTGAAGCCTGAGGATTGATATCCTGAGCAGAGAAATCTATCAATACAGGAGTTCAGATCCTTTGTTGCTGGATCCAACTCAGTACCAGGAGGAACCTAGAGCAGAGAAATATATCAATACAGGAGTTCAGATCCTTTGTTGCTGGATCCGACTCAGTACTAGGAGGAACCTAGAGCAGAGAAATATAGCAATACAGGAGTTCAGATCCTTTGTTGCTGGATCCAACTCAGTACCAGGAGGAACCTAAAGCAGAGAAATCTATCAATACAGGAGATTAGATCCTTCGTCGCCGGATCTAACTCAGTACCAGGAGGAACCTAGAGATATAAATATATCAATACAGGAGTTTAGATCCTTCGTTGCCTGGACTGTCGAATTCGTCGAACTAAGTTTATAGAGTAACATGTCTAATTAACAACGGTACCATATAAACCGTTATCTGAAAAACAATAATGAAGGTTTCGTCGATTTTCTGTCTGTAAATTCTGACAAATTCATTTTTGGGCTCGGGTGAATATTTTCAGATAGAGAAGCAAAGATAGCTCCATCATTGAGCTGGCACCGCTTGAAATTACGTTGACAGTCCCTTTAAATCAGATATTAAACTATATTCTTACATTTAGTGTTTTCTTAATCTGAAGTTTGGTAGAACTTATTGTCTGCTTGACAGAACGGAAAGCTAGAACTACAACAGAGAAGAGAAGTTTATTCTTCAGTTCTCCGGCAGAGGAGAGCTCAGGGAGTGCGTCTAGGCTTGCCAGGGTTCGGAGTCGGGTTCTACTATACAGTTCTCCATACTTGGCAACCAGTCTTACTCCGTGGGTCGCGGATAAATAAACCTGGCTCCCAGTTGAAGAAATACTAATATCTTCCTCCTTTAGTTGCATATCTATTATCCTAAACAGATTAGAGAAATAGAATTTTAATTTTCAGAATTATTTTGAAAAAAATAACTCTGAGTTACAACTTACCTCTGTTTAACTCTGTCTTCTCGTTCATGCATCCTCACAATGGTTTGTCGGGTAGCGGTTAGCTCATTCTTCAACCTCTCAACCTCAATCCTCAAGGATTCTGCTTCTCCGTCCTCGCACTTCAAACACTGCACTCCTCCACCCGTTCCTCGCTTAACCTTCCCTCTCCCAGTAAACCTCAAGGTATCCTTCTAAATTAAAATCTTATTTAAGAAATTGTTAAAGTATGTTCAAGTGACCCCCTAATCAACAAGCATAGCTTTAAAACCTTTATCTGTGTATCAATGACGAATAAATGCACGGGAGTTCTGCTTAAATGTATATTTTCTTTGCCCGCAATCTTAAAAATAAACCGGAGAGTTCTGCTCGAAATATGACCAGAATTGCTAACTTTACAACCGTTATTTTAAGCTTTTAATAAGATTATAAAAAAATCAGAATCAAAAGAAATCCTCAAATGAATTGTAAAATGTTCATCGAATATTTTACAGTGTTGAGTCCTTGACCTGGTCTCGTAGTCGTGAATATCCAGTATAATTTCAGCTTCTACCACGATGAAAGCATGTATCCTTTAACCTATTCTTTTCCATATATGACTCGTTGGTTTCGGCTTGTAAGAGCTGACAGGTGACATGAACCTAGTTCAGCGTCTCAAGGTCCTAACTAAACCCTATCATTCAAACCAACAGTTTGGAACTGGTTTCACTTTTCTTTAAACTTTAAACTCTGAGTTACTCAACCAAACTTGACAAACAATCCGACAAAACATAAGGTTTTATAATTCTGATGAGACGTAACTAACATTCTCAGTGTTAACCTTAGACAGATGGACTATTTGGCAACCGAACACTACTTTGCCAAACCTTGCAATTTTCAAAATTAAAATCTAAATTTTCTTTACATCGTGAAAATGCTTCTAACATCAATCATTCATTTACAAATAAAATCGTGATTTTGATCAGGAAAGACATCACTCTTTGGTGAAATTTTGTTGGAAATATACTTTTAAAGGGACAGACCGGCTATGTAAGGTAGTTGAATTGAGTATGCAGTGTTGAGGACAAATTCTTTTGGATTCATTTGAGACTTATAAAACTTTTTAAAGATCTGTAAATCCTTAGTTTGAGCGCAAAGTCGACGTTCAAAGTCGTACTTTTGGATAGATACGTTTTCAGAATTTTTTTTTTTTAAATTATTAAATAACGACGACAAAAAATGTAGTAAAAATTCTACAGTAAACTAATTAGTTGTTTAGGAACAGGTTGAGAAAATAAAAATTAATCTTATATTACATACTTATTACATAGCCGGTCTGTCTCTTTAAGGGATAAATACAAGTTTGAGCTTGTTTATTTCTTATTTATCCTCCTCCCTCCCCCCAAAACCGATGGTTGAGTTTAGAGTTTAAAATCTGCAATGGCGTAACAAATTCTCTAACTAACTACACAATGATTTCCTAATCTTCCTCCTCATACAATAAATCAATTTTTAGATGAATCCTTTCCTATCATTTAATATTTTTCATAGAATTAACAACTTTTCAAAACAATGTGGAAACAAATATGAAATATAATCAAATAAATTTATATAATTTGACTTAAGTAGTACAATGGTAATTATAATAATGTGGAAAAGGACTCAGGTCATGATTTTAAATCGTCAGATGTAATTGAAACACAGTAATTGTGCAACTGTGAAACACCAACTACACATAATATTGTTTAAATGTCGTCTTCCTATTCCAAAGTTTTGTGGGTCTCTCTGTACATAACCCGGAGTAAAGTAAAATTACCTTAATCTCTGCCCCCTCACTACTATCACTATCCTGCATACTGGAGGAGGAGCTGGGCGGAGAAGCCGAGGAGGTGGAAGGAGAAGGGTTTAAAGAGGCGGAGGGTGGGAGGGAGGAGAACCCACTAGATGAGGAGAGATATCCAGGTTCCTCTTTTATACTAATCAGAGGTTTATCCTTGCTCCCTACGCGCACTGTAAAATATGGAATTTAGAAATAAATATTTGTTCTACATTTTCTTTTGTTTTTACCTGATCTTAACAAAAAGTTAGATCTTGCATTTTTAGAAACGAACGGAGAGTTTCCAGACATCATGATCGCAGAGTCTGAATCTGAATGGTACCCGGAGATATCACTCCCAGGTTCAGCAACCTCCTCTTCCTCCTCCTTGATTTCGCGGATAAGTTCCAAAACCTTAAACATAATTTCTATCCAAATCAGTTTTCATTCTTGCAATTCTTATTCACTGTGTTGGTTTACGCTGCAGTCGTGTATATCTAAAAGTGAATTAAAAAAAAACTGCATAATATATACTGAATGTGTCAGAATTAAATGATTAATTCAGGACTGCTTGATCGACCAGTTTCTCCTGAATTAAAATTAAAACAAAAACATGAATTTCATTGAATTCCCTGCGCCCGCAAAACCTCCAGGTTCAGGCATATATGAATGCCAAATTGTGCAATAATGCTAAATAGAAAACTTCCAAATACCGAATTCTTGACTTGAAATATTCAGAAAAATATTTATTTGAATTTGGTGTTCAAAGATCGTCGTGAGACATGAAACATTTTGTTTATGTACAATTCTTTTTAAATAAAATGTGAAGTTAAAAACTGAAATATATATAATATATATCTTTACANGGGGCTATTCAAGATTGAACTATTTTCAACTCGGAACAGGAGACAGTATTTTAATGTTAAAACAACTTTAAAAATAATTTTCTAAGATTATCCTTATCATTTTGAGGATAGCCTAAGTATTTTATCCCTCCCCTCACCCCCACCGATTTGATAGTTCCATTCCGTTCTATTCAATTTTTTCTTTTCTAGATTTTGATGATGTTTACAGGATTGTGGAAGAATAATTTTTAATTTCTGATTGAAAAACTGAAAACTGTTTGTCATCTTTTATCAGGTAAACTTAAATTATTTATGGCACTCTTTAATCAAAGAGTGGTTTTAATTAACGTTAACAATCACTATAAACTGATATAATATACCTGGTGACAACCTCGTTGGAACTTCATGAGTATCGGAGCAACTGCAGGGTCTGACTCCAGGTTCCCAACTAGGCTTGTTTCTCTCTTGATGCTTGTAAACTGGAACATTACCTCCTTATCCAGCTGAACCCTTCGCTCCAGTATACCCAGTAGTACCTGGACACATGCGCATCAATTCCAATAAAACCCAAAACGCGAAATATTAAAAAAATTAATATCTGAGCTCGAGATTTTATCTCAGATATGACTGTATACTTTAATTATATATATTTATACAATAGTGAGCTCAATCTTATAGAGTAAATTAATTAACCTTTATTTTAGTTATCCATCCCCTCCATATATATAATTTAGTTCTGTATTTATAGAAATACAATTATGTCTTTCAATTGGACATGTTTTTGCAACATACTAAGGAATTGAATCTTTGTCACAAAATTATATTTTCTAATCCCTATATCTTTGCAACCTGATGGTGTAAACCGTTGATATTTTATCCAACAGATTTCATAGTTTGAAATATCTAAGGTCTACGACATTGGGCTGCAAAGGTCAAGGGATTATAAGATCAGAGTTTGTGTGAAAGACTCAATTCCTTTAGATAATTCATATCAAAAGTTTGTTTTAAATCTGTCCAATTTACGCTATGCTTCCTGTCTTTTATTCTTCTCTAATTTTATTCTTTGAATTAATTTTAAAATTTATTGTATTTTTAGATGTTCTTAAACCCAGCCGGAAACGATTACTTGTTGTAGAATAAATCCAGATCCCGGATAAATCATTTAATCTCTAACCTCTAGACTAGTTGAGGAAACAGCAGGTTCAACTGTAGTCAGCAGAGACTTGTTCTTTATCAATCTCTCCTGAACCTAGAATTAGATTTAACCCATGTTACAGTTAGGATGGATCGGAGCAACGAAGATTTAATCAGGAATTATAATGTGTCAAAACTGTGTTCTCCGAATCAGTTTCGGGTTGGTTTAACGAGACTAATCAAGGATTCTTATCTATACCTTACAGCAAGGCACAAGGCACTAATGCAAGGAAAGTTAATTTCTGTCGCGTATACTCTGCGTACATATTGAAACCAGTTCTCTCTGGGCGGAATTTGTAAACAAGAATAGATGCATCAGTGTTCGTTTAGTATCCGAGGAGGTTAAAAGCATTAAATTTTGATAATTTTGATAATTCACATATTAGTTTCCTATGAACAGAATATTTCATTGATTTTTTATGTAAAAGATGTATCCCATGTCAGGCTTCGACATCCGTCTTGTATTTACATTACCGCCCAGTGACAGTACACTGCAGTACAAAAGATGCGTACACTTCTGAAATAACTTTCCTTCCATTACATCCTTGCCTTACAGGAAAGGTAAGCCTAATTTCAAGTGACCCAATATGCAAAATGTCAATGTCTGATTCACAACGGTACCCTTGAAGCCTTTATCCGATCAACAATGTGGAAGATATTATCGATTTTCTAGGTTTAAAAGTGTTTAATTCTGATAACCACTACATATTTTCCTGTATTAGAAATTAGAAATGCGCAAGTCACTTTTAAAGGGACCATGATCTGTTATTTTTTTCCGAAGCTTGAATACATATAAAAAAGTGTTTGTTTTAAATAATGGGTTGTATTCAGGGTTTTACTCCGGGTTCAACTAACCTGTACAAGATGAAGTGAAAGCTGTCTCTGATGACCTGATAGAACCGGAACCTTACATGAACCTGAAAATTATGTTATAATTCACAAGAGGTGTTCCTTCAAGGGCCCAAACCGCCATTTTGTTTAAGAATTCTTTAATTACGATGGCAACAAATGATAAAAACCGTTAATACAAGAATGTTTATGTTTAGAGACGTGAATATCCGTTCCTCCATCTTGTTTTCTCATGAATTCAAATGAATATTCGTAAAATCACTGTTTAATGTCGAACAGAAATTATAATATCTTCCCACACAGTTTCTAGCGTTGACATGAAACAGCTGGCAGCCCCTCGGACACTACAGTCTGTTTTAGCCAAAACATTTTATCATATAAGGTGGCCCGGAAAATGTAAAGATATTATTTTTAACATATTACAAAGGTTACGTGTGTTCTATGCTTTTAAAAAATTGTGTCAACAATCATGGAAGTTAGGTATCAACTTTAAATCATCATGATTTGTAAAAGAAATTCTTAATTTTTATTGTTTATTGGGCCACCATATATATATAATGTTATTGTATACAGAATACCTTATACTAATTTTAGATCATTCAAAGTAAAAATTTAGATTTTTTCTTGCGCTAAAATCTATATGAAATGTTTTTAAATTTTTGTTGGAGACAGGCTCGGGGGATACAGTAATAGTACATTCATATGAAATATACAGAAAGAAGATTTTTTTATTTAACCTGAATTCGTGACCGGTTCCTTCCCTGATAAAGCGAGCTCATCAAGTTTACTCAGCGCACTGGAGAACTGGTCTTTCACCTGGAAATACGGAGTTCGTAATTTTTGAAAAACTAAGAACCATTAGAGGGGGTCAGAAATTTTATATTGTTAATCCCGGGGTCAAGCAGTATCTTTTGTTGTCCAACAGATTTATTAAATACATCTTAGATAGTCGGTTGTTGAAAACCAGCAGTGATAACTTTTAATTTGGTCACTTTTCTCTGAAAGGAATTTAGTTTTCTAATCCCTATATCTGTATAACCTGGGGTGTAAACCTTTGTTATTTAAAACTATTTCAACTAACAGAAGTCATAGTTTACTTCATCGAATTGATAAGATAAAGGTTTTAAAAAATCTGAGAATGTGGCAAGAACTCATTTCATTTCAAATTTCCCCTGGTGGATATCGATATCAAGCGTTATTAGTGTATAAAAGTAAAAGTTAAAAATAAAACCTTCTGTAGTTCTATTCTGAGCGCATCATGGAGGTTCATCAGAGATTGGTCTGAGGTTCCAACCATACCATGCTGTCCTAATCCTTCTATAGTTCTCGTCAAAATCTGAAAATAGGTTTTTTTTATCCAAACCAAACCATGATGATAAAATCCTTCAACAGTTCTTGCTCTTCAAATCCGGTAAAAGTATTTGCAAGAATCTGAAACCGGTAAACGCGGAAATATTAAACCGGATTACGCATTTTTCCGCTATTTCTAATACCATTCTTTCCCTTTTGCTGAAAATACTGAAAAACATTAGATTTTCAGCTTTTGGACTTTTAAGTTCATGTGTAGGGTATATTTTACTTTTCTGTAGCCTCCCTTTTAAATATTCTTAAAAATGTATTTTTAAACATAAATAACGTAATACTAGGACCTAAGAGTGTTCAAGTGTATGTAGTATAGGGAGTATAAAATATAATTTTAAGGATATTCTCCTGTAATCCTCTTTCAACCTGTCAAGCTTTTAAACTTCCTCATCCTAAGTTTGTTTAAGATTTAAGCAACCTTTTGAACCTAAAGAATAAACATGAAAATGTTGCATTTTAAACATAACATAAACTCTTCTTCCCGCTTGTCACCCCCCCCCCCATCCTTCTTATTCTAACCCAATATTCTTCTTTCTATAATTCGTATCATTCTTGATGTTCTTCATGATTCTTTTTGCTCCTCTCTATCCTCAGATCCTTCTTCCTTTCTCTGATCCTCCGATTCTTTTTCTTTTCTCCGATTCTTCTTGGTTCCCTACCTCAACGGATCCTTATTACTTTCTCTCATTCTTCTTGATTCCTACTATCCTGCCATCCCTCTTCTTTTCTCTGTTCCTTCTTGGTTCCCTCTATCCATCGATCCCGCTTCCTTTTGCCGCTATTTCTTGTTTCTCTCTAACCTCCGATATTTCTTGGTTCCATATATTCTCCAATCTTTCTTTTCTTTCTCCGATTCTACTTGGTTCCCCCCGTTTCAAAATTCTTCTTTTATTCCTCTTATCTCACTTCCTTTTCCTCTAATTATTTTTCTTTCCTCTGATCCTTCCTTATTTCCTCCAATTCTTCTCCATTTCCTCTGATCATTATTCTTTTCTCTTATAGTTGCTCCTTTTCTCTTAATCTTTTTTCCTCTGATATTTCCTTTTCTTATTTCTTTCTATTCTTACTTCATTTCTTTGATATTTCGACATATTTCCAAAATCTTCTTACTCTCCTCTGATCTTGCTGCCTTTCCTCCGATCCCTCGTCTTCTCGGATCCCTCTTCATTCCCTTCGATTTTTCCATTAAAGTATCTGATGAATTAATGAATGATCCCGGAACTCTATCTACGGAAACCCATCCTCGAAATAATTACTGTAAAGATATATCATTCGAATACATAAATGACACCTTGTATAATCATTATCTTTATATTTACAGATTTTAACACCAAGACGTCATGAAACAAGAAAACCTCAAATCACCCCCAATTCTTTTGTAATATTTGTCAAGTAATGATTGTACCCCCCCCCCCCGTACTAAAGAATATCTGGGTGTGTACTTTGGACTGTGTACTCTATTCTATCTATTGTGATGATGGGCATCTCGTCATTGTAAATGTATAGAAACCCTTTGACAGATATGAATTGAATGTTTAAATATTTAGCACTCCAGCTCCTCCACCTGTACGCAACACATTTATAAATCAATATTACTCAATGTCAATTTTAAATATTATGCAGGATGTCTCATTAAACTTGAAAATCGTCTTCTATTTACGATAGTTGATAATAAAGACTGAACGTCTTATTAGCTTCTAAAAATGTGGTCTGCCTTCTTTGTATCTTCAAAATTGACGGAGATATTAAATATTTGAAAGATTTCGTTGTTTTACTGAATTAAAAACTGGACAAATTTCTGATTATCTCCGTCAATTTTGAGGGTGTTAATATGGTGAACCCAAAGAGAATAGAATATATATTAGAGTGGAATTTACTAGAAAAAAGTGTAAAACGGCCATTTTGTTGTACTGTTTCCTTACTGCAGGTGTACTTCACATATTTATGCTATATAACCTTTTGGACCCTGGAATATCATTTTATAGAAAATCTCAAATTAATGTTAAAAGAAAACCAAATTATGAAATAGGCTGGTTTCATAATTGACCAATGATCATTTCACATAGACTCTATGCCTTTCACTTCACAAACGATGATTTTCCGTTTTAACTATAAATCAAATGATGTTTTTTATTCACATAATTCATTATAACGTTTATTTAACAGTTTTAAAAAATTCGAATTTGAAATGAATAGTCTAGGGAACAAAATGTATTAATGTACTCTACTGCATATAATTTGTGAACATTTACATGATTTGTACACTTTGAACTACCTTTCAGGCTGAAAGGCACTGAAAAAATTCCTCCCGAGAGATTCTATAAATTCTCCTCTAATATATATTCTATTCTCTATGGGTAAACCACAATTTGAAATCCCCAAGACTAGTAGTTTTAAATATTAACTGTTGGAATACTACAAACAATGTGTTCACGTAATAATGCCACGCAGAACAAAGTCGATATAGAAGTTTATTGGGACAACCTGTATTAAATAATTTGCTATTAACAAGCTTAGTTTTAAAATGTTGCTTTACGAGAGAAATCATATCCTGGAGAATGATTTAAAACTAAACGAATCAGACGCGGTTTATTTCTTCTGCGAACAGTTTAAAGATTTTAGTTTAAAAAGAATCAAAATAGTTTTACTACCAATTTTAAACTCTTAAAACCATCTTTTTATATTCAAACAACCAACGCAAATTTAGCTTTGAAGGCTGCAGTTGAAATAATTTTGAAAATGATAATAATTTGTTTACATGGCAGTTTGAAGAGTTTAAAACAGGAAAAATGTATTAAACACAAATTGTGCAAGTAACTGATTTCACAATATTTTGTTTTTGTTTTATACTCGGAGTAAAATATATATATATAATATATATATAATTCTACAGGTTTATGGTTGAGGTTCTCTCTGGGGTTAATGAATTTGTATTGTAGGAGAGGGTTTTATATTTACCATCTTCCTCACTTTAACTAATCAAATACAGGGGTTGTATACATTACCCAGGACTCAATGTATGTATAGCCCTTTTTTAACTATCATACCTTGGTTTTCATGAAAAATGAAAAGTGAACTACAAAAAAAACTTGTTACCTTTTTTCTCTCCCCAACTATTCTCCGTATATTAGGATCTACTGAGATGAGGACTGAGAGAAGACGTTTACAGGTATTCATGAACGGACCACAGAACTCCCATCTAGAAATAGATTGGATTTCAATAGATTTGCATCGTTTTTTATTAATCTTATATTCATCCTTACAACACTTTTAAGTATTGTCAAAAATCTGGCTACTCCTTATAATGTTCCTTATATTATGTATACTTTCTCTACAGGGAGAAAAGGGATTGGTCATTGTCATGTTCCTAGATACCGTACCCCTGGAGACTAGGTTTGTATCATTGTATACCTGCCCTCCCTGGAGACTAGGGTTTGATCCTCCTGACTGGCGAAGAACTTGACAAGCTGCCAGACTACAGTCTCCGGGGACACCTGAGCACTCGTCCTACTCTTCTGTCCTCCTGGAGAAAAATTTATGTTTTGGTGATGATTCACAATAACATCTAACATGTGTTTATATGATTATCTAATTGAGCCATGATGGAGACATGTTCTTGCAAAAAAGGTTGAAAATACACTTACGTTCGATAATTCTACTGAAATCTGATTTGATATTCAATTTTAAAGAAGTTTGTCTAGGCTCTGGTTCTGGATTAAAATTGGTTTCCAATTTGTAATCCATTTATAATCCTTGCTAATTGTATGTTTAAAGTGGGTCACAGCTTAGATTTAGTAATTATATATTACAAACCAGGATAATGTCTTAATCTCATATAATAAATCAGATGTGCACATTTTTAAATTTTGTAAATGAAAGTTTTTATGTAAGTTTTTCTGTGAAATTTCCAAAATTGCAAACAGTGCAGTAAAATGGTACTAGTTAAAGATTTTAGAGATGAACTTTCAACAAGATTTCTCTGAAATCCTTCCATATATGGAACTATGAAGTCTAAATATTTCAGAGAGATAAATCTATAATTTACCACGCGTTCAACTTAAATTACACTGAAAAGAGAAGGGGAAAAGATTAATATAAAGTTTCCCCCGGAAATGAGCAGATATTATCCTATCTATCTATGGGTCAGGTCATGACATAATACGTGTTAGGATTAAAGAATCCTAAAGGATGGATTGGGTTGGGTTTAATGGTTAAACATCCGGAAATTGTGAAATCTAACAGAAAATGACAAAGACAAAAATATACAATGACAATACAAACATTAAGGGTGAGAGTTTAATTAGCGTTTTCTCAAGCACACTTAACAACCCTCTCACCCTCACATAAATCTTACTCCCCTCCCTTCATACAAGTTCATAATTCCCTTTTCCCATGTACACCCCCCCCCCTCCCCACTGTGCAATGTATTTTCAAAATATCACATTTATTTTGACAAAAACATTTCACATTAGTTTTCACTTTCATTATCTTCGCAGATACAGATACAGATACAGATACAGATACAGATACAGATACAGATACAGATACAGATACAGATACAGATACAGATTAGTTTATCTACCTGCTAGGAATAGTTTAGAATAATAAGCCTCCAGGATGGGTAAAGAGTGCGGGAGACAGTCTACAAAATGTTCTGTAGGGAGAGAGGAAGAAACCTGCTTAAAGGTTGCAAGGGAGAGACGCCTAGAGAACAATCTTTTATTAGCGTTAATTTACGAGATTTATGGGATTTATTTTACAGCAAAAACCTAACCTAAGATCACGGTCTACTGTATTATTTAGGGTGACATAAAGAAAATGCCAACGGACAACATATATAGTGTGAAATAGACTTATGTCCACCCTCACCAAAGGTTTGTTCATCACAACAAAAATTGTTCCTGCAGGGTCCAATGTGTCATGTTTGAAATATAAAAACTATTCAATTCCAGATTTTAAATATTTTATGCAGTAGTTAGGAATTGAGTCTTTGCAACAACGTGTGATTTTCTAATCCTTATATCTTTGCAACCCATTGTCGAAACCTTTGATATTTAAATAATGACTTCTGTTAGATATATCAAATAATCTAAGTTTGAAATATCAAAGGTTTCAAATTTATATGGGTTAGATAATTACACTTTGTTGCAAAAATTCAATTTCTTTGATTACTTTCTTTCATAGAAACTGAAGTGCACTTTTTGTAAACAAAACTTAGGAGGTGTCCTGTAGATCTTCATTCATCAAGACAAACCTGAGAAATGCCGCGGCTTCTCTATACTGTCTCCGCTGCCAGAGGGTGAGTATCCTCTGAAGAGCAAGTTTCGGAGACATATCTGCAATACTTAAACTTGCCAGACGTCCTACTCTTTCTCCGTCTATACCCTGATCAGAACAATCAATAATAATAATTGAATATCAAAACCGTCTCAGATTACACTAAAAAGGGTTGGTAAGGTAATTTTAATACATTTCAAATCCCAAAACTTGAAACATATCTCGTTTTATTTATTATTTTATGAAAATGAAGTAAAATTTGTTCTTCTTTGTGTAATTTTTTCATTCAAGTTCTTTTGATGAGAATTTAAAATATAATAAAAATTATGAAAGTTTTAATTATTTAAATCCCTGGTTTCTGAGTACACGACGGGTCCTAGGTTTATCTTGGTCTCCTCCTTCTCCTCCTCCTCCTCTTCCACCCCGGGAATCAGAGAACCTACTCCCCTGGAACACATGATTTAAAACCTTCAGTTAATAAGAGAGTGTAGTCCAAGATTTGAAAATGAATGACATGGGAATTTGTTTGGGTTAAATAAGAAAATAACGGGTTCTGATATCTAACCCCATCTTAAAAGGATTTGGATATTTTGATGAAATGAACCTGGTCTGAGATATCTTCATCCAGTGCAGTGTACCAGGGTACCCGGAGCCCCTTCTTTCTCTTCTCATCCAACCCGACATACTCTGATTTTATCTTCTGCTCCGGGTTGCTTGTATCACTGTGGAACCGATTCGATTTATCTGTAACTCTGATTTGCTCCAACCTACATGAGGAATACATAGAGTACTGTTTCCTCCTGTAATCAGAGCTGGAGTTAATTTTGAAAAGAATCTTCAAGTTTAACAGCTGCAATAAAACCTGACCTTTCACCGCTAGTGTTAAGAAGTTTTAAATCTTCTCTCTCTCTCTACTCTTCTTCCATGCAGTAATCTCACCTTTATACTCATTACCTTCTATTCATATACGTAGATATATGTACGCTTCATTTACATTACGCTAGCCCTCTCATCCTCTTCTGCTATTTTTCCTTTCCTCCCTCCTTTTCCTCTTTCTTTACCTTTCATCCTCTTTTGCTATTTTTCTTTCCTCCCTCCTTCTCCTCTTCTTATACCTCTCATCTCCTTTTACTATTTATCCTTCCCTGTCTTCTTCTCATAGACCTCTCATCGCCTTTTATTATTTATCCTTCCCTGCCTCCTTCTTCTCTTCCTATACCTCTTATCTCCTTTTACTATTTATTTTCCCTGCATCCGTCTCCTCATCCTATCCCTCTCATCCCTCATCTCCTTTTTCTACTCCTTTTATTATCCTTCAATTTCTTGTACATCCCCCGCCTCTGTATCCTCCTTGTCCTGTTTCTCCTGTTTCTCCCACCTTTCTTTTCCTCCCCATGTTTTCAATTATTTTACCCTTTTCAACTTTCTCATTCTTCTCCTGATTCTCCTGATTCTCCGTATTCTCTTCCTTCTTATACTTCTTAAACTTCATTATTCATTACTATTCAAGCGTACTCTTTTCCTTCCTGTCTTTACCATAATATCTTCCCCCATAGTAAACATTCGCTCCTCAGTTTTAATCTCCTATTCTTTTCATTAACATCCCTCCCATCCCCCCAAAACCTAGTCTCCTGGTCTAACCTGGAAACTATCTCATTCTCCTCTCCTCTCCATTAAATCTAGTCTCCTGGTCTAACCTGGGAACTATCTTCTTCTCCTCTATTCTCCAGGGATCTAACCAGGAGATATACTCTTCCTTAAACCTAGTTTCTTGGTCTAACCTGGGAACTATCTCCTTCTCCTCTCTTCTACAGGAATCTAACCTAGAGTTATACCTTTCCTTAAACCTAGTCTCCTGGTCTAACCTGGGAACTATCTCCTTCTCCTCTCTCCTCCATGGATCCAACCTGGGTATTTTCTTCTCCCAGGTTAAACTGTTCTCCTTGAACGTTACAGAGTTAAACTCGGACTTAGAACCTAAAAATACAATAAATAACTTCATCACGGTCGAAAGGATAATCAAAAAACATCGACACAGATGAGGAGTATTAAGGTGCCCCCCCCCCCTGGGCCAGCTGAAAAGCTCTATAACGTTTCTTTCACTTCACCTAGATTTTGATTTGTCAGTAATCAACCACCGATCGAAGTTTGATTTCCAGAAATTTCAGATTAAAAACGATGAGTTGTCGAAAATTCACTAATATAAAGATGTGTCTCGATTTTAGTATTTGTTGATGATAATATTTTTCACATCTCAATTCTTCATCTGGGGTTGCATCACTGTTGCATCATAAACTGCACAATTTGAAAATTATTATAAAACGTGACTTTAAAAGCTAGTTTTTAGAATCTTACCCCATGAAATAGAAAACTTTTACTTAAAACTGACCTACTGATACACTAGAGCAGGGGGAGTAAACTAGAATATACTGATACACTAGAGCAGGGGGAGTAAACTAGAATATACTGATACACTAGAGCAGGGGGAGTAAACTAGAATATACTGATATACCAGACCAGGGGCCGGGAGTAAACTAGAATATACAGATACACTAGACCAGGGGGAGTAAACTAGAATATACTGATATACCAGACCAGGGGGAGTAAACTAGAATATGCTGATATACCAGACCAGGAGGAGTAAACTAGAATATACTGATACACTAGACCAGGGGAATTAAACTAGAATATACTGATACACTAGACCAGGGGGAGTAAACTAGAATATACTGATACACCAGACCAGGGGGAGTAAACTAGAATATATACTGATACACTAGACCAGGGGTAGTAAACTAGAATATATACTGATACACTAGACCAGGGCGATTAAACTAGAATATATACTAATACACTAGACCAGGGGGAGTAAACTAGAATATACTGATACACTAGACCAGGGGGAGTAAACTAGAATATACTGATACACTAGACCAGGGGGAGTAAACTAAAATATATACTGATACACTAGACTAGGGGGAGTAAACTAGAATATGCTGATACACTAGAGCAGGGGGAGTAAACTAGAATAAACTGATACACTAGACCAGAGGAATTAAACTAGAATATACTGATACACTAGACCAGGGGGAGTAAACTAGAATATACTGATATACCAGACCAGGGGCCGGGAGTAAACTAGAATATACTAATACACTAGACCAGGAGGAGTAAACTAGAATATACTGATATACCAGACCAGGAGGAGTAAACTAGAATAAACTGATACACTAGACCAGGGAGAGTAAACTAGAGGAATAACTAACCTACTGAAACTCCAGACCAGGGTAAAGATTGAGGCCCTGAGTTAAGGTTGAAGGGTTGAAGGAGAGAGGAAGGAGAGGATACTAGGATACCTTTCCTAGGCAGGGAGGGAGGAGGGGATACAGGGGATACAGGGGACATGGAGGAATGATACTGAGACAATCTATTCATCCCTTTCCTTGCATTTTTATATTATTTTTCTTATAAACGTCTGAAAAATGTCTAGATTTAAGATATAGATAATTTTGTGTTTTCCCACTGTTGTCCTTTATAACTGTTTGTAAAAAAGCTTGAATATCCAACAAGGAAATGAGTATTTGCCAAAAACTCAAATTTTTTAATCCAAATATTTTTACAATTTGATACAATTTGACAACTTGAAATATAAAAGGTGTACTACATTAGGTTGCAAAGATATAAGAATTAAAAATCAGAGTTTGTGACAAATACTCAGTTCCTTTATTGATAAAATACGTTTTATCGTCCCATAGGAAACCAGGGATAGAATTTAATGAATTTGAGCTACGTTGCTGAATAATCTACTAATAAAGAAAGGATTTAAATCAGTGTTTCAAATTTGAACCAGCTCGGTCCCAGTTTAAAATCTAATTAATTACGGTTTGAGTGGAATAACGCAACTTTTAGTTTTTATGGGCTCTACGCTCTTGGGCCGGCACTAAGCGTTTTCAATCATTTTCTACTCTTATATACACAACAAATAGAAGAAAAATAAGTAGCGAGCAAAACAGACTTTTTAGGATTAAGCCTAACCCCCTTTCATTTTTCGCGAACACTCCCTTTAAAAGATGAAAATTTTTTAAAAAAATCAGACTTTTGCAGGAAATACTGAAAGAAAAATCTCCGGAAGAAATGCCAGAAATATGAATTTCGAATAAACAGGGCGTTGGAGCTTGTTTGAGATTGTAGAAACCCTAAAAAGGAAACTGTATCTAATTATAATAAAGCAAGCTAAGAAAAGGTGTGTCAGGGAAAATTGATTCAAAAGAGACAGGTTGCGAAAATTCATCAAATTAATCAAATTGCGTTTTTTTCGATTATTGTCAAAAAATTATGAAGTATTTTTTGACGTTTGATGTTTGGTACTTTAATGAACACTTCTGCTTCAAATTGCTTGTGTGCCAAAATGTACAGGGTGTCAAAAAAAACCTTTTACAGATACTGCAGCTCTGATCATGGTTCAATAAAAATACTACAGCTCTGATCATGGTTCGATAACCATACTACAGCTCTGATCTTGGTTCGTTAAACATACTACAGCTCTGATCTTGGTTCGTTAAACATACTACAGCTCTGATCATGGGTCGATAAACATACTACTACAGCTCTGATCATGATTCGAGTTTACAAAATGACAAACTTGAAACTGGCCATACTTCCCTAATTTTTGTGCCGTAAAACTCTAATTTGTTTTCATCGGTGGATCGGAAATATTTCGTTGATTTTAAATATCTCACAGGATGTTTTTTTTTTGACTTCGTACATTTATTTTTTTCACAACTTTTAGAATTAATAGGAAGAGCTACGAAAACAGGACACAATAACTTTTCATAAATACCACTGCTTACAAAATTAATGATTTCTAAAAGAATATCGCGTTCTTCTAAAAAATATTTTGTTTCAACTTGATCAATCCTTCACGATACAGATTTCTCGAATAGATAAGATCTTATTTGCAAATGGTTCCGGATATATGAAGGAGAGAAAAGGAAGATTATATATGTAGATAAAGCATGAAAATATTATACAATGATTACGTATTGGATTGGGTTTACAATGATGATTATGATTGAGTTCGGCTCACGTCATAGCTCAATATTTAGACTTTACAGTGCACCTTCTACGTAAAACTAACTACAAGGCAGTACATCCTGTCCATTAAATAGCCAACATGAAAACATCCATTTAACAGTGGAAAATGGGTCCCAAAGTTAAGGTTTATCTGACTTAATAACCAGGACCCATAGATTACTCTGCTCCACACTGCCCGAAACTGAAATGGACNAATTCACAACGGTACTCTGTACACCACCTTTATCTGAGCAAACTTAGTCGTTTTTATATTTTAAATAGTGTTGAAAATGGAAAATAACGTTCCTTTAAAAGGTATATAAAAAAACGCAACCATGCTGAGGACACCAAGTTTTTTAAAGCTTCTACGTTTCCAGTTTACATATTTGTATCAGAACGGTAAGTCCGAATATTTGATCCGGAATACGGAATCCGGATGTTAGACATAGAATACGGAATCCGGATGTTAGATCTGGAATACGGATCCGGATGTAGACGTTGATTTGAAAAATATAATCGGAAATGTGACAAATTGAATATGATTTGGGTGTTGAACACTGAACAATGATATTGAATAAAACACGACTTTTAACATAACAAAAGAATTTGTTTCAAGTTCATGTTACAAATTGTTATAATTGTAATTTGGACTGTAATATGCAGAGGAAATTCAGAATATAGAAACAAAATCAAATCTTGGAAGGAAAAAAATAAGAATTATGTAAACAGAATCATAGTATGAAGATCAGAAATATGAAACATATTTAGAATTAGAGGAAAACATGTAGAATAGAACCATAATATGACAATACTACTATCATATACAGAACAGAACCAGAATATGAAGAATAGAACCATAATATGACAATACTACTATCATATACAGAACAGAACCAGAATATGAAGAATAGAACCAGAATATGACAATACTACTATCATATACAGAACAGAACCAGAATATGAAGAATAGAACCAGAATATGAAGAATAGTATTAGAATGAAAAGAATTTAGCTAGAATATACAGAATAAAACTAGAATATTAAGAATAGAACTATAATATAATGAATAGAACTAGAATATAATGAAAAGCACCAAAATATAAAGAATAGAACTAGAATATGAAGAATAGTATTAGAATGAAAAGAATTGAACTAGAATATACAGAACAGAACTAGAATATACAGAACAGAACTAGAATATAAGAAATAGTATTAGAATAAAAAAAATTGAACTAGAATATACAGAAAAGAACTAGAATATAAAGAATAAAACTAGAATATAAAGAATAGAACAGAATATAAAGAATAGAACCAGAATATAAAGAATAAAACTAGAACATACAGAATAAAACTAGAATATAAAGAATAGAAATAGAATATAAAGAATAGAACTAGAATATAAAGAATTGAACTAGAATATACAGAATAGACCTAGAATATAAAGAATTGAACTAGAATATACAGAATAGAACTTGAATATACAAAATAGAACCAGAAAATAAAGAATAGAACCAGAATATAAAGAATAGAACTATTATATAAAGAATAGAACCAGAATATAAAGAATAGAACCAGTATATAAAGAATAGAACCAATATATAAAGAATAGAACCAGAATATAAAGAATAGAACCAGAATATAAAGAATAGAACCAGAATATAAAGAATAGAACCAGAATATAAAGAATAAAACCAGAATATAAAGAATATAACTATTATATAAAGTATAGAACCAGAATATAAAGAATATAACCAGAATAGAAAGAATATAGAGAATAGAACCAGATTAGAAAGAATATAAAGAATAGAACCAGAATAGAAAGAATATAAAAATAGAACCAGAATAGAAAGAATATAAAGAATAGAACCAGAATATAAAGAATATAAAGAATAGAACCAGAATAGAAAGAATATAAAGAATAGAACCAGAATAGAAAGAATATAAAGAATATAAATAATATAAAGAATAGAACCAGAATAGTAAGAATATAAAGAATAGAACCAGAATATAAAAATATAAAGAATAGAACCAGAATGCAAAGAACAGACCCAGATATAGATTGAATGGTTTTCCATGAACAGAACCGTATTTGATAAAATGCAATAATTTCTGTGAACTGTACATTTGCCCCTAAAATAGAGCTAGCAAATATTATTTTCAAAAATAAATTCTTATCGATTAACAATGAAGAATAAATCATGAAATTGTAAATTCTTAAACATAAGTCTGAAATGTGTAGACTGTTTATTATTTGCTTTAAATATTAAATATCGGGAATGTTTTTCAGTTTGCACAGAAATTGAGCTTTCGTCAAAAACCTAAATTTTCTAAACCTTCTATTTTTAAACCTGATATACGTGTAAATCTTTTGACTTTTCAACTTAGATTATTTGATCTATCATATTTAATAGTTTTAAGTATCAAAAATCCGCGACATTGGGTGGGAGAGATATGGGGGATTACAAAATCTGAATTTGTGGCAAAGACTCCACTTCTTCAGATATTTTCATTTTCTGTAATTAGTGGTGGATAGATACTGAAACAGTTTGGTGGATAGATACTGAAACAGTTTGGTGGATAGATACTGAAACAGTTTGGTGGTTGGATACTGAAACAGTTTGGTGGTATAGATACTGAAAAAGTTGAACTAACACCGAAAAATCATCTATAAAATCCCTCTTGAAGAACAGGTGAAAAAAAAACCTTTCTGCTACGCATTTTGAAATTGTTCGAAATTGATTGATTTGCATATTACAGAATGTTAATGTCTCAAATTACAGCCTTCGTTTTTTCTTTGAGGACGCAAAAGTAAAAAAATTGAGATTTAAAAACTTATGATTTTAAAATTGATGATACACAATGATACAACAACTTAATATTGATTCAATTTGAATTGGTAAACAACTGAATGCACTTTTTAACTATATATTCAAATTTCTCCGCAAAATTCACAGATTTTCTTCCCTTGGTTTTCACTTCTTAACTCCACTGATAAGGTTGAACTGATCTCAAGAATTGGATTGAACGGGTCCCAGAGCCGCCGTCTACCGTTGGAATCTCCGAACCCGGGTCGAACCAACCCTTGGTTTAAATCCGCGGATACTCAAACACATTCTTGCATCCTCACATTATACAATCATAATGTTTATAAACTTGAGAACCTCAACTGAATTTTGATTATTTTAAGTCAATAAACATTTAAACATATTTAAACAATAAACATAAATATAAATTCAATTAATTTAATCTTGTGAATAAATTATTTTTTATTTTTCTTCAATACATCTTTCATAGTGGCCTAATTGTTTATGGCTTGCACGGCTCCGCTACAAATTGTTATTTGTTAATTATAAATGACCGTGTATGGTGTATAATTGAAACTTTTCGGTAGCAAAAAAAAAGTACAAAAACAAAACAAAAATTACAAAAAGTATTGCACTAAAATTACAAAAACAAAACAAACATTACAAAAAGTATTGCACTA